TTTGACATCATTGTCTCTCTCTCGTGTTAAACGTGAAGATGCTGGTGATTACACTCTTACCATTTCCAATGAGCTTGGTCATGTATCTGTTACCTTTCACATCTTCGTCTTGGATAAGCCTTCTTCCCCTCGAAATCTTCAAGTCGTTGCCAATTCGGGTGTTCTTGTTTCTCTTAAATGGGATGAACCCCAATTTATTGGCGATAAAATTGGAACAGTTCTCGAATATATTGTTGAAATGCGTGAGCTACCGATGAGAACTGCAAAGCCGGTTGCTAAAACTTCTGAATTGAGCAGCACTCTCGAAGGGCTTCAAATTGATAAATCTTACGTTTTTTCGGTTGCTGCAAGAAACTCGATTGGCCAATCGGAATTTGTCGAAACCAAACCAGTTTCTACAAAGCTCGCATTTGGTTAGTCTTCTTGAATATCTTTTGCCTTTTTACTTAGTTATTAGCGATTTTTAATAAGGTAATAAATTTCTACTTGTTTTAATCATTTTTTTAATCTTATGACTGCTTTTAATTCTGCATTAAATAGTTTGGCCTTATTTTTTTACTTGTATCCTTTTTTGAAGCCCACTTTTTTGTTTTAGGAGCTCCATCTTCTCCTAAGAACGTGCGCGCTAAACTCACTCCAGAAAAGGGACTTCCAGCAGATCAACTGGTTGAGCTGTCATGGGTCCAGCCTATTGAGGTTTCCAGTACACAAGAATCGAAGCCGCAATTTTTAGTAGAGATGAAACAAGAGGGCACTGATCGATGGATCCCTGTATCATTGGCTGCTCCTATCACTGATACGAACATAAATGTTCCACTTGAGATGATGGCTGAAGGTGCAAACTACCAATTTCGTGTAGCTGCTAAAAATATTGCCGGTATTAGCCCGTTTTCGACGCCATCACCACGCTTCCAAAAACGTAAGTTGTCATAAGTAGGATAAAGCTTAGAGGAGGAAATGGTAGTTCATTACAATTATTTTGTTACAGCTTTCGATGTGGCCTTTACAAAGGAGCTGACCGATGCTCATCTTGAAAAACTCCCCAATGATGCTCTTTTTGAATGTGAAGTGTCAAAGCCTGGAATGACCCTTCTATGGTTCAAGAACGGTGTGGAAATCCAACCAGATTACCGATTTATCTACGAGATTGTTGGTGAAGGACCTCTAGCCAATATGGTTCACCGTCTAAAGGTGCTGAATGTTGGACCAGGTGACCAAGGTGTCTATACGGCTCAGCTGATCAATGGATTAACTAGCGCGTCACAGTTAACAGTACATAGTCCACCAAAAATTAATTATGAAGGAAGGGAATTGCTAACTATTGCGTCTGAAAAGAGTACAATCGTTGAGGTACCATTTTCAGGAGCTCCAGCCCCCAAAGTCAATTGGTCTTTCAATGGTGGCAAATTGCCCCTTGGAAAGAACGTTGATAAGCCAATGGCCTCGATCCAAACTGTGTATGGTCTCACTTCTCTGCAGCTGCGTCGTGTTGATCACACCGTTGAGGGTTGCTATCTAGTCCAGGTTTGTACTTACACTAGTTAGAGCTTCCCCTACTCTTTCTTAATAGATATTCTATTGTATATGCGTCTTTTAGGTGAGTAATGAATTTGGAAAAGCCGATCTTGAACTGAAAGTCCAAGTACTGGATGTTCCACAACCAGTGGAAAACTTAAGAGCCGAGATGATAAAGGGTGAACCAATGTCTGCCATGGTCACATGGGAACCACCAAAGAAAGACGGTGGAATGCCAATTACAGACTATATACTGGAAAAACGTGAGGGATCCAAGAGAACATGGACTCCTGTCGGTAATCCTTCGATGGAAATTAGTCGAAAAGTGACCGACTTGAAACCTGGACAGTCGTATTTCTTCCGCGTGTTAGCTCAAAATGCCAACGGCTGGTCGGATCCCGCGGAGATGGATCTTCCACTTCGCGTTAAAGCTGCTTCAAGTATACCACTTTTCCTCTACGTTCCTTTTTTTGCTATCACAATCTTAGCAAATATTTGTACCTCTAGACCCTCCAAACACTCCGAATGCACCCAAAGTTGAGGACGTAACTTCAACGTCTTGCAAGCTCACGATTGAACCTCCAACGTTTGACGGTGGTGCGCCAATCACCTTCTATCACTTGGAAAAGAGAGCCAATCGAAAAGAGAATTGGGTCCGCGCTACCAATAGCAAATTACCCGTGTCTGATCCGGCTAAACCTCACACTGTTTCATTGACTGACCTCATTCCCGATAACGTTTATGAATTTCGTGTTGCTGCTGAGAACGCAGATGCGCTGACAAGCGACTTTTCCATTCCAAGTTCTCGCATTTCTACCAAACCACCGTTCAGTAAGTCTAGAATTTTTCGCTCATTTATGCTACATAAATCGTATGCATGAAGCGATAAAGAACCAAGAATTTTTTGTACTCAATCATTTGTGTTAATGTGGCTTTGTACATTCAATCCTGTGAAAAATGATGCGCTTAAGTACCTTCAGCTAAGTACGCTGTGCATGCAGGTAGAAAAATGCTTTAAACTGGATGTGAGAATTGGAACATTACTATAGTATATTGACATGTTTAAAGAGAAGTGAAATCGCTCACTTGATTTCCTGATCTCGGGAAATGTGACTAGTAAAGATCTCCAAACACCTAACGATTTACCTCCTTCTGAATTGTGTATTTTTGTGATTATCTTAAATTTTTTTAAATTATAGATGCTCCAGGTCGCCCTTCGAAACCAGAGGTGACGATTGCAACAGAGAACAGTGCCACAATCACCTGGAATCCGCCTCATGATGACGGTGGCGATAAAGTTAAGCGTTATGTCGTTCAGTACAAGGCCACCGATGGAACTCACTGGGCTACCTGCGAGGAAGAACCTATTGACTGTCTGATGACTATCACCAAGCTTCAACCCGACTCAGAGTATGAGTTTCGCGTGGCTGCAGTCAATTCTGTTGGTGCTGGAGAGTTCTCTCATCCCTCCCAGCCATATACACCAGAGAAAGCTATTGGTAGGATCGTATTCGAGATTTGCAATTCACTAAATTGAATCATTATTATTTTAATCTATCTAATCAGGGACTATAATTTACGACTTTTTTAGAATCGGCAAAACCCTCCATTTTGCATCCACTGGAAAACGTAACCATATCTGTTAGCACACCGCTCGAACTCAAGTGCGACTTCAAGCTGGGTGAACCCAGGGCCAAGATTGCCTGGTGCGTCTTTCTTTTTCTAACTTCTTTTAATGAATTCTATCAATAATCAAACTGATTCTGTTCCTCTTCTAATAAGGTTCAAAGACGACAAACCAGTGCGCAAATTTACCACCAGCTCGCCTACCGAACGTCACGCCACTTTGAAGACAAATCGTGCTCAATTGGAAGATGCTGGCATTTTCACTTGCAGAGCTGAAAACGCTGCTGGATCTATCAGTACAACTTGTCGCGTCACAGTGATTCATAAACCATCAGTTAAATTGGAACATCCCCGCGGTTCCTCTGAAAAGGTCAATGGTCGCATCAGTGATGGGAAATTGACTGGTAGTGCTCAAGGCCGACTGGTTGTTGAGGCTCTCTGTGAGGCCGTTCCAGCGTGTGAAGAGCTAATGTGGTTGCATAATGGACAGCCACTTGAAGAGACACATCGTCGATTGATTGAACGCGGACTTGGTGACGTTCATCCCAAGGAAAGACCTATCAGTCCCATGAGAACGCGTGAACGCTTAGTAATTAGTGCCCTTGAACATTCCGACACTGGTGTTTACCGTGTTGAGGCTAAAGGTCCTGCTGGACGAGCAGACGCTGCGTTCACTCTAGTGGTTATCGATAAACCTCAACCACCAGCCTCAATAAACGTCATGAAGACACGTGAGACGGATTCATGCTTCATCCAGTGGCACCGTCCAATTTCGGACGGGGGATCTAAGCTTAAACAATACGTCGTTGAGAGTCTAACTGTAGCCACGGACAGGACGGAGGCTGCTCCAATGCTCGACACTAATTGGACAATAATAGGAAAGACTTTGCCGTCTGAACTTGAATTCAAGGCCCGGAATCTTAAACCGGGTATCCTTTATGCGTTCCGCGTTTCGGCTGAAAATGAAGTCGGTCGCAGTGAACCGATTGAAATTGACACGCCTATCGTTCTCCAAAGTCAACTTCGTAAGTTCATCTGCCGTTGCTCGAAATGATACGCTTCTATATGTAATTTATTATTTTTTTCCTATCCACCAGAACTTCCTAGTGAGCCCATCAATGTAGTGGCCACAAGAGGTGGTGATCGTGAAGCCACGGTGAAATGGGAGCCTCCAGAATCTCCCGACAAGCGGGATCTCATCGGATACGTTGTTGAGGCAAGAGAGTCATCAGATATCAAGAGCAGCCCACCGAATCGTTGGACTCGTATTGGTCCCTCGACAGTGAGGGATGCCACTAAGTTGCGTTTAACTGACCTCAATCCTAGTATGGACATTCAGTTCCGGGTACTTACTCGCACTCATGCTGGGCTGAGTGAGCCATCCGAACCGACTGAGTGGCTTATCAAACCGGAACCAAAAAGTAACATATTATTAGAAGAATTAGTATGTTTTATTGTACATAATGGTCTAAGGAATCCTTTTTTAATCCAGCAAGCTACGAAAGGACCTCTCCGACCCAGGTGCACAAAGTTGACGGTTCATCGAAGGATATCACTGATATGACATCAGAAGATCGGCGGCCAAAAGATATTGTCGAGCAAGTTCGTGAATTCAGAGAGGCTATAAAGCCAAAGGCACCTTCAACCAATGGTAAATTTTCTTTTTTTTACGCTACTAATCACGATAAAATCATAAACCTAAAATGCCTTCACATGTGTAACTTTTTAATAGAGCCCCCAAAAATTGAGATCACCGCAGATAAGTTGTTTAAATGTCGCGAGGGGACAAATCTACGGGTTCCATTATCTGTCAAGAGCCCTGTACAGGCATCAGTAGAACTAGAATTGGAGAGTGGACGCCCACTGAGTAACGAAGCCTCACTTCGTAGTCTTGTCGAACAATACGGCGACTCATACTATGTCAACTTGAAGAATCTGGCTCTAACTGATACTGGTCACTACCGCATCAAAGCCACAAACGTGGTGGGAAGTTCACATGCACCCTTTGAGCTTGTTGTCATAGCTCCACCACAAACACCCAGAGGTCCAATTGAAGTTCGAGAAATCAAGCTCGCCAAGGGTATCTATGATGGAAATACCGTAGAAGTCTCCTGGAAAGTTCCCGCGCTCAGGGAAGGCGAAACTCTTGAAACTGCAGTCATTGGATACGTAATTGAAAGGAAGGATGGGAAGAGAAAGGACTTTGGTCGCCCTATCAAGGTACAGGGACCAAATACTTGCACAGCTGTCGTCGAAGATCTTCAGCCTGGTGTGGAATATGGCTTTAAGGTGTGCGCTTTTAATTCTGCCGGCATGAGCGAACCCCTCTACTCCGGTCCAGTTACAATTAAAAGTCCATTTGGTAGGTTCTTGTTCCTGATTTTTTTTACTTTGAATTGCCACTGAAATAAAAAAAATTTACTCCTTGATTTATTTAATTTCAGATGTTCCTGGTACTTGCAAAGGGCCACTTAAATGCACTGACAAGTCGGCGACATCGTTGGTGCTTAATTGGCAACCACCAGAGAAGAATGGGGGTCTTCCCATTAAGAAATATCATATTGAACGGAATGAAGTAGGTTCGTCTGATGGCTGGCAACCTTTGGCCATCGTGATGGCACCAACAACTAGCTGCCCTGTAAGTGATCTCCGGGAGGGTATCCCATACCGGTTTCGAGTTCGTGCCATTAATGACCAAGGCAACGGTGAATGGTTGAATACTGAATCATCCATTTCCCTCAATCGCCCAATCGGACCACCCTCCGAGCCAGAAAAACCTCTGCGAGTGACACCTGTGGATGATACCTCTGCCAATCTTTCTTGGAGATCTCCTCATGACGATGGAGGATCCCCGGTAACAGGTTATATTGTCGAAGCTAGCCGCGAAAGCACCGACCAGTGGGAGAATTTGGGTGTTATCAAAGACACAGCCTTTAAAGTAACTAAACTGATTCCAGACGACACCTACACCTTTCGCGTCTCTGCCCTCAATGAAGCTGGTAAGACCGGTGAACCGCTTTACTCAGTGCCATACAGACCAAGTGCACCTCCCACTGCTCCAGGAAAACCCGCAGCTCCTATTATTTCGCATCCTCTTGAGGCGGGTCAAATGGTCTTGGATTGGGGTCCCTCTCCTTTCGGCGGAACCTCGGGCTACGGGCCTCCGTCAGAGTACCACATAGAACGCTGGGAGCCTATGAAGGATAGATGGGTTCATGTCGCTAGAAAACCGGCAACTGATGGCACGACAGTCCTCGTCACTGGTCTAAGACCAGGAGAGAGTTATAAATTCCGAGTATTTGCTGAAAACACCGCCGGTATAAGTGAACCGTTAGAAATGGATAAACCCGTTCTTGCGGTTAGTCCCTACAGTCCTCCCTCTGCGCCTGTCGGACCGATGCATATATCTGAAGTACAAAAAGGCGAGTCTGCAGCTGATGGATCTGCTCGTTTGTCCTGGCAAGAGCCAACCGATGATGGTGGAATTCCACTAACAGGATACATTGTTCAAATGCGTTATGCGAATACCACAGCGTGGCATAAAGTCGTGCACCTACATGAGCCTACGGTTGATGAGGATACTGATGTAATTCTTCCGACGACTACACCAGTGATAGGACTTAAGCGCTCGAACGGATACTATTTCCGCGTTGCTGCGATTAATCGGGCTGGCACCGGACCCTTTTTGGAATCTGAGTTGTTTGAAATGCCCGAAGATGAAAGTGAGTTGTCAAATTTGATAATTCGACGCACTTCTTCAAACAACAATATGTTTTTTTACAGGTTGTAGGCCAAAAGCTGAATGGATCAGAGTTGTTGGTAAAGGATCAGACAGTGTCACCGTCGAATGGCTTGTTCCGCATGATTGCAGAAAGGATCATGGTCCCCACATACCGCATCATTTGGCTCTTGATGGGTTCAGAGTGTATGTAAAGGCAGCAGAAATCCCTAACGCTGAATGGAAAGCTGTTGCTGACCTTGACCACTACATGAATCGCCTTGTTGTGGGTGGATTAAGTCCCGACAAAAGATATTACTTCGGTGTTGCAGCCGTCAATCAACTAGGTCCTGGCGAGATTGTCTCCACCACAGAACCTGTTTCTCCGGAAGCCGTTACTAGTAGGCTTAACTTGAGTAATCAATGCTCTGTTAATACTTTAATGTAACTAAAATCGGTTTTCCTCCATAGCTGTTCCTGGGCAGCCTATTGGACCACTTGTGGTCTCTGATATCACTCAAGACAGTTGTGTGCTCAGTTGGAAAGCACCGTACAGCGATGGAGGCACTCCTATTACCGGATACACTATATTCAAGCGCGAGATGTTCCGTAGGAGTAATCAAGAAGTTGGACGTATTCCTGTTGTTCCTGGTAGTCTTCAACGAGCGTTTGAGTTTAAGGTCCCCTACTTAATGGAGGGAACTTCTTATGAATTCCAAGTGGTAGCTGAAAACAAAAATGGTTTCTCTGAACCGCTTGTCACTGCTGCCGACGTTCATCCACGCAAAATGACAGGTACCTTGATGCATGTATACTGCATGAGAGGACGATGGAGAATACCCATTACAATTTCATAGGGTTTAATTATCTCCTCGCTAGTTTTCCACAAATATTTTCATAAAGTACCTTTGTCAGCTGGTGTTAACCGCGTGTAACTTGAAGAGGTTTGCTTGTTCCACTGTCCGTTAAAAGCCCTGCGATACATGTCTTTCGTGGAAGTAAGATTCAAGTAATTTGTAGGTGAGCCCGTTGATTTAGCAAACTGTAATGCGTAAATCAGGAGTCGCACCTTTTCGTGAAATTAGCATGAATGTACAGTAATTCATATTATGCACATTAAGGTGTCTTAATTTACTGGTGTGTTTTACTTTGAAAGTGTCAGAGAGTAATTGCCGCAGTACAAGTTTGAAATGTGTTAAATTCTCAGTCAAATCTCCCATGCATTCATTCACTTTCTTTAGGCATATAGAACATTTTAATTTGTTTCTTGTTCAGCCTATTTCTTTTCTTGTAACTTTAGAACCACCGGGAGCACCTAGAGGACCACTGTACGTTCGTGATCACGATATTGGCCAAGTTGAATTGGCTTGGGGACCGCCCGTGAACACAGGCGATCTACCAATAAAGGGATACAAATTAGAGTTGCGAGAGGGGCGAAGCTTTACTTGGAGAACCTATCCTAACGAGGAAAGTATGGTTTCTAATCAGCCCGAAGAGCTCGCCAATCCTTCAGTAGTTGTATCCGGGATCAAGCCGAATAAGGAATACTTCTTCCGGGTTTCGGCTATTAATAGTGATGGGTGTGGACCTCCTCTTACTGCAGCTGACAGCTATGTGAAAAGAGTACGGCTGGAACCACCGAAGCGTGTCACCGCCAAGCTAGCCTCACCCTCTGAGTCAGGTCCTGGGAAAGTAGAGGTCACATGGATATCACCAGATGTTCCAACCTTGAGCGGCTTCACTGTTGAAATGATGGACACCGAAGATGTTCGGTCGGAGTGGGTACCGATGGACTTCATTCCTAAAATGCCAAATGAATCAGGAAACACTGCTTATACGTATAGAGCAACAGCTCCACGACCTAAGTCTGTCTACAAATTCCGAGTCAATGCGGTCTACCCTGAAAGCAAGAGCGACTGGATCGAAACGAACTTCGTTCTGGCATCTGAGCCAACAAAGGAGTCCCGCATACCACCACCAATCATTGAAGCCAAATTTGTACCCTCTACGGCAACTCCTGGTGGAAAAATACCAGCAACTCTACGTTGGGAAACACCCGCAAGTGGAGATGTCGATTCTATTCGTGGTTATACCGTTGAGAGCTGGGATATTAAGCGTCGTACATGGAAACCGGTTGCTCATATACCAAAGGAGGCCCCACGAGAGTTAACCTTTGAGCTTCCTCCAGCCTGTTCTACACCGCTAATGCGCATTACTTCAATGGGTGATGCGACTAGATCAACTCCATTCGAAGTGCCTCTTGAGCGAGCAAAGAGAATAGAAAGGACGGGAGAAATCCCAGGCGATTGGAAACCTCTGCCTTCTGTTACCGGACCCATTGGGCCAGAGTACAACGCTGATGAAGAGCTCTCGATGATTCGCACCGGTGCTGCAACGCCCTTTGTCTCAGAATTTATTCTGCAAAGAAGGCAGGCTGCTCTAGATATGATTCGTCGATCTACTGCGACACCCAGATCAGCAGGACTTGATACAATACCACTCGAAAGATTCTTTGCTGAGACACCCTTGGTTGAAACGCTCGACTTGCCTCAAAGCTCATCTACACCTCATCCTCTAGACCGTCTTAGAGTAACAGATATTGGTAAGACAACAGCTACAGTTGAATGGCCGGAAATTGCCGATCAGAGTGGTTTCACTGTTGAACGTTGGCGTCCTACCAGTGGTCGATGGACTCGTTTGGCAGAAGTACCACCAAGTGAAACAAGGTACGTTGTACCTTTGTCCGAAATTCCACGGACTGCACCCTCCGATGAAGCGCCTATTAATGTTTGGGTCCGTGTTGTCCCACGTGATGCTGAAGGACGGCCATCAGCTCCTCCTTTTCAGTTGGAAAAACCGATTACTCTACCTGGTGGGGAATTTGTTCCATCCTCTGTTTGGGGTGTTGATATATCACCCGTTGGTGGTCTCTCAACACCTGGTCGACCCGTCGATGTATCGTGGCGCCCTCCAAGCTTTACTGGTGGATTACCCCTTACCGGCTACAAACTCGTAATAACTAATGCAGACACAGAGGAACAAAAGTCTGTTTTTGTTGAACCTAAAACGACTACATATCGTCTGGAAGGACTGAATCCGCAACACGAGTACAGAGTTTCAATTACAGCAGTAAATCGCATTGGGGAATCAATGACTGTAACTTCAACCGTTCCTAAACCACCTACAATCGAAGATCATCTTCGACGTCCACCAGCCCCAACGTCAGTAGAGTTAGTACCTGTCTCAGGTGGTTCTCCCGAAAGCAAATCCGGCCTTCTTTCTTGGAGACCAGGTTCAAGGACTGGAGCAAGCCCAACTAATTCCTATGTCATTGAAAAATGGGATTCTTGCAGTAAACAGTGGGTTCCTTTCAAAAAGGTTGGAAAAGAAGTGACTGAAATCACCATACCTTATCTCTTGAATGACGTAATGTACGCTTTCCGGGTGCGCGCTCAAAACGAAGCTGGACTGAGTGAACCTGGTATTGCAAAAGAATACTTTAGCCCCGGAAAGCCACTTGAAGAACTTCTATTCCCAGCTGAAAAAGCGCCTCCAGCACCACCTAGAGGACCACTGGCCTACGAGCCACTAACCTCAAAGCAACGCTTTGACCTTGCCACAGAAAAAGCAATGAAGATAATGGAGTTCCACTGGGAGGAACCCATTATGACAGACCGATTCTCAATTCCAAGGTCGTACATTCTTGAAGCAAGACGAGGTGGACAGCAGAAATGGGCCATGGTGGGTCGAAGACCTATTCCAGAGGGTAGTCGGTGGAAAGTGGCATTTGGGCCGTCTCCACCCACAATGATGCCAATGCCAGATATTGACATGAGTCTTCCTTCATTACCAATGCTACCTCCTGCTGAGCCAAGAATCTCATGGCTACCTGGAGAGCCGAAAGACTATGAGTATCGTTTGTCATCAGAGAATGAATACGGATTCAGTGAACCAATTTACTTGAGGCCATCTGTCATTCCAGATCTGTCTCGACTATACTCGCCAATAAAACCGTTCGTTAAGGAATTGGTCAAACCTGCAGAAATTGAACCACCTCGTGGACCGATTTCAATTGCTCGTCTGCCGTCCAGACCAATGAGTCACCGAGGTCCTTTTGCTCCTGACCTGCAACTAGGCCCGAAACCTTTGCCCGACGTTCTGATATCTTGGAAGCCGCCGTTATCCACTCAGAATATACGTGGTTATGAAATCACTTATCGTGAACCGTTCCGCACCACATGGACTCATTTAGGGATGGTTGATGCTGAGAATACCAGTTTCAGGATTCCGAGGATAGTGCTTAGGGAATTGCCGGAAGCTATTCATCTTGGAATTTCATCTGTGGGTGACAGACACACTCGTACAACACCATACTTGTCCCCACGACTTGAAGATACAATCTTAATTCCTAAATCGACTGAAGAAGAAATTTCACCTCGTGAAGAGCTTGCTACGCCTATCTCCTCTGCCTATGTTAGCGCTCGAGTTAAAGACAGACCATCTATGGGAGTTACACCCTCAGGTGAAGTTGAAGTCTCTTGGACCTTCCCTGAAGCGAGGCGGCAACTCAAACGCCCCGAGGGATACATCGCCTTCTACCGAGAGCTTGGCAGTCAACAATGGCAAGAAATTGACCGCTTCCCTGTAGGACGTCCAAAAGATACTGTTGTTTTGCGTGAATTGCCTCGAGGTACCGCCATGTTCATTGGAGTCGCACCTCTCGTGTCAGGTCGAATTGGGCAAATCGTGAGTACACCTGATACTGTGCGGCTTCCAGGTCGTGAGGCCAAAGAAACTCCCAAGCCTCTGTTTGAGCGAAAGCCCCTTCAAATTAGACCGATGTCTCCGGGAGGTATTGAGGTTTCCTGGGCTCCTCCAGCTACGATAAACGATTTGCTTTCACTGAGCCCAGGAAAGGTGCCTAAGTATGAACTTCAAGTGCGTCATCCTGAAGAAAGACTATGGCGCCCTATTGGTCGGCCAGAGCTAAGTGAATCCCTTAGAAGACCTTCGATTGGTGAACAGCCTGTCGCATTCCATCTTCATGATCTGCATCCGGGTGATAGACTGGAACTGCGCCTACTTGCCTATTCGGATCTTGGGAAAAAACCCGTTCAAGTCAGTGCAGAACAGACGTACAAATTCATCTCACCTTACGGTAATTTAGTTCTTTTATTTTCCTAAAACTTTGATTTTATTTTGACTAATTCTATTCTTCTTATCCATTTAGATATTCCTTCAGCTCCTAGAGGTCCTCTAATGGTTGAGCGAAGACCAGTTTTGCCATCGAGACTTCCTACACTTTCACCACTAAGAAAGTCTGCTGGTGACTTCGATGAACTTCTGTACCGGCTTTCAACATTTCCTGGTGCTCCCGTCACACCTAAGTTCCATGAGCGTCGCGAAACACCGACTGATTTGGTGAATCTGAGCTGGCGCCCTCCAGATGACACTGGTGGTCTTCCTATCACTCACTATCTCATTGAGCAGCGTTCATATGATCATCGTGGACTTCCAGCTCCATGGGTTCCTGTCATGACAGTTCCTGCTGGTCAAACATCAGTACAGCTCCAGCCTGATACTAGAAGATTCAAAGCCGAGCCATCACTTTATCGTGTTCGTGCAGTCAACGTTGTGGGACCTGGCCTGCCACTAGAGGCTCTTGAACCAATAACACTAACTACTCGTGACAAATCCCTGGTGGTTGGTAAGGAATCAATCCAGCACTTACCAGAAGCACCACTGGGCCCTTTGAGAGCTGAAATCCTTCCTGATTCCATGGTGTGTTTGAGTTGGGAAGCACCTCGTCGATGGCTAGGTTATTCCCCACGCCAGAGTGAGGGTGTTAGGACTCCAGTTTATCCACAGAAATACATAATTGAAGCAACTTTGGCAGATGATTCCACTATGCCATGGCTTGAGGTGGGAAAAGTTCCGGGTTCCGTCACCACTGCCACAGTTCGAATGCCGTCTCTTAGTCTCTTCCGTCCCGGTAGTTCTGTCGAGACACCCTCATCACGACCAATTTTGTACCGTGTGAGGGCCGAAAATGAGTACGGGTATAGTGCTCCATTGACAACGCGCGTAAGACCTGATTTCAAATTGCAAGCGTCACTGTCCAAACTTCCCAAGTTGCCGGATGTTCCTGTTCGAGCAAGAATACTGGAACCATTGGAAGAGTACGAAGTGGGGGTTCCTCCCTCAATTAAACTTGAATGGGCTCCGTTCACACCACCTGCTTTAATACCGGGAGCTTCAGATCGAACTCCTTCAGTCGACTATAGCTATCAGGTTGAATATCGGCCCGCTGGTGACCTGGGTTGGAGGCATCTGGCCACCTTGCCGCTCGGTCATGAACGCTATACTTTCTATCCACCAGCGCCTTCATTTCGTAATCTTGAACAACCCAAATCAGAAGCCTTCCAATTTCGTGTCGGCGTCCGTGGGCCAATCGGAGTCGGCGAATTTCGAGATTCAAACATTGTCTCCTGGAATTATCGCATTCGTACCCCTCGTTCAGTACCTTTCTCAAACCTAGAACCTATTTTGACATCTCGGGCTCCACTTGACTTTGAGTTAGTCCGCACTAAGGTCGATACTCCAAGGGAGCCCTATACGACACCTACCGGAAGTATTTCACTGAAATGGAGAGTGCCATCATACGACAGAATATCTGCCCCAGAAAGTTATGTTGTGGAACGCTGGATTCCTGAGACCGGTACTTGGCGAACTCTGAGCCACAAACTGGAGGGTTATGGTCACGGAATCTTCGAAACAACCGTACATTCTCTTCCCATAGATGAACCACACTTTATTCGTGTCTCTTCTGTCGGTCACATGGGAACTAGCGAACCGGCTACTCTGCCTTATCCCATCTGGATACCGGTCACAGCACCTACTACTAGATCCGGTAATACTTCCTTTAGAATAATTTCTGCTTTCGTGTATTGCATATTGACACCTTGCCTTACCCGATATTTAGCGGCTCCGGAGCCACCAAGAAACTTAGAAGTTACGCCAATTTTACGAGATCGTCCTGGATTCCTGTTGACGTGGACACCTCCTGAAGTTCCCGTCAGTAGACGAACTACCAAAATTCCAACACTACCATCCGGTTATTTCGTTGAGTATCGACCAGTCGGGGGCGAGTGGAAACTGCTAGCTGACTTGCCAGCATGGCAGACTGATTTGGAAACAACTAAAGTGGAATTAGGCAAATCCTACGATTTCAGAGTAATGTCGAAAGGACGGTTAGAGTCTGTACCATTAACTCCATCAGCTCGTCGTCCAAGTAGGTCAGTCTACCCTGAGACCTCCCCTGCCGCTATGAGCAAGCCAGCCGTTTCTGGGCCTCATACTCTGCCCAAGCAACTAGGTACGCATAAACTTTGAAATACACTTGGCATGATTTTTAGTTTTCCTTTGTTCACACTTTATTTTGTTCCTTTAAGTTCCTCCACCAAGCATCAGCGGCTTACTGGACGTGATACCGACACGCGAAGGCATGCAACTTTCTTGGGAACCGCCGCGAGAACTTCCTTCAGGTTATGTAATCGAACTGAGGTCTTTGGACGACCAACGTCACGTATGGAGAACTGTCACCCGCATCCCATCGGTCGATCGTGGACTTCCTATATCGAGTTTCCTCATTCGCTATTTGGAAGCTGATAAATCCTACCGATTTCGGGTGATTCCCTACCAAGATGAGATATACGGTCGACCGGTTGAAAGTTTGGTTCCCTATCGCGTACCTCTTGCTGATGAACTCGGTTTCCACTTGACCCAACGTCCTAGAACTATTCCACCTCCTTGTGGACCGGTAACCATTGAGGAGCTTCCAAGTGGACTGTTCCGACTTGGTTGGCGTCCCCCTGCTGTTGATCTTAGGATGCCAACACCAGGCCCTATCATGTATGTTGTTGAACAGCGCATTCCAGGGCGTCGACAATGGGTCGAAATTGGTCGGACACCAAACCTTAGCTACACAATTGATTTAGACACAACCTCTCAATTCCGTATAAAGACTCTCGTCGGTGAACCGTCAAACATTCTTCGTGGAGCCGAATATCTTGTTGGAAGTGACGATGGTCCACAGTCGGATTGGATACGACTTGAAGAAAGAATCCTTGAAACAACAAAAACTGATATGGTGAGACGTTTACCAAGAGACTCTACCGTCAAAGTAGAGCAAATAGCCATCCCTAAACGACTGTTTGCACGTCATGTTGGTCCATCCTCCGTTTTGCTTGAATGGGAATACCCAAAGTTGCCGGACCATCCAACCGGCTACCTCTATCTCGAACAGCGTCTTGTTCCTGACTCAAAGACTGACTTCGTTCAACCACTATGGGAACCGATTGCGCGTATTCCAATCTCGAGCCTAAAGACCAGCTATGAAGTGTCTGACCTTTCACCGGGACATTCATACCTCTTCCGTCTTGTCGGTAAATACGGTGGAAGTAGAGCGTCCTTAAAACAAAGTGAAATTTCACTCCCTAAGCCTATTAGAACACGTGGGGGCGACTTGAGAAGCACAAACCTGCCTAAAGACATGGACTACCTCATGATTCCAAGAAGCTTTACAGCCACTTTCAATCGGACCCCATCAGGTGGACTTCGCTTTACCTGGCTCCCTCCAGAAAGCCTGGAAAGTCAAACAAGCAAGATTCGTTACAGAATCGAAGTGCGTTCAGTACATGACCGTGCAAATGCGTGGAGATTGTTAGCAAAGGATATCAAAGGCACTGAATACGCCTTGGATGCAACGGAATTTGAGAGATCGCTTTTCCTTCATCGTCCCGCTAAAGGTATACCAAAAACTGATTCCACAGACTGGCATTTCCGAATCATTGCTACCGTCGATGGAGTTGACAGCCACCCAAAGTTGCTGTCAAGTCCTCTTTCAATAACAACGGAAAGTGGTGAGTTAAAACTAGACAAATTTGCATTCGTTAATAGTATCTTATGATTTTGCAAGCTGGATAGGAAATACGCAAACAGAAGCATCTCGAAATTGGAGGAAAATACATTAAAAATATGTAGATAGACCTATATCACCTGAAAATACGTTTTTTGGAGTCTAAGATATTAGAAAGCTTTTCAGGTAAATTCTCTTCCGTTGGGCATTTACACTAGATGTTTTAAGAATAAAGTTAGACCAGCGTTAATTTAATACCATATGTTTAATAGTACCGACTCGGATAAGTAAAGTATATAATATTCCAGATGGATTTACCTTACTCTCTTGGACTTTTTAATATATTACCTCAGAACGGAAGAAATTGCGTTTCCTTAATGTGGACAAGAATTGTGACATCAAATGCGTTTTGGGTCAGACTTTGGTAATCGTGTTTGAAGTTGAAGGTTCGCCGAAACCCTCAGTTTCATGGTAAGTGCTATAGCCATTCCATCGCGCACTCGGTAGAGGTTCAATTGGCATAACTCCCACTCCTTTTACACTTTAGGTTCTTAAATGGTGTTACAATATACCCTGAGATTGATTCCAACTACTTGGTCGTATCGAAATCCCCAGGCATCTACGAGCTTCGCATAAACAACATAAATTACATCCATGAGGGTATCATAACTTGCAAAGCTCGAAACTTTTATGAAGAAATTGAACAATCATGGCGGATTCACATTGATGGTAGGTATTGAATGAATAGTAGTGATTTTAATACCAATCCATGGTTTATCGAACATGTTTTCCATTTTAGCTCCTATACGATTCAGTCGTACCGTATTCCTGGCCGGCCAGAGTGACCATCGTGTGACAAGTGGAGGAAATTGGAACGTGCGCCTCCCATTGGATGTACCGTACCATGTGACTGACAGATCACATTGGGTTCATCGAACTTGGGTTGAGTGCATCTGGAAGCCACGTAGTGCCTCTCCTGACATCGTTCTCCCTGCAGAACGTCGCGCAGTCGTCAAGATTTCGGATTGCGGACGATGGCTAATACTCGATCTACCAGGAGTGCGTGTTCAGGATGAGGGGCTCTATCGCGTTTGGATAGAAAATGAAGCGGGTCGCGACTACTTTGATCTCAGACTCTACGTCGACGATAAGCCGAGAGCCAAACTGCAGCCACCCAATATCTTCCCTCAAGGTCACTCCCACTTCCTTCTAAGCTGGCAACCACCATCTTCCACAGACGATACGATTACCAGTACCGGCTATCGAATCGAGTACATTTCCGATAAACAGTTGGACGCCGAGGAAAATTGGCAGCTCCTTGGAACCACTGGAATCAATCAGACTGAGGTGTTGATCGGTCCTCAACTGAAAATTGGTGAAAGATACCGATTCAGAGTTCGGCTACAAAATTTGCTAGGCCTTGGTCCAGCAAGCGAACCTTCTCGATTTATTTGTGTGGAAACAACTGAGGATGAGGCGGAAGACCGTACCATATCTCGTCGTCGCTATTCACGGGAACCGATTCGGTTCAGTAGCAGGAAGTTCGAGGATCGATATGAGATTATTGAAGAGTTAGCTAAAAGTCGGCACGCGTATCTCTACCGAATTCGGGATCGAGAGACGGGTGAATACAGAATTGCCAAGATCATGGATTTGGGAGATCTTTCATACATTCCTGTTAGTAGATCTTACACTTCATTGGCTGATTTCCGTTCGTCAGTTTACACACCATCTACACGCATCCGCCACGAAGCTGAAGAGGACCGTCGTTTGCGTGCTGAAAGGGAACTCAAATTGCTTGCTTCGACACATCACAAAAACATTGCTGAACTTCGCGACGTTTTTGTTGATGCTCAGCGTTTGATCTGGGTTATTGGCGACATGACGCCAGAAACTCTCTGGGATCAGATTAAGAACCGCATTAGAATGACCGAGTTCCGAGCTGCATTAATCATGAAGCAAATACTAAGTCTTATGGAAAGCTTACACGACCGCAACGTGGCGTTCCTCGGTGGTGTGGATCCATCGGATATATTCTTCACTGACAAGTTACGTCGAGATATTGTCCTTGGTGGGGTTTCGGAGTATCACAAGTTGACTGAGGACAAACCCGTTCGATTGACTTTCAGATCGACTATTTACGTTCCTCCAGAGCTGTATTCTTCCGATAGACTTTCAACAAACATCCGTCCGCAGGCTGAAATTTCAAGAGCCACAGACGTGTGGTCTGCGGGTGCCCTACTCTATCAAATGCTGACAGGAGACACTGAGCATCGTCCGAGTGTTGAAGCACTTGAGAAGCTTAATCTGTCGCCAGAGTTGCTCGATTTCTCGCGTAAGCTTCTTCATCCAGATCCAACTCTTCGACCAACGATCGCCGAGGCTCTGAGACATCCATGGATTACGACTGAGCACAAGACGACAGAAGACATTATTTCCCAAAGCGCTCGTAGACTAGAAGAGGCAACCAGCAATGCTTATAAACGCCTTCTTCGAAAGATTGACTGGAGTGAGGGGCTTGATGAGGAAGATAACGATTTTGTTGATGAAATGGAACATGAAATTCGAAAAAGAAGAAGGCTTACCGAGTATCGCAAACGCCGCCGCATGAGTCTTGACGAGTATGATAAGGAAAGAGACTATGAAGATGATGAGGGTATTGCAATGAACGTCTTCCTCCGTGGACGTGGTCGCGTTCCAAGGATTGCCGTACCAATGGCGAATGCCGATGCGTACGAGGGCAGCGATACTGTAATGAAGTGTGTTCTAGCACCACCTGCCGGAGAGCGACTGGATCTCAATGATGTTACCGTCGAGTGGTCCGTGAATGGAAAGGTCATTGACCTAGATCATCCCAGCCTTCGCATGACTGAAAAATATGCAGCCAAGTTTGATCGCTCGACTGGAGAGGCCACGTTGCGAGTGAAAAATCTAAGCGTCTATGATGCTGGTACCTATGTGGCCACTTTCCGTGGACGTTTTGGCATCACATCTGAATCGGCCAACCTCAAAATTTATCGTATGTTCATTCTTTATTAATCATCTGTATTTGCTTGCATTTATAAAAAACCTCCGGTTTCATCTAGGTGAAACAGCACAGCGTCCGACATCACGAGAAACAGACACAAGCATGGCCAGTGAAATTGGAGCGAAAATCCTTCGACCTCTTGTTGATCACACTGTGGTGGCTGGGGAATCTCTCAAATTCCGAATTAGAGGTGCGCTTTGTTCTCCAGAACTTCGATTTATTGTTTTGAAAAGTTACAAGCATATTCTCTTTTTTAGTTGGTGGTATCCCTCGACCTAAATGTACATGGACGCGAAATGGCTTATCGTTGGACAATGATCCAACCTGTCGCATCCAAGAGGAACTCGTTTCCACGTCAATTAGTCGCTCAAATGAAATTATTTGCACTTTTGAGATTCGTAATATGAAGCTTTCTGATGCTGGCATTTATTCCGTCAACGCTTACAACAAGAATGGTTCGGATAGTTGTTCTGCATCAGTTACAGTGCTACGTAAGTTTTTATTAATTCAGTCTTAATTAAAACTTAGCAATTAACAACACCGTGAAATAAATGAAAATTTTCTCCATCATGTAGCGGAGCGCACTTCAGGCTCTTCGGTCCCCAAATTCATTACTGGTCTCTCGAATACTTCCACAGTTACGGGTGGCACCGCCACTCTGGAAGCTGAAGTGGAAGGCTTCCCTGAACCTCAGATCCGCTGGTTCAAAGATGGTCGTATGGTTGTTGTTGGCGGTCATATTACCACTACAGCTACAGAGACTAACAGCATGAATCGCCTTACCTGTCGTCTTGTCATCACAGGCTGTCAATTGGAGGATACCGGTGCCTATGTTTGCGCGGCAACAAGCGCCTCCGGCACAGCTATCTCTGAAGCCACTGTCATCGTAAAAGGTAAAAGTCCCAGATTTACCTGAACTCAAGCCAATATAATTCAAACTAATTTGGCATCTTCTCATTGTTGCTTTTAACTTAGGTGCATTCATGAGCTCGACAACAAGACGTGATTCAGAAAGCAGGCTATCAATCACACGATGTCATCCCCCTGAATTCGTCCAACGACTGAAATCCCGTGTTGTGACCCTTGGAAACTCTGTGCGTCTGTCTGCTTCCATCATGGCAACTCCACCCGCTAGCATAACCTGGGAAAAGGATGACATTCCATTGATCACAGATTCTGCAAATTCACCATACCAAACAAAGGTATCTTGACTTTGAATATTCGGTTGTATTCTCTAAGCCAATTTTCTCAACGCACCATGTTCATCATATTGTATTTCCACTTATTTGGCCAAACAGCTTCAGCGCAATTAAACCATGTTTTTATTCACATCTAGTTTTGAAACCCGTTCATTCTATGTTATGAACATCACCTACCTTTATGTTGAGTAGAATTTGAATGGAAACGTGGAGCTGCGCATTGAAAAGTGTACAGCATCGGAGTTGGGCAAGTACACACTTATTGCTTACAACAGTGCTGGTGAGGCACGCTGCTCATGCCAGCTGGAGAAGGCTCGAGAGGAGGTCTTTAAGGTGCCTTGTTTTGTCCGTCAACTCGTGGACCGATACCTCATCTCTGGACAAAAAGCTATCCTCGAGGTGATTGCTGAAGGTCACCCCATCCCTGAATTCAAGTGGTATGTTCTGACACTTTTCTATTTTTAATGGAATAAAGTAAACAATGAAAGATTAAATTTACACTCTCATCCTGTACATTCATGAGTTCGGGTAATTTAAAAATATAATGTTCATCTCAGGCTCTGCAGGATTTTTTGGCCCTATAATGCTTAAAGTGAGAAAATTATTTGACAGATTTTGATAACCATCATAGCTAATCTATCATATTTACTCATTCATAAGTATAAATATTGTAAGCTTCACTTTTCAATATCACTCAAGTCAATTTCGCCCCTTCATTCTTTTTGACAGGGAAAAGGATGGTCTTGATATTCGACAGGAGTCCCATCCTCGTTACATCTTCTCTGCCTCAGCTACGTCCGGCAGAGCGACACTTACCATTCCTGTTGTTGAGAGAGACGACGCCGGACTGTATTCATGCGTTGCCCATAACCCTGTCGGTCGTGATCGATGCTCCTGCCTGATTTACGTAGATGGCGGTGGTGTTCAACAGAGAAAATCAACATCCTCTGCCTCAACATCGATCACTGATACCGATAAGCGACCACCACAGCCACCGAAAGTTCAGCCAGCTACCACTCCGGGTCAAATCGAGGTGGTCACAAGTCTTCCTGCTGTCCTAGAAATCAATGAAGGTGACGAATTGCGACTCTTCTGTATTGTCAAATCGGACGTCCATCTTATTCGTAAGTCCTACTAGCTCATCAGGCATAACATCAAGTTTTAAACATTTACTCTGCTGGTCATTTTACTTTGTTTATGAATCGTCTGTTGTGTAGCAACCTGGACAAAGGCCGGTCGCACACTCGCTTTCGATGGCCGCCGCAGAATCACTCGTAACCTCATGGGAGAGATGTGTCTCACAATCGATCAAGCCATGACCACCGACGCTGGGCGATACACTCTCACAGTCGCACCATCAGACGCGACTTTGGCCGAAACCATGAAACCTGTCGTTCTTAACACGCGTGTTGAAGTCAACCCCAAAATTCGCTCCCGTACAAGGTATAGTTTGCTCGCAATCCTTTGTATTAGTTATCTTTCACGTAAACGCTAAAGGAAATTCGGAGCCTGTTTTTTCTTGCTTTTTAGAATAAGTAGTCAAATGGAAACGCAGGAACGGTCACGCTCTACTCGTTCATGGTCACGGCGCGAAAGTAGTTACACGTACTCCCGCAGTTCCAGAGAGAGATCCTTCCTGCGATGAAATGTGTGCCCTGTTTTTCAACGCCAATCCTAACGACCCAAACGATTTCAACTGACCTCTGTAAAGATCAATTCGATGCATTGTGTATAGCGAGCATCCACACAGACGCCTGACAATTTTGCTTTAGCTAAACAGTTTTTGATTTTTTCACAGATTTTCGACAGCTCACTGATTTCATTTATAGGAATTACTACCATTTACAACCTTTCGCTGGTAAAACCGATAAAAGCCATTACTTTAAACTAGCAATTCAGTTAACGATGGGGGTGTGAGGTATGCCCTGACACCTCACAACATCTCATACTTTCAATTTCGACTCACCGGTTATGTCATACTTTGACTACCGGGAGACTTTCAGACCAACAACCAACTACTCACGACTCTAACCAACTATCCAACATCTGCCTGTGAATCAATCAAATAACCACTCTGGTTTCTGCGTTGAACTGACCCCACGTCCCAACTCCATTTCCCCCCTTCCTCCCTTCCCACCTCCCCTCTCTCTGCAAAACTCACGAAACTCAAACACAAAACTGACATGCAGCTAACTTCACCAATCTAGATGTCATGCTTTTGCATTTGTTCTCTCTATCTCGTGATTCTCATTTACCTGTTCAAGCAATTTAAGAAATAAAGCTTTCTCATACTTTTTTTGCTCACCAGCTAAGCAGTATTTTAACCACTATTCCACCACAGGATCATAAGTGCTGTCACGTACAACTACCTTTGAACTATCAAGGGAGGGAGTTGATTTTACATTGTGGGTGCTGACTAGTACTGTCAACTTCCGGTTCTTATGGTGGAGTGGTTACTGCGCTTCCAACCGCAGATTTGTTGGATTTCCCCATATACTTCATAGGAGAAACGTTTCAATGTGCGTCGAATCCTTTAGCAAAGGCATTTGCGGAAGTTTAAGTATAAAAAGATCCTAGAAGGAGTAAGTCGCAGGATTACAACATGTCGTCAATGCTTAGTGTATAGTAAAGATGTTGGCAGCTATCCCGATAAAAATACATTTCGTCAGTAATGGTTGTCCCCTAATGCTTATTGCAGAAATTTGCCTAATTAGAGGTTTAAATCAGCCCTGCATATTATACTTTGTACTAGGAGTGTACTCCTTGGTTAGATGCAGTCGTGGCACCCCGAGGCTTCTCTGAGGGCGAAAGAAGCAGTAGTACCTTGGCAGAGTATGCGTTGTTGACATACGGAAGGGATTGGGGCTACTGGCATAGCTGGAGGTCAGGCCGCCTGGTGAAAGTACAATGACGGAGCCCTAAGTAGTCTCCTTACCAAAATCGGGAGCTAAACAAGCAAACAGCTCATTGCGTATCTCCTCTGTCCCTTTAAGCGTCGCTCCTCGGTGCTCCCTTTGGTCAATCTCCCTCGTCAGACATCACTGCGTAATTGGTGCTGTAAGAAAAACACCCACGAACCAACCGCACCAGCGGTCGAATTTTCGTGAAGCAGAGAAGATACTTGACCGCAGCGTCACTGATCCCCCTCGACAATTCTACTGGATGTGGATTTGTCTTGTATAGGGACTAGATACGGAGGTGGGGAAATGTGCTGACCATCACGCGTGTCCATAACTAATCGTAAAAACACTGGCGCAAAATCAAATTCATGTAATCAAGGCGGTATTTAACAGTTCTGTGAGATTGGAATTTTTCTTCGATTCGTCCTTGCCACTGTTCTCACTTTAGCGCTTCCCAGCCATATCTATCTGAGTTCCGTCCATGTAGTGGAGAGGTGGAGAAGGCATCGTGTGTTCACTTCATTGGTATCCTCATGCGGACACGGCAGACAGCTCCGTAGCAAGCTTTTCTAGATGGCTCACGGCTAGTATCGCTTCATTTGTTACTAGCTTTCCTGAAGAACACGAAACTGTGATGGTTGCTAAGGCCAGACGTCATTCTCAGCCATACTGTTATGGGTTGTCACCAGTTCCCCCATCCGCAGCATATCCGTTCCATCCTCCCCGCTAAGGTTTATCACCTAGTAGTAGGAAACAGGATAGATGTCCTTTGAGACCGAATTTGCTTTCGGCTGCCACCAATTAAGTGCCCCAAGTCTTCCTTGAAGACGTAAGAAGAAATGATAGTGGGGTAGAATATGTATTGTCAACATACAGTAGGGTTTGGAAGGCCAGGCTGGTCGTGGGCAGTACAATGACGGCGCCCTTAAATGGCCTGTTACCAAAACCGAGAGTTAGGCATACAATTAAAGCATTACATGGTAAATCGACTAGCAGTTCCTACATTGTTATTAAGCATCGAGTTTACTAATGGAAAATGAATCTCAGTCTAATGTTATCCTCTTTTTACCTCCAATAAAACAACTTTATCTCTTGATTCCAGCGGATTTCAGCTTATGTGGAAAACTTCGAAAATCGCAAAGCTATGCCAAAATAGACATAGGCCTTTTGTACTACTTGATGTACCCGCTTAAGGCTGCATGTCACTTGGATCCACCATTGATTCATGTGTCTAGAGGTCTTGACAGAAAAGCCAATGCAATAATCTCATCACTGCCCCTTACCACCTTGCGCCATAGAAGCAACATTTACAGCGTGAAGTCGCAGCCTTCAGCGAGCTTACATCTCCAAGTAGAGGCGCATAAGCTTATTTGGGAAGATTTCCATGGCCAAACTGAGGGGCAGATAAACAATGAGAAGATACATGTAGGTATTTTGGCTGAATGGTCGACCGAAGAGGAGGAGGGCGAAGAAGCAAGTGGTAAGAACGAATGAATGGTATGGCTAGTTTTCGCGTCACCTTGGATGCGAAACGTTGAAGGTAAGTTGGGACGACAAAGCAAATGACTAACTCTATTGCTTTCGATGACTTATTATCAACTAGTTGCCTAGAAATTAGGAACCCGAACTTTCACTTGTTCATAGGAGAGATCGAGAACGTGAAAACGCCAAACTAATTCCCATGTAGTTTATGTAATATAAATAAGGAAAATTCGTCGAAAGAAATGGCGGAGGACTGGATACGCTCCCGAGTATTTTCGCAGTATTTGGTTTTAAAATTTGGGGGATCCTTTGCAGTTACATGATGGTCTCGCTACGTCTTTTGGGCTACAAGAGGCCGAGTCCGAGAACTAAAGCATTGTCATTAATATCCAAAGATGCCACATCTCCCCACTTTTCTTTCTATAGTTCACTCTCGAACAATGCGTTATGTTTGCAGCAAACTTATTTTCTCGCCCAGAGAGTACAAAACTAGCGACAGATCGGCGAGACCACGGATCTACGCCGCGGTCAGTTATTGGTTTAGTGGGACAGATGCTATTCCACAACAAGCAATGCATAAAAGTAGGAATGCAAAGAATGCTTGTTGCATATGACGGTAAGCAACGAAATATCCTATTTTTGATATGTGGATCTATGGCAAAGTGAGATGCGCATTAACTGTACTAATATGCTTTAGTTTTCACAAAAAGGTAAAATAAATGCCTAATGAGTGACGATAAATTAAGGATTAATGCCGAAATAAAAATGCATTTCGTACTGGACTTTGACAAATCCGATTTTATAAATCCCAAGAAATAATCGCTTGAATGATAAACTAGAGTTTGATTTACAATTCGCTATTAGGCTACATGGTTTGGAGTTTAGCTTGAGAGAATTGTTTATTTTACCTGTATTTGTCCTTATTATTTTGTTTTAACCGACGCGCGCTTTCGTTATTTGCTTGCCTCTGCGGCGTTTTGCATGATGGGTGGTGCGAAGAGGGGTGATCAACTGGGCTTCGTGGAAAACTTCTGTCTCAGCGGTGCTGCGGCTGTTATAGCTAAAACTGCTGCCGCCCCGATTGAGAGGGTTAAGCTCCTAGTTCAGAACCAGGGTGAGATGCTTAAGTTGGGCACGCTGGACAGACCCTACAATGGTGTCATCGATTGTACTATTCGCACTTTCAAGACCGAAGGTGTGTCGTATTTGGTTCTAAAGCATATTTGTAGGCCTTTTGCCCTTCTGGCGAGGCAATTTACCGAATTGCCTGCGTTACTTCCCCACCCAGGCTCTTAACTTTGCCTTCAAGGATAAGGTTAAGGCCACAATAAAGCCGCAGAAAGACGATCCCTATGCCGTTGCATTCACGAAGAATGTTGTTAGTGGAGGCATTGCCGGTGCCCTTTCGCTCGTCTTCGTGTACTCACTGGACTACTGTCGAACTCGTCTCGCGAGCGACACCAAGTCCGCGAAGAAGGGGGCTGCGCGTCAGTATGATGGCATGATTGATGTCTATAAGTAAGTCATTTATGCGTTTCATCCCTCGATTTACTCAGAAAGACGTGGAAAACGGATGGTATTGTTGGTTTGTACCGTGGTTTTGTTATCTCATGCATTGGTATCATGGTGTACCGTGGTTTCTACTTTGGTCTCTACGATACTATCAAGCCCATTTTCCTCGGTGAGGATGCCGGTGTTACTATTAGCTTCATTTTGGGTTACGGTGTCACTGTGACGGCCGGACTCCTTTCCTACCCGATTGACACGATTCGCCGGCGTATGATGATGACATCAGGTGAGATCGTTTTGATCCACGTAACTTTTCTTAGGTGCCGCTGTTAAATACAAGGGCTCTCTGGATTGTGCCGTGTCAATTATGAGAGACGAAGGGCCCATGTCTCTGATGCGCGGAGCGGGAGCCAACATCCTTCGTGGGGTCGCGGGGGCTGGTGTACTTGCTGGTTTTGACAAGTTCAAGCAAGTCTACGTCTCCTACCGGCTTGGGAAACCGGTGGCATAATTACACTGTAGGGGATCACAATACTAGAGTAGGTTTGCCTTGTGGTCGTTGTCGCTAGCCTCTTGTAATATAGCCTTACGAAAATGTGACTGCAATTCTGTACTCATGAGACTCGTCGGATGTAGTAATAGAGTAGTATTGATCATTTTCGTCTTGGTGAAGCGGGTTTTGTTGATTCGGGGGGGGGGGGGGTGGACGACACTTCGTGTAGTTGTGCTGCCTGTGCGGATGTGGCTTCCCCGTTGTGGTTCGGTGCCTTCATGCTCATGTTGGCTGGTGCCGTTGGTCGCGTGTTTTCTACAGTTTGGGGCCGGGAGTGTTGGTGTGTGCGGGTTCATTCGCTCCCAGCATCTCCTCTGCAGGTGTCTGGTCGACGATTTTCGCTCTGTGCATAGCTTTCTCCCACATCGTTCTTATGCATGTATGACCACCCTGGGCCGTTGGTGTGGGGGTTAGCCACCCTAGTCGCGGGCTCTTACTTCCTAACATTTGCATCCAGAAAGGAAATTGCGCATTACGCAAGGGTGGAAGTAAGTTTTTATGCTCCCCCATGCTTGGGGTCGTCTGGCGTCACTGAAGTTACCTAATAAATTGTGCAGACGTAGAGGAGCCGCTGGGACAGGATCGGGAGATGTGTGGTCTCACACCCTGGGTGAATGGTTGCAATCGCTCGAGGGCTGCATCATTAGTAGGTGGTATCCAAATCCAAGCGTCTGGGGTTACTCAGGCGGCGGGGGTGCTACTTTTGTCGCCGCTGAGACAGCGTCCCTTAGCCGACGGTTTGTGCCACTCCAAGCTCGTGGCGGACGGTGATAGTTTAGGTCTTGCTGACTGCTTAGGCTTCCGGTCTCGTGCTTGGTCCCCGCTCTCCCATTCGCCTGCGCCGCAGTGTTTGTGCCATTTAAAGCTGGTAACCGCAGATTTTAAGCACCAATTTTGTACTTCAGGGATTGTTGTGTCTAATGACTGGAAGTGGTCTAACACCTCTCTACTGAAAGCTGGCCACTGCCAGTTTCTACCATACGTTCTGTTTTGAGGAGCCAATGAAACATCTAAGGCTAGTCATCCTTGTTTCTATCTCACTCCCCTCGCCTAGTTTATTTGGCATGTGATTATGTGGCTGTTTACCACCTGGTAAAGGTGGTGCACCTTCACTGGGTCTCAGAGGAATATCGCTCGGAGAATACGGCGGATAAAGATGGGGCCGCGAGTAAGGAATAGGTAGTATCTCCCTTCCTCCTCTCCATCCCTAATAAATGGAAAATCACTTTACGAGTCAATTTTGGTACTAAAAATTGAGCCTCCCATTAAACTAGGAAGTGAACATTCACGAATGATTTCAGCAATAAAACAAGATTTTGTACGAACAATGGAGAGCTTTGGAGGAATTCTCCGAAGTTTCATTCATTTCCGCGTTAGCTTTAAAGAAGGCGATTGTTTATCCCTTGTGAAGCTGAAAAAATCGGTGATGTCGAATCTGCGTCTTTGCTGAGGGCGTGCTGACTGCGTTGCATTCATTCCAGGGGAGAATCGTACCTGCTACCTACTTAGTTGTCGACGAGCTTCCACTCCCAGTTTGGCCTTAATATGTGCACCATTTCATGAGCATTTGTTGGTTAATTTTATCGGTCAGTAGTCCACTCCATCATTCCATTTACTCAGTTATCTGATGTGGTTAACAAAGGTAACTCAGTCGTCATGTGAGAAAATGACCGGCTGGATGCCGCTTTAACAGCTCCGCTCCCATTGGCAAGAGAATCAGTGTTTGCACTTTACGCGTGAGCTTGGGTCCCGTCGGGTTCTTCAACAGTGAAGTTGGCATGTCAAGCCTTCAATACTGAGGTTTTGTTCACCAATCAGCATGAGTACGCTAGAAGCATGGCGACTGTTTTCATGCTGTAAATGTGAGGCCTATGTCGTTCCCACATCCCGATTAATCTAAACTGTCTCTATTTTATCATGGGTCCTTCCATACCTCGAAACAGCGATCATGCAGCTCGATAAGTTTCATTTGGACGCCCAAAAATCCAACGCAAAACTGTGTTGATGTCAACTCGATAGATGGCGGAATGAAATAGGTGGAAACGATAACTTGGTGTCCTTTACTGGCCTTTACGAGGATAGTCCTTGAGCTTGAAGCGCTTGTGATTCAGTACTCAGGGCGTTATTCCCGTACAATGGGGTCAGAAAACTTATCTGTCACTAGCGAATGTAAAAGGATTAAAAAGGCGCAATCAATCAAAGCGTGAAATCAAATTGCAAAGATGCCTTTTCGTCATTCAGTGCCCTAACAGTACGTGCTTCTGGAGCCGAAATAAGCACGGCTATACCAAGGTGAAACTTGAGCAGTGAGAGCTACTAACTTTAGTAAAGGCTCTACTGAACATGTAACCAAAAAAATGTTTATGGGTAGCCGGGTCACCTAACATGCTGTGAGGCTGACCTCTAGGTCACGGTTCCGGGAGCGGCCACGCTGAGTTAACAACCGCTCCCAATGCAGGGGACCACGGATCGCAGTTCGTTTTGGCCTGAAAGTTCTCTGTGAGTGCGGAATAGGGACTACAGGCAGGAATGGTGCCGACACACGAGGATGGAGCCAAATTGTCACACCCATAAGTGATGTCACCAATTGCCAAGCCATTCCGCATTTGAACTTCAAGGCGTAACCTGATTGATTTTGCGGTGTGAGGGTAGTGACATTTGTTACAAGCTAAACTCGTCTCTTGGATTTAAACTACCTCTGTTAGTTTTCACTATTTTATTTTTGCTGCACACTTCAGTTCAGACTTATCACAGAAAAGGTTAAATACACATTACTCCATGACCCGTTTAGCGGTTGCGTGGTCTTTGAGTCACAGTCTAGCCTCCACACCCACACTGCAGACTTTGCGATTGATCAGCGAAACCTAAGGGTGGTTATGATTTCAATTTTCAGTCGTAACGAATAGCAAAACCACTCACTGTCGAAGTAACCTCTAATTTGCTGAGAAGCACAAGACAAAACACTTCTAGGCTAATTATCATCTTATATTTATCACGAGTGAATGCTACTGGAACTCCACTTAGCCGTTGCCACGTCTTATGCATGAAAACGTGGAGGCAGCGCTTTCGCTCCAGCTTCTGCATGAATGCTGTGACCGAGAGTGCGCCGCCTGCTTGCGCGTGCGCGCGATCGTCGGCGCACGAAGGCGTCGGCTGATCGATTTGCCGACCCGTTGTTTCGGTAGGGTATGCGCAACAACCCATCAGTTAACAGCACGATTTATACTAAAACCAACTACAGTTGCATAGTCTAGTTGGCAGGATGACGAATGCTCCATGCCTCCAACCAAGAAACGGAAACACACTGATTCAGCGTTTGATGTTAGGGTAAGACTGACCTGATAAACGAATCCTGATGGTTTCATGAAAGAACAAGGAAAGTGTAAAGTCAAAAGTACCAATGGTGCGCTGGTGGAAAAAAATGATCAAAGTGACAGAGGTATTTCCTAAACACGATTTGAAAGGGCTTCTGTGAAAAATAGGCAATCCTTAGGTCATGCGCGAATAACAATGGTGTAAAAATCTTCAAATGCCTATTGAGTCATCTGAATCTTCCCACTGGATCGGTTTGAATCGAAATACAATCTAACAGTAATTCCTGCGCTTAAACGCACTAATGATTTTGACTGACGTACTTGTAACATCACTGTCAAATCATTTTTAGAGAAAAGTAGCGCGCAATTTCAACACTAAGATCTAGTAAAACTTCTTGTCAGCTTCGTCATTGTAAAGCGCTGGACCTCATAACTTAGCAATAAACAGTTAAGGTGGTTCCAGCATAAGATAATTAGTTGATTTTGGTTCAGGCACTTTAAGAAAGGAATTGTCTGGGTAATATTCCAAATAGATTCCAATATATGACCCGATTGAATGTGAAGATACAGTGTAACTGAGGCATCGAATGGGGCGAACCCCAGGACAGCATGATAGTAAAAACTGCGCGAACACTTGCAGAAATTTTGTAAAGATTTGGCATCTGCCACAATGCACATTTAGTCATGTGACTTATTTTAACTCCACAAGTGCGTCATCCCAGCCGAAATTAGGTGTTTAGATGAAAGCTAGAGTACAAATAAATGCAGTAACTTGATATTTTACCCAAATGTGCGCCTGCTCTGGAGTTTGTACCACGTTCTCCAACGTGGACTTTAGGGGATACTAATTGTAATACGATAGTGGTTTATCCCTCGGTTCTGGTGAGGCGCCACTTTGTACTTTGAATTAGCCTTCTTGTACCTCGCTGGGTGGGCTGGCCTTTTGGGCCATGCCAATAGCCCGGACACCTTCTCCGTGCTGAATATATATATTCTGCACGAGTATTGTGTCTTCTTTCGCATTCAGGGAGTCCCGGAACGTTACACTAATAGTCTCCTAGGCCTTCCGTGCAGTGCCAACGCATGTTACCCTATAATGTTTTGGCCTAGTGCTGTATTAAGAAAGTTAGGGGGCTACGGAGATGTAAGACACAAAAATATGAAAATACCTTCAGAAATATTTTACGAAGAGTAGGTTATAAAAATGACGGGCAATCAAATAAGCAAGCCCAAGTTATTCAGTGATTATTTCAGTAAACGCAAAAACAACTGCCTTTAAACTTTTTTTCTCATATTTTAACAAATTCAGGTGTTAAAACTTAGTAAAGGTATCCGGAAAACAGAAACTGAAATTATAAGAAAGCATTTTAAGTAAAGTCACTAAGGGGTACACTATTTCATAGCCTCAGAAACATCACTTTCCTGAAAAGCGCATTTTTACGAAAAGAAGCAATTTTGTTGAAATGTATTCCTTGTGCTAGCCCCGTCAGTGCAGTGCCGCCTTTTCTTCAAAAGTCAAGGACGGTGTATCTCTTCGCTGCCCTTTCGTTGTCTAAGGAGATGGATCCCCAAATTATTGACGACATTGCAACTTCTGTATCTAAATGGTCTATGTATCCTTATTTTGACATCGCCCACTATACACTTATGAGCACTGCTGTGAGAGAAGATATTCCCCAGTCTGGTAGGTCAACTTTGTCATTTGCTTCAGTTTTTGTTTTCGGATGCTCAATTTTAGGACTTTCTGCGCTTGCATATTCGTGCAGTAGTTAAATGAAGAATTTTGGTTATTGCTAGGACAAAATTTATTAAACACCTACTTTTCTCCGGTAGTTAATACATATTGACATATGATCTTGGATGTATTATCAGTTGGGAAAATTGGTTTTAATGTACTTTTTAGATGAATTTCCCCTGTAGTTGTTTGCTTTTTTCCCATGTTAGGCTCTGGTGCCTTTTCCCGAAAGCACCCATTCGCCTGCTGGTTTGCAACCATGCTCATGTGCTTCGGCGGTGCCATCCTCGGTAACTTTATCCTCGGAGAGCCGATTTTTTCCTGCTTTGATGACCATCGCGCCGTGCTTACCGCTACAGCTGTCTGGTAGCCCTCATTTTCTGCTTCCCTTACCCTTATTTCTCCTCTCCTCTAGGTACCTAATCAACTACTCGCCTTTTGACGTGGTCTACAAAATCTATTCACTTTTTTCTGTCCGTCTGCTCGTCTGTGCCATGAAGGAGGTGCAGCGATCGAAGAAAATCTCCCTTGGTGTCTCTCATGCCTACCATGACTACCCACACAGCGCTGTTACCTGCATTCTGGTCGGCCTCCTCAAAGGTACGCATATCACTTAATCTTTCTCAAAGAGTGCGCCATCTTCTAGGTACTGGTAGTTCATTCATGCGAAGCATTGCTGCTCTCGCCACTGGTGTGTGGAGACCTAAATCCGTTGAGTTTCTAGTCTGCTCGTAGTAAGTAATCCGCACCCTCTCCCTTCCCCTTTTTAAATACACCCCCCTCCCCCATTCCCACGTCCCAGATAAACGGTAGTAAAGGGCATAGCCTAGTCCAGTTGCTCATTACCTGGTGTTCCGGTCATCACTGTTCCCATATTTCACGTTAAATTAATGTGTGGTTTTAAATGGGTTGTTTCTACTCATGTCGGTTCTTTGCTACTTCATGCATTTAATTCATACGGCTAGTCAGTCCGTTGGACCAACTGATTTGTCATGTCACCAGGATATCAAATTTTCTCCGACGGCATGATTAAATAAGCTGATAGGAGTGGGTAACCTATGTATATGTGCATGTAATTTCTTAAGAAAGTATACACATATAATGTTGGTGAACTTCGTGCTTATCTTTTATCACTGTGGAAGATACTACTTTGTGTGGCGTTTAGCGTGACATTTAGGTATATTTAACACCAAAATCGCACCATCCAACCAGAGTTATGAAGGGTTTTCGTCTATGATGGAACGATAAGTGTAAAAGCCGTTTGCTCGTTCTTCCTGAATCCACGAAGAGCTACGGGGGATTGGTGCACTTATGCAGCCACTTTTTGAACGAATATGAAGAACGACATAAGTGTAAAGAGAGATTGTGATGGCTTGAGAATCATGCGTATGCGTGAATTTGCGCATGTGTCGGCTGAACAAACCACCTCTGCTTGTATAATTCAACAGGTACAGGTTATTTGGAAATGAAGATATTCGCCAGACTTGTGCGCGGTGTCTGGCTGCCTGCGTCGACCGAATTTCTTCATCCTAGTTTGTAAGTGGTCCTTTCCTCTGCTATCATTATGGCGTCCAGACCGTGCGATGTCATGAAAGCATGTCTTATCGAGCCCCCCGATAGTGCTAGATCGGTCTACTTACTCTGCGTTCCGTTTGCAAATGGCGCGTGCACTGTAGGCAGGAGTTTATATCGCGAGTCGCATGAGAAGCTGTCTTTCGTACGATTTGACGTCTTAGTCGTTCGTTAGGGCATGCTCTCATTCACTCCCCCTTGTCTTCTCTTTCTGCAACTACTCATGATCTCTTCCTTGTTACTTCCCTAAGCACGACCAAAATCTCGCTTCTCTCTGCAATCGTCTTCTACTATGATCTCCTGGACCTGATCCCCCTTTCTCGACATCAGCTCTTTCTCGCTGTTGTTGGGGTTCTTGTCTACATGCGGTAATTACTAGTAACCATAATTTTCCAATTCATTTAAACTCTTCATTGTCGTGAATTTGCCCTAGCATCTCTCAACTAGACGGCATCAACCTCACTGCTACAGACGGATATTTCTGGCTTATAGGGCTCTGTGGATCTACTCTGGCCCGGTTATAGCTAACCTATTGCCTTTACCGTTTTAGGGTTGCCATGCTCTGCCTTGGTCTAAAGGATCCCTTCGCTCCTATCCAAAACCTTATCTGCACAATTTTTTTTGGCGGTGTCGTTGATGCTCTAAAAGCGGCCGTGACCCGTCGCAAGAGCGATGACTCATCTGAGACAGTAGCGACCAATCCAAATGTTATCGCACCCAATACAGGCGTGGGAGTTCCCCAAGACGGCTACAGTGGGTCGTCAGGCGGTGGGGGTGTCAAAGAGAGCTCTGGTGCGACGATACTTCGTCGGAATAACCCACCAAATGCGCCCCACAATGCAGATAAGAAGAGGGACTGAAGAAAGCTGTCCTTTCCCCTTCCCTATATTACTTCATCCTCCCATCAATCTTCTCACTTTCCCGCCCCATCTCCCGCCTGCTTCCCGAACAGGGGGAGGAAAGGGTTGGGATGTGTATTACATCTCCTTCATATTTGTGGTTATGTGTGCTGGTGCGTGTTTACGGGCGTGAGTGCTTGTGAGAGACGCTTTTTTCCTCTCACTGTTTCGTCCAACAGATGACTTTCGTGCGTCTGTGTCACTTCTAGCCCAGATTCTTTGTTGCAATCAGGGCAGTTATCTCCACCCTATGTATGCGCCTTTCATTTATCCAGCATTAATTTCGTTCTTTTTGTCATCTCTATGTGTGCGTATTTGGCGCATAATTAAAAAAGCTTTTGCCTAACACCAGCTTTGCGTTGTGATTTGGGGGTTTCACTTCACCTTCGACACTTTCCTGTTAGTGTGCTTCTCACTTTCAACTTCATCCGGTGATCTCTTTCTTTGGGAATTGTAAATTTGTAAGTAATAGTGTAGTGAGGGTATGGGGCAATCCAACGGCGTGGCACGAGGCTGTCGTCGTGTTGCCAATACCAAGTCACAGGGTGGGCGCGCGTGATGCTGCCTTCTTTTGCGCAGTTCGGTAGGTCGCGGCGGGCTGGCCAATGGCACTGTGGCATCGATCCGTCGATTGCGGACGTGCATGGGATCTCCCATACCTGGCGTCCACTGTGCCTCCCGCCGACTTTGTAGCTCAGTTGTCCCTCCCTTAGTCCTCATCTCAATGTGATCGCGAGGCTCAACGCCAATCGTCAACCGCCACCACTGGAGCCATTGTCATTGGACTCAGTGGGGGACTTTTATTTTTTGAGGGAGAGAGACAGGTACAAAACAAAATGCAGTAGCAAAAGGTAACACGAGGGTCCAGTGATGATGCTGCAATGTTAGTAGGAGGATGACCAAGAGGAGCAAGGGGCTAGGTTGTCTAAAGACGGCGCCGTTATAATCCGGGCAGTAGGGGCATTGGAAGGATCCACAAACGCTGCAAATTGTGTTGGTGTAGAGGGAGATTACTTCATACATACTGTTGTTATATCGACCTGTGACAAAGAAATTGAAAAATGAAAGTTTTCACTGTGTTGAGGCGCATAGTTTGGTGCGGTATAATTTGTGCTGACTACAGTATTTGTGCCAGTCATTTGAGAGGTCAACATGAAATACGTTTCACCCGTAAAATGTTTCCAAAATTCCTTCCGTACTTTGTGTGTTTAGATAAGTTCGTTTGTGAACGTGTTGGTCATGTGCTTGTGAGTGTTAACTTAGTCATTAATGTCGGCTCGTTGCCTTTACAAACCACACAGCCCTAAATCTTTTCTACATTGAATGGGGAATAATTGAAATTCACCCGGTTCGTAGTATTCGTATGCGAGGCAGATTTGGTGATCAGTCATGTTGGAGACCGGATAGAAACGCGAGGCATTGAATTCAACGCAAGTTCTTTCCGTTGTTAACTGAAAAAATAATATGATGGGTTGAGTTGGACAATCTTGCCATGAATATCCAGATACCGCTAGATGTTTCCCATGCGTCCACCCCGTGATCAGCACCGATGTGCGAGATTTCAAGGAAGAAATTCGTTTACCTAGGTGCTTACGGTAAGGACAACCATTGTATAGGAATTCCGAGGCCCTTCGTGTTCCCTTGGGCGGGGCACAAAAGGATAAGAGTTGCTTTGTTGGTTTCTTGGGGATTAATTTGACCGGCAATATCGCAATACCTTTATCCTACGAAAAAATTGCTACGACTAGGAGTCTTTTCGTGATATCAGAAGAGTAATTCAGAAAGCTCAATGAATTAGCTTATTATTAGCAAACTTTTACAATAATAAGGCACTGTGGATCTTACACCTACACAGAACCTTTCGGCATAATGAATATACCTGGTAAATGTCAACTCCTAATTCAGGATCTCCATTTTTCGCTCATATCACACACCTATTTCCTAGAAAACGGTGATATTTTGGATGTGTTTATGTTGATATGACACGCATTTGACAAACAGAAATGTCGGAAAGACCTAATTGGCATTAAATAATATTGACCTCGACATGACCTTGGCGTAGGAGTGACCAGGTGATTTAGTACATAGTACAATCTTTTATCCTCATCACACACTGAAATGCAAATTATGAACGTATGCTAACTTGAAAAGGAATTCTGCAGATGACTTTGTAATACGTTGGTTATTTGTGTAACTCTTGATTTTGTTAAAGGGGTCACTTAGGTGCACCGCAGTTGCGCCTGTGCCGGGTGGCCCGAATAGGCACATAGTAGTAATCCTAAGCCCCGCAGTATGTTGGCGATACATACTCTACGCAAGCAACGTCTTCGTTCATCTTCAGGGAAGTCTCTGGGTGCTATATTGGTGGCAGCAGGAAGCCAATCCGACCTTAAGGCATAATCATCCTGTTTCCTACTGCTAAGTGATTAATCTTACCGGGGCGGAAGAAATCCCAACGACCCATAATGGAAGGTCGAAAAATAGCCCCCAGTCTTGTGTTCTGCAGAGAATCTATTAACAATGGAGGCGACATTAGTCGTGGCCGTAAAACATCCAGAAAAATTCGTTATGAAGCAGTCTACCATACTTGTATGAAGATCAGTCATATGAACACGCGATACCTCCTCCATCTCTCCACCAGCTAGACTAAACTCAGGCATGGTTGGGCGGCAGCGTGATAAGGAAGAGTAGATGCGAAACCTCTCTTCCGCGGAACTATGTTAAATCTCGCCCTTTGTCACACCACTCCGCTTCTGGGCCAGCTATGGATACACGTGATGTCCAGAACATTCTCCTCCCCTTGGCACACTTTCTATACAGGCCAAAACTCTAGACGGAGTGGAATTACCAAGAGGTATCAGTGACTTTACGGCTAAGTATCTCCTCAATTGCACAGACATTATTGACTGGCTCGGTTGGCTCGTTGGTGTTATTCTTCCGGCACCGATTATGTTGTGATGATGAACACGGAAGGTTAGCCAGAAGGGACGATGGGGATAACGCTCAAAAGAGGAGAGGTGATCTGCAATAGGTTGGCAAAGGAGCTACTTACGAAGCCCGACACTGTACCTTCTTAGGGCGAGCTAACCTCCGAGTCATGCCGGCAGCCCTTCGGCCCTACAGTACATTATCTGCGCTCATATCATAACTTATTTTGTCTTCAGCGAAGACTTGGAGTCGCTGTACGTGCCTTACTAAGCGTGTTATGTCATTTAAACTGCTTGAAAAAATGGAAAACTTTAGAGAGTTTGGGAGTTCTTTTCGATATTTTACGGTTGCATTAACCTAGTTTGAAACGCAGTTTCACTTGGGGGGTAGTTGGGATAGTGCTTGGGGTAGTTGTTCCCAGGATAAATTAGAAATTAGTATGATGAATTGGTTTCGTTGGGAAAAAATGATGTCCCCTAGCATCAGCACTTGCTTATCTACGTCCGTGCTGCCTTTGTGGCGCGCGCCTTATCGAGCGAATGAAGCGGGAAACATCGGACCAATGGGACAGTGATGCCGCTGGCCTGCGAACCGCCGCTGGGCGGAGGAATCAATCATCCCACAACAAAACTCACCTTGTTAAAGAAAAAATGAACAAAGTGGGGACGGAAACGAGCGTACATCAACCGGGGCACCTGACCACTTTGCACGTAGTCCCGAAGCTCGTTATTTAGTACCACGTAGCCTGTAGGCACACGAACTTCAAACACTGCCATGCCACTCTCATTGGCTGGTTCCAAAGGCTAAAAGGTAGAAGGGTCCTTTAATCCTCAACTTTCTGACAACGGCTCATACTGGTCGGTGGCTGGTATACACTTCGCGAACCAGCTAAAAGGACATTAAATTGTATAAAACTCTTCTCCGTAGTAAATATTAAAACAAGCGGAAATTTGGCTAAATGTGTCCACATCCTTTAAACCAGACATAAAATACAAAACCATGAAAGTTACTTCTTTAAAGGTTTAAGTATCAAACATCTTGGTTGAAGGGCAATTCCCTTGAGGGCCAAATGAGGTGTGCACTGAAGTGGACGCTTACATGATTTCCCGTCCAGCTGCCGCAGACGGACATGCGCATGTGGGAGTTGTTTCTGCCTGTAAATGTGGGGGTGCATTCAAGGTCGAAACTGGGGTACAATCTAAGAGGATTTTCCGGGTCGAGAGGTTCGCGTTGAATATCGGGAAACTCCACGTTGTAACTGACATCCATTTGAAGAGTTAGGAGTCCAGTGCCCTCTACTGCCAGCGTTACGTCGCCCCACACAGATCGTGGTGGATACTGCAGTTCAAAAAAGACTTGCATGGTAAATGTTGTCACCACAAGAGTCTTCGTGTTAAGTGATTGGCTTAACATGTTTCAATGGACGGGTTAAGTAGCCAGGATCACTTCAAAGGTGGGGTTAGCAATCACCTACCACAGTGCGTGAGAGCGTGGAGTAGTTGTCGGGCACGATCCATATCTCCGGTTCCCACTGTTTGAGGGAGCTTATTTTCTGCCTCACCGACATCTTGTAGAGAGCACGATTCTTGTCTGCCAAAGCGAATTTGCGCAGAGCTTGAAGAGCCACTAGCGAGTCCTGAGCGGCACGCACACAGTCAGGTGAGAACAGTAAAATGTATGATCAAAGGAGAGCAAAGAACAGAAAGTAGAGCACATACGAAGGTGCTAGTGAAGCCAGAGACGTGATTACGTTGGTTAGTGAGCCAGTTTACCATGTCATGGGCCTCGTGGACTGCGGGACTCCAGGCATTGGTCTCAAGTTTGATGAGGAAGACGAGCGCTGAGCACGCCACTCCGTAGCCGTCATTGGGCCATTCACCCCGTGGATTCTCGATTCGCCGACCTGCTTGATCAATCTCATAGATTGGTGGAGGGATAGGATAGTTCGAGTAGTATACATGATCCGCTTTCAGGTGACGCCTTTGGATCTGATTCATCGCTCTACATGGGACAAACACACAACTTTCCTTCATTGAATAACCAGTTTTTGCATAGAGATACACTATGCTAATACAATAAAAAAGAAGCATATTTTGTTAAAAAAAGACTTAAGGGCGCTATATTTGGTGGCAGAGGAAAGCGAATACAATCTTAAATGACATCCATCCTGATATTTACTGTTGAGAAATAACCTTTAGTGGGGCAGAAGAAGGGTATATTGCCGCGGATACGAAAATCTGGGACTAATGACGTCTACCTTTGGTAACTACACCAATCCCGTACTGTATAGGAAACTGTTTACAAGTGAAGAGACACTAGTGGTGAACCACCGGGAAAGTTCCATTACGGAGCTGTCTACGATGCCCGTAGGAGGATATCAATTATGTGAACACGCGATACTTGCTCCACTTCCTTACTCTTTGGAGAAAACTTAGATAGGCATGGCTGAGAGGCACTGAGGTGAGAACACCGTGATGAGGGGGAATAGACGCAAAATCCTATTTTCATGGAACTATGTCAAATTTCTTCCTTTGTTGCATGACTCTGCTTCTAGACCAGTATCCCTACGACTAGCTATGGACACACGTGATGGCCACCATATTCCCCGTTCCCCAATACGGTAGAATTGCCAAAGGTCAAGTATGCCCTCAGTCGAATAGGAATTCAATGAGTAGCATGGTTGACTTGTGGACATTTTTCTTACAGCGTCGAATACACCATAGTGGCTGACACAGAAGGTTGTCCAAGGGGAATGCAGTGGACAGCACTCTAAAGGGAGGAGGGGCTTTGTAATACCTTTTTTTGCAGTTCAACTCTCGGTTTTTGCAAAAAGGCCAACCAGGGGCTCTGCCATTGTGCCTTCTTAGGTTGAGCTAGCCTCTAAACCATTTTAGTAGTCCCCAGCCCTTCTGTATAGCAGCAATACATTATCTACCCTAATATTATGACTTAGTAGTCTTCAGAAAAACCTCGGAGCGCTACAAAAGGTCCATGGTTTGAATGGCATATAAATATGTCAGATAGGAAGTAAAGTAATACAAACATTCATAAAGGAAGTATACAAAACAGCATCTTAAAAAACTGCACACACTAAGATTAAAGTATATGTGAGAAAGTTGCCATCCACACTTTCACTAGCAGACTTCGTCTTCGATTTAATGTGATGCACTAGCTCAGACAAGAAAATCTGAGCGTCACATGCATGCAAAGTTGGTAAGTAAAAAAGCAACAAAGTCGTTCAGTCAGTTAGTCAGTCTTTGAGGCGCTTATTCAGTCATCCATTCTAGTCATTCAGTCAGCACAAAATGGGCAAGTGATTGCGTGGATCAGTAGATGAGAAGCATAAGGGAAGATGAACATACTGGGTAAGTTCGTTTTGAGCGTTGGCTCCGGCAGCAACTTGAAGTGCATAGGTGGCAATGATTTTGGCGAAGAGGTCGTCAACATTGAGAACATGCTGTCGAATGAACCCAACAGCGAGGCTGACTACGCGAGAGGCGCGATCGGCGGCGCGTCCGCTGGGAGGCGAAGTGCCGGCGCCCCGTAGACTTACCACTACCATAGCCGCCGTGGGTAGACGGCGGTGCGCCTCACGCTCCGTGGGATTTGGCCACCGTGTTTCGTTCACTGGAGGAATGAATCGACGGTCCACCACCACCACGCCCTCCCCCTTCACCGGCCAACTGCCCACTAGCATGGGGTCCGCTCCTGACGTCTGATTGACTTGCGTCTCCATCAGAAAGGTTATCGTACGTACAAACGTTTCGTCCTCTACGAAGATCCACCGCTCCCACTCCGTCAGTCTCGCCAGTAGCATGTTCCATATCGCGAATGCTGTCGGAAGGGCATGGGGTCTAATTGTGATACAAAATGCACAAAATCATCAGTCTTTTTCATATAGTAGACTTGAGTATACTTTCTAACCTCGGAGGTCTAGCCTGAAACAGCAGGGACCACCAGCACCAGCTATAGGAGAGACCATGGAGGCTAACTTTTAGACATTGGTGAAAATGGACATGCTCGCTACCAGAATCTTGGAATAAAATCGGTCACCACAGTTGCCAGAGGGGCCTCACAGTCACTTAATTATTTTAAAAGCCATTAGTCTGTCTACAGAGGGTATCAGTGCAACTACGGAAATATGTGTCACACGTTTATGACTTCGGGCCCAGGTGAAAAAAATAGGATTCACATGTACGTGAGGCCGGTAACGAATGTGCTAAAGACCGAAGGTACTCAGCTCGCTTCTAAGGTGGAGTTAGTTAGCTAGTCAACACAGCGTAGAAAACCCATTCACAGAATACAGACGACTAACCGGTCAAGGTGGTCGCGAAAATTGCAGAAGGCGCCGGTGGAGTTGTCAAAGTACGTGAATCCACGCTGCAGGACGATGGAGCAGTAGTTGACTCCGGCGAGCATCACGTCGTTGGGCAGGTAGCCGGCGCCACGCAGGTAGAAAAGCAGTTGCAGATTGAAACCCAACTCGAAAAAGACGTTCTCTGCCGCTCCGTAGGATAATCGTAGGACATTCTCAGTGCTTGCATACTCAAAGTTACGGCTGAGTGCGGGTCCAATTACGTCACCTTTGGGCGCAAATAAGACAGTGATGATCTGTTTTGAAAAGGGGAAATTAATCAAATCTCGCATAATCACAGAGGTGCTTATGATATACCTTCTAAATGGAGTTAAATTCTCAAAATGATACCCGACATCTGCTGCACCATTCTGTGAAACAGTGGAATGGAATTACATCGACTTGCTCAAGTTAGACGAGTAAGTACACCTCCCGCTCGTAATTGCTGTAAAAGCAGCTTACCCGTAACACTAACCACGCCCTTCTGCGAGCCGGGAATGAAGCGATGCGCCCGTTGTTCGGGCACCGTAAACTTCTCCGGCACAATCACGCGAAAGTTGTTGACAAACAGCCGACTGGAGCTGGTGAGATCCATGAAGCGAGAGGTGTGAAAGTAATTCGGAATGCCATTCATCTATGTAAATTGTAAAAAGAAGATGCAAACACTACAGTTGCCCATCCACACTTTCATTCCAAATTTAGCCACATATTTCAAATTTAAATGTCCGATTGCGATTCATCCATTGAATTCCAGATCCTTCTATCCATTTAGTATACATTAATCCAATCGTACTCTATTAACTCCACATCCGTCCAATAATTTCTGATTCATCCAACCCTACATTCACCACAAATTCAATCCCTCCGTCTCAGAATTACCCATTCATCGTAATTGGTTTTGTCTCTTATTTCGAACTCCTCCGATATCAATCAGTCCAATTATTCAAAATTCATTCAAACTTCCAATCCTGATATATTTTGCCTTTCTAGACCCACCTTCCCAGTAACCTATCGGGGGTCCATTCATTCGTTCACACATCTTTCACTTTATTCATTCATTTGTTAATTTACCCACAATAAGTCCACTCGATCATTCCAAAGTCCTCCATCCACCCACCACAAATATTGGCATCTATGTGCAGTTGCATTCGAGAGAAAAAAGTAACCTGGCTACTCAGCAACTAGTAAAGCGGTCACTTATAAAAGGACGTGATGGATAAGGAAGTCCATGGAGGTACTGGTCGCATACATGCACGAAGATGGAACGCGTCTCGCAGTTGGCCCCAAGGAACGAGAACGCACATATGGTGAAGGTATTGTTCCCCGTGTTACGAGGCAAAATAGGTAGATAGACGTATTTCGACTCGCCGGCGTCCAGGTACACCAAAGTCTCCACGGTCTCGTTGACCGAGTAGGGCGGTGCCCAGGCTGTCGTCAGACCTCCGTAGGGAACTCGAATCACTCCGATGCTCGGGTTCGCGTTCACCCGGACCAGTGCCTTACAGGTGACAGAAAACAGGCTCTCTGTAGGTTTACCACTCTCACAATTGACTAGGGTAAATGACAGAGACATCTACCACCCATAATAAATGGTAATGTGAAGAGTTCAAAAGAGCATATGCTATTAATTCCATCTTCATAAGCCCAGTCCTAATCAGTCTTTTCTTCTTGCGTTTCAGAGGTATTGCAGTTGAGTTAGAATTTTAGAAATTGCGTTTAAAGTAGCTGTACATGGAAATCCTTTAAAGGCTGTGTTGAATTTTGCATCGGTACGCCAGTCATGCTTTTAAAAGACACATGGGCAGGATAAATATCTCTCCAGATTGTTGCAATTTTCTTCAGTATCTAGAGTAAGATGATTTATTGCAAATTTTGGGCTATTTTTGATACCTCTGTATCAGAAAAAGTTTAAATAATCCACAGCTAGATGAAACGGGAGAAGAGAAAATGAGGGAGGAGAAGATGGGTAATATACCTCAAGGAAGTATGTCCAGTAGTTAAAGAGGCAGACACGGACACCAAACTGCTCGCCCCAAAAACCGACCTCGGGGACTTCAAGGGTGAAGTAGAAGCGGCGTGCACCGTCAAAGCGCAATGGAGCGTGGTTGAGCGTGAGGCCCTCCGAGACGTCCATTGCAAACGCTCCCACCACCCAGCCTGCTTCCATCTTTGGTAGTGGGACGCGAAATTGGATCTGCCCGTCCGGTCTGCCAACGACATTACCGTTGTTATCATCAATCTTGATCAGCAAATACACCCTTATGAATATCTGTTGCTAAGGCTCATTCACATTTGAAAGCACTTGAATCAAAGTATTTTCCCCCACCTGCTGAATCCAATACTTTCTGTCCAACCCGCCAACACCACAGTCAATCACGCCTATGACTGTTTATATACCCACTATCACAATCAAATTTAATCCTCAGATAGACACCGAGGGAACGGATCAGCTCATATTAGGTTAGACTTTCGCTAGTATTTGGGATTGACTACAGAGCACTCCAGAATGAAACAGGAAGGGTAAAAATGGAGACGCACTTGACGGGTGTACTGTGCCACATCCACGCGCCGTCCTCCCAGTTGCGGTAGAGCATCTCGAAGGAACCGAGCTGGCGTAGCTTTGGCGGCGCGGTGGTGTTCTCCGGACAGTCAGCCTCATCAGCCCAATTAACACACTGGTTGATGCCATCGCAGCGCTCCGCTCGCGAGTAGCATTCCCTTCCTGATGTCGCGTAGCAGGGCAGCGCACGCGCCGGGTTCTCCGTCTCGTTGCAGGTGTCTGTCATCAAGAATAGATGAGGCAAACCTTCCCCAAAGCGCTGATTCGGGGAGAAGTTGGCTTACGACATCATATGACCCTAAACCTCAGTTGCTGGAGTTCGTAGGCGTGTTCCAGTTCACAAAACCCCTCTTTTAGTCGAATACGTTAGTAATAGTTTGGCTGATTATTTGGGATTCTGACGTGTTTAGGAGATGAAGATTAGTAGGAGGGAATTCGGCTAATGATTCACTGGCAATCACTCACGATAGAAGTTGGCCTTTGTGAAATTGGCGTCGGTAAACATAACGAGGCCAGACTTCTGCACAGTGGAGTTAGCATCGGCGCCGTAAGTGGGCGAGGGCACGTAGACGCGATCCACTTGGCTCGCGCTGTTGTACCACGTGAACTCATACGGCATCTGTGCGTGCGCTTCGTACATGGACATCTCATTAACCACCTACAAGTGAAAAGAAGCAGTTGAGTATCCATTCACACGAACCCAAACCATCTATCAACTACGTCCTGACACACATCGTTTTCCTGGATGAAGGAAGGACTGTCATATCGAAACAAGTCGGCATGGAGCACGTTCACTGCGAGATAGGATCCAGGCGTGGCAAATCCTCGTATCTCCACGGTGTCTAGGTTCAAGTCCTTCCCTCGATTCACTTGAATTTGCACATTGTTTATTCGACTGTAGTTGGTGAAGAAGGTTAAACTGTCCGCGAGAATCTCTCCGTCGTTCTTGATGCAAAATGCCAGAATCCGACAAATCGGTGCCATCGCCTTGGAGATAGCGATCGAGAAGGATCGAAATGTGACCATGCTGCGCATCGATATGCGATCAGAGGTGATAATGTTTCCACCTGCAGTGACCTATGAAGGGACAAATAAGAGTTTGGCAATTTCGAGTAGCTTTTATTTATTTGTTCATTCATTCTGTATGGTGAAAGTGTAGCCTCTAATTGATGCCGACATTGGTTCACTCCGATTAGGATGCATTTTTGAAAAGGTTACTTAATTAGATGGAGTAATAAACCTATTATATTTGCCAGTTCCAAGCCAAGCGACAAAGACATACCAAGTAGTGGATAGTGTCCACGGGATAGTTCGTCTCCACGTTTAACACCATGTACTGGCCAACCTGAAACGTTTACAAACGCGACAGCGTTACACATCATGGCTGTTTTTGACTTCTTGTAACAAGATCTAGACCAATAACTTATCGTGCAACTAAAGGAGGGGGGAAAGGGGGGACGAAAAATAGACACCGATGCTAATTTTAAGCAGAACCACAATTGTTTGTCTGGATAATTAAAGGTTACACAACCGAATGAATAAAGGTGGAGTTTATGAGGGGAGAAGGTAATGGGAGTGTTAAATCAAGGACCAACCTGTGGCTGTGGGGTGGTGGTGGTTAATTGCAGGTACGTACTGGACGGAGATTGGAATTTGAATAGTCGCTGATAGGCGGTCGCAAGAACCACAGATTTTTCGTCTATGAACGACGCCTTAAATCACGGAGAAATTTCTTTTCAAAAGACACAACATAGTCTGTATGGAAATTCGACTCAATTAAGTCATCTCTACTTAGCTCATTTCAATCACGAGGGTTTCTCAAAGCGAAGAATGACTAGGAGGAGAGTTGGAAGGGGAGAGAAGGAGGAGAAAATACCTGTAGAAGCAGACTAGTGCATGTATCTTCAGCAACGGGACGGAAGGTATACTGGATCAGAGAGTCATCTGGGATGGGCAGAAATACTCTTCTCAGTTCTGCACCCTCTGCACACGAGATTGTCAAACGCACTCTTCGATTGCCTATGTAGAGTGGCTGCCGACCGTCTGCAGTGAAAATCACCATCTGTAAAAGCGATACCAACAGTCACAATGAAAGCCCCTTCGAGGCAGTCAGTATGGTTGCATTAAAATCACTTACATAGGCGGTGAAATACATTCCTGGCTTGTAGAGTCGAACACCCCCGCCGAGAAATTTAATGTTAGAATTGGCCGAGAAAACTTGAGTGAAAGCCCATCCTGTTCGAGTGTCTCCCTCCCACCAATTTGTCACGGAAACGTTTGCCCAAATATCCATGTTGGCTAATGAAGGTTCTGCGCCCCCCACGCTTCCGGTAAGTTGGGATCGCAGCTCGAAGAGGGGTACTATAAAGGCAGCGTGACCGTCCATCTTAACAAAAAATAAAACGCTTTCATTTATATAATTTTACTATTAATAAATAAGTAGCACGGTGATTTCATACTTGTGTGATGGTGCGCTTAACAGTTCCAGCCGGAGGTTTGGACCACATATCGGGCCCACGCTCACGCATTTCGATGATAACACTTGCATTCCCACGAACGTACTTTCCGCTGGTATAATTAGCCTGTATTAATCCAGTGAGAGCAAAATCTTCATCCGAGTACCGAGGAAGCATAGTCACGTTGACATCCCATAGTGCAGCCCCTGTGAAAATGCCAGATAGGAAAAGGAAAGGCAACCCTTACAGTACTCGACCACTCTAAATGTTTTTTCTACCATATGCTTTTCGTGTCGAGCCCGAATCATCCAATCTCCCTCGTTGACTTGATCGGCCAGAGCGAAATCGAGTTCAATTATGCCTAAGAAAGAGAGAGGAAATAGAAACCACCTGCAGCACTTACCCCCAATGTTTGTCATTGGATTGAGCCATCGTTTAAAAAGATTATTGGAAGAGTCAACTACTTCCACCGAAACAAGGGAACCAAACCATGGCATTAAGTCAGGCTGCACTGGTATAACTCGAAACCGCACGACCTGATTTTGGTGGTAAATCGGCTTGCTCGTCTTTAATAAACTGTAGACAGTTAATGGCCCCTCTTACCTGAATCATAAGAGACACTGTCTTGGGATAAAGCTGGATCATTGTACGGTTTTGGAAGAGAAGAGAGCTGTTGGTGGCTATATAACCATCTAGGTGTAACCAGTACTCGCCCTGAGACGCCTGGTTCGGAACCTAAAAGGAATCAGACGTTTTAATAAAAAGGCCACAGATAAGTGTAATCAGAATATTCTTACACCCTGCACAAAGAAAATCACTGGAGTTTTTCTTGGAAATAGCTTGCATGAGAAATTGATTTTGCAACAGATAGTAAAGGACAATATGGTAAGGATTTAAACTCGTACTCTCATGTGAAGAATTCGTGTTCCAGTCGCTAGGAAAACTGACGAAGTTGATATCATTTCCACGACGCCCTTCTTAATTGCAAGGCGCATTATGATCCTTGGGTAAATCATTCTTAAAATGGAGACACTGATTTGAACATCTTCATCCGGCCTGACACGTTGAGGTGCTAAAATGATATACGAACTTAAAAAAGTTGTGACGCGAGAAGAAGATCTTACGGTATGGGCTCTAGCATGTAGCCACCCATTTGTTGGGATGCCGCTGGGGAGATCAGGAACGAAAGAATGATGCAAAAACTGAAAAGTAGAAACGGTTATTAAAACGTACTTAGTAAGCTACAAAGATTTCTCTCAACAGAGTACTGTTAAAATATAACGCTTCCGTAAAATAAGGTGAAGTCAAAAATCAAAGCAATTAAACATCCACAGGATATATGACTGGAAGTTGTAGCTTCATTAACATCACGGCAACTATGGTCTTGTAAAGCAGGAATGTATAAGCTGACATTTTTCAAACAACATTACTATGTTTTAGAAGTTGTACATAAGAAACTAAATGGCTATTTTGGAGTATGTGATCATCTCACTGTATAAAGAGCAGACATGTGAACAAGTTTGCGATCAATGAGAACCTGGATTTTTGGTGCTGGCTTAAATGCCGCCACGCAAAGTGAAAAAGGAACAGCATAGTAAAGTAATAAGGAATAGTTAATTTAAGCTTAAGGAATTGAGTTGCTTTACAACCACGAAACAAAAAGCTTTAAACCCATTTAGGAGAAGCACCTATAAATCAAGTTACTGTCAAAGCAAATCGGAAAAATTGCTCAGGTTTCAAAAATATAAAGTAACTCTAACTTGCCAAATTGTATACATTTGTTGCCGGGGAACGCTTCATGCAAATTTTTCATTCGACGGAAAGTATGTTTATAAAACTGGGCCGAAAAATAAATAACCAATTAATGATAAAAACAAATGAGGTCGACCTTAATCAGCTGCTTTTTAACAAGCAAGTACTTTATACAATTACGATGATAAATCCAATAACGAGAAATTTCGCTAGTACTTAGGCATCCATGGTACTTAATTACTAAACTGGTGGTTGTTTTTGGATTGATATTCATTGAGGATTGTATAAGTATGGCGCATAGAAGGTTTATGAAAAATTTTTCTTGGTGCAAAGAATCCACGGGCCTTAATATTTTATGCATGTGAATACGACATGACGAGGTAATATTTGGGCTATGACACTAAATGTCCCATATTTACATTTGCTGTAAATTACTTTATGCACAGACAAGGGCCTTATAAGAAAATCGGATTTTAGTAAAATGTACATCAAACTTTTTCGGTGTTGTGACTCCCTAAATTTCCCCGAGAAGTAATTTATGCACCCTGAGTCTTCCGTTATATCGCAGTAGGCCAAATTAGTACTGCAGAACACTATGCATTAGCACGCAGAAATGTCAAAGGAGTATTGCTTAACGCTCATGTTGTTTAAATGCACCTTTCAGTGTAAAAGCGGGTAGTCTACTTGAACCCCGTGATTGAGGCATGGTCAGTATCTCCCAAACCAGAGAAGACCTCTGTGTCCAGGTCTCCCTAAACTTGCATCTATCCTCACCTACACTAAGCAAAAAATATGTACAAATCCGATTAGTCCCTTCGTTCTAAAGATGTGAAGGCTGAATGGGAGGATACAAGCGAGGACCGTGCCACAAATGCCAGGCCTCGGAGTGGAAGCAAAATTTCTGGGACCCGGAGTGCCGTGTAGTTTGCCATACATCTAAGCATGTCACTGTAGCAGTAGTCCGCAAAGAAATGGATGAAGATGCATTAATATGAACAGACAGTGCGGGTACAGGGCTATGCAGTGCTCGGAAGGCTATAATGTCAAGTGGGAGAATATCCTGTGTAGATTAGGCAGCTTGCTTAACCAACTATGTGGTTCAACAAAATATAAAATTACGAAATGACCCCTACTTCCTTTGAGTGATGTCTCGGGTTAAACCGTAGGATCGAAGATGGTTTGATAATCCCACACATTAAGAAGAATGAGACCTCCCGATTGTTGGGCATGTATGCCTGGCAAAAATTGCTTAATATTGCTTCCTCAAAAGGCGAACTATGGTAGAAGGAGTTCATCAAGGTGTCTCCACTTAATATCGGACGTTTTGGGGCACAGACTAATTCGTGCATGTCGATCGCGTCTCTTAGTAGGTTTGCTGAAAGGCGACAATAGGAGAAATATCACGCTCACAGACCATGATGAAACTGTTTTGAGAAAAATAAGATAGACATCCCTATGGGGTCAGCTGATATTCTTCATAACTTGATTCCACTCTAGCGGCACTTATTATGTAGAGCTCACTACTAGGAATTTTCCAAAAGTAGAGATAATCTGAGTCTCCACCAAATCAGCTATTCACTGGACAAATTGCTAAAATTATGATATTCCATATCTTATGAGTTACAGACGCTAAAAGTGACATTTGTAAAGGCACTTTTTGACCACTACCGATGCCTATTTTAATCCTTTTTGTCAAAGGTGTGGTGTTGGATCAAGACTTAAAAATTCCCCATCTTGTCGAATAAGAAAATATCCAAAAGCGCATAATGGCCCTAGCCCTGCCCAGTTATTCTGTTATGTATTTAAACAGAATGCTTTGACGACGCATGCTACTACTGCAGACCGGGTCACACTGGTGACGAGCGTCCACCCTCCTCAATTTATTGCCGCACGCTGGTCTCGTTTGTCAGTTGCGCATCAGCCACTGCAAATGTTGCATTGCTACATTTACCCACAAGGTATTGGCAACGAAAAGAAAACAGACCATGATGGGGTCTGACCTTCGCAAACTGGAGGGCCTCCAACAACAGCGCGTCCGGCGAGACATGGTGCCCGACCGACCGCTGTGGTTATAAACACTGCCATTATCATCCGGTGGTAGGGGTGGAACAGAGACAGTACGAACCCACTAGTCACACTGTGGCCGAAGGCAACCGTTCCAGAAGTCACTAATAGGAGGGCTGCTCCAGGTAACTTTCAGAGCAAAATGTACATTTGACCTATTGCCTTCTAGTACTTAGATGCATTATTTCGTGGCTAATGCTATTTTTGAAATAAAACGCTGAGTCTGCCTTCGAAACGGATACCGCCTCTAAAAAACCATCCGAATGGCTGTCACTCTGCATTAACACTAACGTTCTCATCAACATTTCAAGAAAAAAAAGTAAATGGCAAAGGGCAGTGCCGAGGGCTAGCCAAGGATCAAAGAGAAATCTATCCTCTAAAAATAGTCAAGAGTCTAAGCGCATGTGATTGTTGAACGCGAGAGGAGTTGTATGGGGCGGCGATCAGCCAAGGGTGCTGTCATGGAAGTCGATCACGCAAAGCGCATCATCGGGGTGTATGGAGAGCTCAACGGAGTCGCCGTCCTCGAAAGGCAGTGCCAGCCACCCGTCAATGCAGAGGTACGCATCCTCCATACGTGAAACCACTCGTAATCTAAAAGGAGTGGCACACCCACTTACGCGCATTTCAAAGCGCTTTCTGTGGTCTCCCTCCCTCCCTCGTTAAGTGTGGCAGTGAGTGAGATAATTACCCGACTGAGGTTCCTACATCGGCAAAAAGAACAGTCGATGGTGATTATGACGAACGACTTCCGGTGTCCACCCAAGATAAGCACCACCATTTCAGCTGTGCTTACTATTCAGTCTTTAAATACGCAAGATCTGCTTCCGAATCAAAGTGTCGTTTTATTATGCCATTCAGACAAGATGGTACAGAGAAAGAAGAATACTGGAGGAAGATGGGGAGAGACGATAAAATTGTGTCGCAGATTATTCAGTCTGTCCCCTTAGTCTACCAACTTACTGCTTTGATACCTCATAAGAAGTACGTCTCCAGATATCCTACGCTTTGTATAACTCCCCAAAATTAACTTGGATGATAAAAACCTTCTTAAAAAAGGGTATTTACTAAATAATTGGCACGAACCATAAAAGAAGCCTTAAAATATCTTGAAAATTCGGTGTACAGAGGCCTTCAAATGCAATGTTTACTTGTATGTTTTTTTTGAGGATGTACATAAGTTTCAAGCTCGGACTGAACTGCAGGCGCTCAGAGGACGCCAGCGTGCTTTTAAATTCAGTGAAAAAATAAAATCTTAGCAAACATAGGGAAGACAAGGAAAGCTTACTTTTTTGCAAAACCGCGAGGAGAACCAAATTTAAAGACATCTAAAAAGTACAAAAAGGGATTTGTAGGTAGCCAAAAAATGATTCTTTGAAAAGCCGTCGAAAATAGTTGCATCTTCACAAACGTAGATTTCCTACAATCTGATGGATTAGATTAAATCCAATATATTTAGTCTTAGAATAACGCCCTTCACAGACCTCTATCTTTACATCAAGCTGATGGCAGTTGGCACAGATATGACAAAGTATTTAAGACGGGTTGAGTGACATACATTCTGCTGTGGATAAAGTGTAACAATAAAATTACGAGCAAGAGAATAAAGAGCAATAAGAGTAGCAATCCGATTTGAGTAGACCGGTGGTGAAAGGAGAAAGAGGGAACGCACGGTTAGTGATTATTTCGCGAACAGAGTAGGCCATAAGAGGAGAATCGGGGGGGAAGACCAGATCACGGTTGAAGCGCTCAGCAACCTCGGCGGCTACAGTGACATCGGGATGAGAGTCAGAGGCGAGAGAGAGAAGGCGCGCGACGAGGTGGACATCTACCTGGTGGAGGCTTCGGTACCACGAGGAGGAACCAGTACCTGTGCACACCAGCAGACCGCTCGATTTCTGAGTCACCGGCGTCGCCTCCTCCACTGATATCTCGTAACGGGAGACCCTGTCAAGCACACACGCTTAAGCAGACACTCATGAGACTAATCGCTCCATAACACCCCCCACTCGCACGAGTAATTGACCACCGAAAAACCAGCCACTAATCGCATGTCAGGGTGTACAACACCCTCAATTTCCTTCACCTAACAGGCAGACTAACCTGGTGTTCAAACAAGCACTGATAAAAACATCGTTTAACACCCGCACAGGAAGGAGGTAGGTAGGAGGTAGGGTAGCAACTGCTGGATCCTCCCCACCATCCTCGTCGGAGGGGCGCGAATGTGGTGCACGCGGCTCAAATAAACGCGGAGTAACGGTATCGAGAGGTATCAGCTGGGCCGACGGCGTCGAAACGAGAAGTCGAATTCGCTGGCGGAAGCGCCGACTAAAACGGTGTAGAGAGAAGTCCAAGAATCCAAGTCGTAAGTGAAAATTCCAATAATGTAGATGGCAAAGACGACACAAGTTGAATACAGGAACTAGTTGAGCATAACATTTCATGAAAGGGGTCAGGAAATTCAAAACCGTGGAGGGCACCTTAATCCAATACAATAAGAATTTCAGTGTAAAGCAAGGTCAGAGTTCTAATGAAACTGACTGTATTCCCAGAAGCACTAACCTAAACTGTCCATTCACCAGTCTATCCACAATTACCGGAATTTTCTTGTGCCAATGACGAGGCAAGCAAAGACTGCCCTCTGAGCTGAGGTTAGAAAAACAAACATGATCAAGTTAAGCACACGGCTTATTTTCAAAAGCAAAACTAAGATCCTTAAAAAACCGTATTTTTAGAACAATCTTACATTCAGATAAATGAAAATGAGTCGAATAAAAACACAATTTGAGTTGCTTCCAAATCATGAATAAATAGCAGGTGAGACCTACGAAACGGGATTGCTGTTGATCCCAATGATGGGTTTATCCTTTTCGGTAATCCTAACGGCAGCGGTTAGAAAGGTCCCGTCGCCACCGACAGACACTACGAGGTCAGCAGTCTTGGCATGCTTGAAGTCATACTCCTTGTAGTTTACGGCGTCTACTTTGACACCGCATTTACTTGTTTTAAAAATCCACAACTTTATGTGCAATAAGTAGCAGTATTAATAAAAACTGTCCTTTTAAACATCGTAATTGCTAAGAAAGGATGCAAAAACACTGCTGTACATACGTCGGCAAGAAACAAACCACCCATAAGTAGAGGTTCTACAATGCTTATAGATTCATCAAGTGAAACAAGCATAAACACACAAATTGGCCTAATTTGAGACCTAGTGCGTATAGCCACAGGTTAAAATATCGAAGGCGAGTTAGAACTTGTTGTCACATTAAGCTCGCAGACACTTGAATATTCACATTTGCAGCTTACGTGAAACATCGCATAAGTTCATCTACGATACTACAGCGATCTTCATGTCTACTGATCAAGTGTTTACTAATTTTGCTTTTCTTCGCAACCTCAAAACTAATCGAGTTATTCTCCTTACATGTTTTTCAAAGGGGAAAGAATGTATAACTGAATAGGTATCGCCCCCGCAATCAATTCCAGTTGTTTTGCATACTATCAGCACCTTCTCAAAGTGATTCCTGGTGTTTGAACTCAAAGAGAATCTACATGATACTTTCAACGAGAAGATACTTCCTCTTCTCAAAAAAGGGCAGAGGAAGCGCCCCAGCATCGGCCGCAGGAACAAATAACGCAGGATCAACCTTGAAAACTGACACTTGAATATAAGAACAACGTTTACCTAAAAACTCCTTGTTAAAATGTTCAACTTGTATTAACTTATTTTGCGCAATAAAAAGTGCTTAAAACCACAAGTGCTGGTGAAGTTAAAGAAGTTGTTGCAAGTTTGGCACTATTGGTTCTTGTGAGAAAAACCGTACTTCTTATCTAAGGCTACTTCATGAGATAAATATAAAATAAACCGAAATAGTTTAGAAAAAGGAAGATTCATGCAAAGGCTTTCTATCCGAGGTAGGAACTGTATTAGGTTATTTAGTTTTGGCAAACTCAGTTTAATTTAACCACAAACCGATTAATATCCCACAAAAATTGCCTAAAGTATACCATGAGACATGATTCGTCATAATAACTCCATTTGTTTTTAGAAGACTGGGCAGTTGTATTACTATCTGTTCATATTGTAATACCCATTCATTCGAATACCTGCCGTCAGGCTGAGGTGACCATGTGACCTTGCGGGCGTAAATGGTCTCTAAGGCGGATCAGAACTCCGATCCTTATTACAATTCAATAACCTGCAAACTTTCACCACACGCCTAAAGTTTAAAGCTATTCTGCTCCACCTAATCTTCTCACTCTAAGTGTGACACCAGTGGCGGAGGAGAGAAATAGGGAGTTCGTTGGAGCGTGGGGTTCGTAGCTGCTTGTAGGAGTTGTTCGCCTAATCGCTTTGTGTCGCGTCGGTTTTTCACTGCATAAGAATAAAGTGCCTTAAAATATTTCTCAAACTGATCATATTAGAGGAGTTGCGCCGCTTGTCCCAGCAATTGAATTTCGTTTGTATTGGAGACATGACGGTTGTTGTGACTACTAAATATGCAAGGAATCTGTTGTAACAGGACGGCATAAACAAGGGACGGAAGCATGCACCATGGTTTGACATGGTCTCCCAAATTCAAACTAACATGCTCCGTGTAAAGGTCACAGAATGGGATGCTAGAAATATTTCCTGAATATTCTACAGGTGTTGGTCTCTCCATGATGCCACCTCCAAAAGAGTGTAAGGCTGGAGTACTGGTCAGCCTTTAAGGCTCATGAAAACATTACCAAAGGGCTCATTCATTGATTCTACAACCAACTACTCCATCTCGTGCTTTTCTCGGCGAAGTAAAATTCCTTATGTTAAGTTATGCAACTCAAATAAGGCGAGGAGTGTTAGATTCAGGACTTCTAAAGCATGAGGCCTAGTTGAATCATCTCGAAGTTTCCCAAGCAAAATTGACAAATGCGGCAAGTGTGAACATATTTATGACAAGGGTAAAACTCAATAAGCCAAATTTTATACTTTATTGACTGTTAGTCGACATCATTTACTAGTCGTTTACGACTTCAAAAGCAACTCCAGTGGCATGTATTTTTTCTACCATTTGTACGATCACAAAATTCCCACGATGTTCTTTCACTGTATTTTAGCTTGCAATGAAGTTCCTTCTTTCCTGATAAAGCCGGAGGAAGTAGGGGAATTAATAAAGTGCAACGAACAAGGACTTCGTTAAAGACTAAATTAGGCATTTTTGACAGGTATAAAATGTATTGCCGACTTGCATGAGAGACTGGGACTACCGGGATGGCCAGATGTCCAGGCCAATAGGCGAAGGTCCAAGGACTGAACACCTAAGTGACCCAGTTTTACCAAAACTGAGGGTTACACGAACAGCCAATGTACTACAGAGCCAATTTCGTCTTGTGACCCTCGTTTCCTTGGTTAACCTCTCCCGTCGGTCATCACAACGTAGCCGATGCTGTAAAGAAACGCCCATGAGCCAACTTCACTAGTCATTTGATTTTTATTTAACTAAAGAGATAATTGACTGCAACATCACTGATCCCTCTTGACTATTCTACTAAATGTGGGTTTTTGCCTGTGTGGGGACTGTATTTGGGTGAGGGGGAATGTGCCAGCTACCACGCTCGTCTACAGCTAGTCGTAGAAACACTGGCCTAAAATCAGAGTCATGCAACCAAGACTGGGATTTAGCATAGTTACTTGAGGATGTTTTGCATCTATTCTCCCTCACCACTTTGCTCTCATTTTAGTGCCACCCAAACACATCAGTCTTGGTTCCATACAAGCTAGTAGGGGAGTGGAAGGTGGATCACGCGGTCAAGCAATTGACACCTTCGTAAGAGCATGATAGACAGCTCCATTGAGGAACTTTTCCAAGTGGTTCACGGCTCGTGCCGCTTCTGTTGTTAATAGCTCTCTGTTAAGAGCCACATCCAATTCTCCCATCTGCAGCATATGGACTTCTTCCACCCCACTAGTGTTTATCACCCAGAAGCAGAAATCAGGATCGTTGTCTTCTAAGATGGCTTAGCTTTTCCCTGCCATCGGTGTGGCTCCTTGAGACTTATCTAAAGGCGAAAGAATACATAATACTCGGGCGGAATAAATGTATTTGACATACAGTAGGTCTTCGGGCTATGGGAATGGCGTGGAGGCCAGGGCACCCGGCGAGGGTACGATGGCGGAACCCCTAAGTGATCAGTTCACCAAAACCAGAGGTTGAACAAACAACCAGCGTATTACATCTTACAATCTATAGCTAGAGAGCATTAAGTTTGGAAGGAGAAATCCTGGAGGGTGGAAAAGCCGTGAGTTTGCAATCGAGCCATAGAGTTGGTTTTGTCAGCCTTCGGACCCTCCTCCCTCATCGTACGCCATAAGATTAATCTCATTGAATAATTTACAACACATAAGGTAAACAACTAAATTAAAAATTCTCTCATAAGGCTTTCCAAAGGATTTGTGTGCACTTGTCATCCTCCTCAGTGCTTGCGTGGAGTAACTGACGTCACCAAGGATAGCGCTATAATCACCAGAGATTAAGGCCAACACGTCAATTCCTATCTGATTTATAGGTAATAATACATTATCTTCTCCACATAACACCAACGTCACTGATTGTCAAGTTTTGCAGAGTACAAGTTTTCATAAACACAGAGTGAATGGTCAGAGAAGTCCAAATTACGGCATTTCTGTGATTGAATGCAGCAGCCACAAAGTGGAGTGTTAGATGTTTACATGAAGTGGCAATGCATGCCTTCGTGGCATCTTCATCAACACTTACCTTGTGGAGTCACGCGAGTTGCAGTCACCGCTGCGTTGGCAGTGACGCGAACAGGAGGGCTGGCAGGCTGGAGTGGGAGTGAGGAGGGCACTGCGTGCATGCGCGATCGGGAATCGGGTCTCTTGCTCTTACTCCTCCACAATTCACTCTGCTGAATCTCTCTTTCTTCAATCACTTGAGCAGCTTCTCCGAGGTTAGAGATTTTGCACAAAATTTGTTGAACAAAGAAGCGAGATGGAGAGCGATGCTGTCGATGCATCGGACTAAGTAGATTATTAAATCAAATTTGACTTTTCCTTCAAGTTTTCGATGAAGTGAGGCATTCTGCAGATTTGCATGAATTTCAGGCAGCTGGCACCCCAACTAGGCCAACGCATGCCAAAAAGACGATTGAGTTTAGCTACTACCCTAGAATATTAGTACCACGAAGCTTAGCAACAAATTGTACTCGACTTAGAAAAAGGAAAAAGTAATAATTACAAACTGGAATAAGTTTGTCTCGTGTCAGGCACCTACTCATACCCGAAGGCATCAAAGGGCAAACGAAGAAGGACTGAGGGGATGAGTTGTTGGTTTGATTCTTGATTTTTTGGTAGCGGGCCACTTCGTGTCTTGACTGTTATACCTTCACCGGTCGGACTGGCCTTTGGGCCATACGAGAAGCTCTAATCTCTTGCCCATGTCGTATATATGTACTCAGCCTGAGTAACACGTCTTCTGGCGTCTTCAGGTCAGTCTCAGGGGGCTACGCATACCTGTTCTACACAACCACTCTTAATTAGAGGCATAGATACCTTGATTACCACGACACAGATGGAATGAAATACTAAATGAGCTCTGCCATCACGATGCTCTGGATAAATTATAATCTACTTTTACTTTCAAGGTATTCTCAGTTTCCCGGTACCGGATATGATGGTCGCAATTAGCGACTACTGTTTCAATATAAAAATTTGGGAGGTATAATTTATCACCATGAGATGTTCCGCTACTGCGTTATCTATGCGCCCTTATTATTAACCAGGATGCAGTGTTAAGTGATTTGAATTACATTCCACTATTGTAAGTACTCAAAGTTATACAAACTCACTACTGGAAGGTACATCCTAGAAAAGCGAGAGTAGGTAGTTAACTCCTGACTACATGCAAATTTTTGTCCAAACAAGCATAACTGCACGCTTTGTTTAACACCTTCCCTCATTTGAGAGAGGGTATGCTGATGTAACGTTTACCATGGTTTTGCGACAGAACGACGCTTATTTAACTTATTTGTTTTCATAGACGGGTCATTCAATGTCTGCGATTTGATTCTCCTTGTTTCGCCTTCAAGTCGAATTCGCTCACTTGCGAAGGAGTTGTAGTGCCCCAAGACTTCTCCAAAGATGAAAGAAGACACGATATCTGGGCAGAACGTGTATTGCCGCCACGCAGAAGGATTTGGGGCTACGAGTATGACCTGGATACCAGGTCACTTGGCGGTAATCCTTTATTGGTCCGTTACCAATACCGGGAGTTAAACAAACAACCAACTGATCACAATGGCAAAAGACTGCACTAAGCAAACCCCTGCAAAATATTTGAAACTACACTTAAACAACTTTAATCAATTAATAAGTTGAGGATTTTAATACTCTTCCATTTCAATCCAAAGAAATCAATTCTCAGAAAAAGAAAATTATGTTGCTCAAAGATAAATCCAAATGAATATCAAAAAAAAACATTACAAAGAAGCACTCTTTCCCCATTTTTCGTCCTCAAGGCTCCAAGTGTCGTCTGACGGGTCGCGCAGATGCCGCTGCTCTCGGCGACGGAGAATCACAGCGGCGACGAGAAGCAACACTGCCAGAATTACCAAGATGCCGAGTAGAGCCCGCACCGCCCTCCGAATGGTTGCTGGAAGCTCATGAACCGCCTTATAGAGCTTCTGTGCAGACTCTCTGTCAGCATGTATCACCTTTGGAAGGAGAGAAACAGGCATTAATTGTGTGTAGAGGATTACGAAAAGAACACACCCTAGATTGGCGAGTTTATGCAATCTGAGGCATTAGTAAGGCGTATTATAAACTTACGTTTTTTACATAAACCAGAGGGAAGTAGATATCTTCGGGTGTTTTTTGTATACTAAAGTAATAAACCACAAAAAAGTTAGGCTGATTTCTATAAATTACGTAGAGACAAAGTAGTTACTCCCCTCGAATCTATACAACGTGAGCACCATCTTGCCAGGCCTCTCAAGGTGGAAATACATGGTTTGTGTTGCATCACATATGGTAAAACAGTTAAAGAAATCTCTCAACAGGAACCCATCCACTTTAGTGACATCCGGATGACAGCACCAGCTTTTCCGAGACAATGTAATTTTATGCGCATTTTGCAACCGACCTTTGATCTACAGGCAGGGGACAAGTCTTATCGCCCACATTAAGCAGCAGTAACTGTGGGAAAGGCATTCATCAAAACTGCTTTGGCATGCTGTGCTCCCCAGTGACTTACTCTTTGGCCAGAAAGGCATTAATTTGGAAGGAAAATTCTCCCCCAAGTAGAATTCCGGTTTTCTGTCAAAAGGAACAAAAAAGTACAGAAACAAAGAAAGCTGCCAATTTTGTCAAAACAGTTTATTTTATTGCCTATAATTAGAGTAGGCTAGACAGAAATTAATCTGGAAAGGTAAAGCATGACACATTTTTATAGCTATGCACGAAAAAAAGGATTGACGGAAGCCCCTTCGATAAAGGACTTTCATGTCTTAATCTGCCTAATCATAAAAATCCCTTAATGCAGCAAAGAGACGGTAGCATGTCTTACAGAGTCGATGTGCAAGTGAGACATCAAATTTGGTTCAGTGGGGCCTTCAAAGACTACAGCGTCTTTTACTGCATCGGCTGCTTGATTGAAGAAGGGAAGGGAGATGAATAGGGGCTCGTCTCCTGAAATACCGAAATCCACGCAAGGACTTATGGACAGAAGACCAGTTGGAGGGTATTTTTTGGTGGGGTAGACTTTCGGGTGGAAGGCAGCATTGTCCGGCTCCTCGTCAGCACTGAGAAACACCTTCCTATCCATTTCCAGAGACAGTAGCTGAAAGATTTCGCACTTTAATTAACATCCGCACCACACTACAAGCTTCAGCGCATTCGATTCATTCATAAGGCGGAGCGTACCTTTAGCTCAGGGAGATTTTTGGCAGAGACCCACTTTTTAGCTATGAGCGGCACAGAGCGGCAGAGGTCTGCGCTAAACATGTAACGTCTATCGCCCAACTTCACCGACGGTGGTGTGATGGCATCGGCTACAAACAGGAAATAACTTCCCTGAGGACTTCTACGATCGCAGAACTTTTCCCTACCGAAGCTAACAGTGGGTATGCTGCGATGGCGGAGTGTAGGACTCACACCAGCCTCTGCTGAAGCTTTACGTAATCCGAAATCTTGCTACAGCCTAGCATAGCAAAAATCCTAAACCAAATTTGAGCCTCATACCTTTGATCATCAAAAAGGGGTCAAAAACCTATTATCAGTTTCCTTATCAAGATGGGAAAACTAACCTGTGCCATTGAGCATATTTGCATAGGTTGAGTTCCAGTTGTCAAGACGTCTGTGGGAGGAAGCGAGGTCTTGTATTAGCTCTAACGTCCGACAAAGCGGCAAAACGACACGGTAGTATAAACTTACGGCTTTCCTTTGATGGCCACCAAATTACCCAATTTAGAAATGTTATAAAACCCGGTGTTGATTTGGTACGGGCCTTTGACCGAATTGTTGAGCTATTAATTAAAGATAGGCCTTGATTTAATCCTTATATAGTTATATAGGCCAAACGAACAGACTCAAATTCACACTTACTTGCTTGAATAGACCCATCTTTGTGTCCCCAACCAAACCCAGGACTTTCCCCGTCAGTAGATTTTGGTATTCATGTCCCCACATAACTTCATCCACCGTGAGATCTAAGAGGAGTGGTCTTGATAAAAAGCCCCACAGCAGTTGCGTTGCAAAGGATCCGGCTTGTTTAATCATGGAATTTGCGATCTGAAAGAGGAAGCGATGAAGGTGCCAAGAGGTTTCGCTGCAGTCATATTTCCACCACATTAACGTAATTTATTGCAGCTGAGGAAGTTTGCGCTTTTAGTGGCAATTTCCTACGCCTAAGTGATTATCCCAAGTAGCAATTGTGGTCTTCAACTCCAGCACTTAAAGCGTCGATTCCCAAAGTACTTTTTCTACTCTAGTGGATCCCTTATTGCGGCTAGATAAAAGCCTAATAAGAGGAGAAAGAAACCTCCAATTTTCTGTAAAGAAACTTAATCAAACAGCCATTTTTTTCCTTTTTAACAAAGTAACAAAGATACTGAATTGATCCTCTTTAAGCTAAAATCCAAAGCCCCTAATTTGAGTTTGTCTTGCTCAACGAGGCGATTGTAGATGTCCAACAGGAACAAATGCAATTTGTGTTCCATTCTCGAAACAAAAAGTGAACACTTACGCATTCCACGAAGTTTGGTACGACTAGCCTGTCCTTCTTTGGATCCCCGATGGAGCCCTTCGGTTCGAATTGGTATACAGTGGATGTCGAATACTCCATAACTCCTCGACCGCAGATGTCTTCTCTGAAACGTACGTCCTTTTTCTCTATAAATCGCCTGAAATAATTCAAAAAAGAACTCTCTTACTCCGATCGCCTTTAAAAATGCAATAAATAACGTTTAGGGCATTTGTATTAAGTAAAGATGTTAGGAGACACTGCAGCCAGATACCCCATGCAGATTTTCTAACAAGCGTACCTGTACACATAGGGTCCAACAGCCCTCAATCTCGGCTTTTTGCGGTTTTTTTGCCACTCTTCTGCATTGGTCAAGTTAAAAAGATAGAATTGAACTGTGTTGTTTGAGTTGGTTGTTAAAACTTGAAAACCCGACGAATTTTCTGTGATTATAAGCTCCTGCAATGGAAAATTGTCACCATCGTTCCGTCTAAGAAGCGGTACCAACCTTGACAAGCAAGTTGCTCTCAATGGTATCAAAGAGGAGTTCACAGGTCGCAAGACCGAGGGTAGTCAATAAAACGAGACAGGATAGAGTAAGCAGAGCGATCCAGCATTTTCGTGGGGACTTCCCGACGATCATGCCTACAGACATAATTTGGCGTTTAACTTATACATACAGAAATGTATCTATAGCAGCCTGCACAGCTCTCACCCTGTATGATCTCAGTGGGTTTAATCACACTAACTGTACTTTTGTGGTAGAGTTTAGCAAGGTATGTATTTTTAACAGAATATATTAAATTACAATACGTTCAGTAGATGCAGTAGTACCATTTATGCATACAGAGTGGAAAAAGTGAGTCTACTGACGTACCCTTCTTCATCGTAACCACACGATTCTTGTAATGGAGGTGGTGGTTTTAGCCGCGGAATAGCCACGACATTATATAGCCGCTAGTCTCGACACACTTAGGTATGATCAGGTGAGTACGCCTGCACTTCAACGGGGTGGGACAGTTGCAGCAGTCTGGCGTAAAACGGATGATCAATGGCGTAAAAACCCTCCCACCTGTTAAAGAAAGATGTCTTCTGGAAATTGCCCCATGACTGCATTGACTTATCAGGCGACAGGCTCATTTTCTCTCGCGGGGCTCTGCGAACTCGCGTTTGTGCGTTGAATGGTACGAATGTTCCTTGATGTGGGCAAGAGTCACGAAGAAGCTTAAAGCAAGCATCTTCATTTATTTTTAGACCTGAAGCCTCATCATGGTGTTATGACTCCTTCTAAAGTATGTACAAGACACTGCTGACAACCGAACGGATCACCTTAATTTTTCTTTTGTGTTTTTGCGATGTGGGTGTCTTTGCAAACATCCACGACTTGCATTGAGCATCTCTACTGCTATTTATCAGTTATTTTAATCGTTACATGGTTGTGCAGGTGTGGTCCCTTATCGTCAAAATGAAGGTGGATGGTTAGTTAGCATCAAGTTTTATCGTTGGCATTAAGGTTGAGAATATTATCGCAAATTTTCCATGACAGAGTCACGGGACCATCACGCGTCAGTGCAGCAAAGTCGTGAGAACTTACTAGTGGAAATAAGTGGCACTTGCGCATGAATTTAGCACTTCGAAGTGCCCCTCATACTTTCACCGATGCCAATGTCACGGTCTGGTTGCTCCTGCACTCGCGGAGAGACCGTTACTGTTGGAGTCTGCAAGGCGGCAGGGTGTGGGCGTGCAAGGGCAATTGTTTACAGCTTACTGCAGCGCCGGTAAAAGGCCACATTTCTCCAATTTTCTAGTGTTACGCCCTCATTGTGCCTCTCGAAGCACTACTACAGTGATAAAATCTTTTCCAGCTTAAATTGTTGGGCACTTGCAGCATAATTGGATGAAGTAAAATGCCAAATTTGATGCAAAATAATCCATATTCACATAACGATTTGAATGATCTTGAATTTTTATAAACTTGCACAAATGTTTAAATACCTCTCTGGGGTAGATTACACTTATGCATCTCCAAGATCGTTTCTATGGCAGATCAATTATGCCTCTAGATGGTCTTGGCTAGAAGGTTGAGAAAGCGATCTCTACTGAAGATGAGACAGACTTCTACATCAGAGCAAGGTGTCATAATCAACCGTTACCGTACCTGCACCTAATGACGGCTTCGAGCTAGGAAAATTGAAATGCTTGCCGAAGAGTTCCTTCTATGAGGGCGATCCTTAACTTTCAACATTTCATTCGGCACCAATGCTTGAAGAAAAATCGTGTCAGTGTAATATGCTGACGTGGACAAATAAGTTATTCTAGTTTTTGTCCCACTTCGTCCTTTTCCTTGTCTACTAGTATGAGTCTGAAGATCAGTATACATTATATTTATCATCTGGTGCGTAACTCACTAAACTGTAATGCGCTAATTATTTGTTTAGCTCTCGGTTTTGGTTGTGGGCTACTTCGGTGCTCCGCCATTGTAACCTCCAGACTATGCTAGTCGCCCCCAACCCCTTCTGTACGTCGACAATACACATTCTGCCCAAGTATTATGTCTTCAATCGTCTTCACAAAAGTCTCGAGACGTTACAATACATTTTCCCTTCATTGGCCACTATGTCATTGCATTTGAAACAAATCTAAGAAGCTGTTTTACTACTTTTTTTCTTGTACAAAATAGTAATGTGTTAGCTCTGAATTTTCTAAAGTGATATATTTGCATTATCCCGATTCTGCTTGGGCGACCGTCAAATTCAGTATTACAAGTTGACAAGTCATCCCTTGGAACTTGCCTTTTCCTCTCCTCCGAAGACTTCATTCAGTCTTGTTTTTTTTCTTTGCTAAATGAAAACGCATTCCGTCAAGGTTTGTTACCACAATTCCCCCGTATTTAGTAAATATTACTTGTAGTGACTGAGTGTACCTGTCTAATCCACAACACTACAACGCTAGTTGGCTGATGTGATTTTAGCATCAAGAGATTAACAAAAATCTGCACTGAAAAAGATTGCATTATTGTTTTAATTTTACACAAAGAAGTGTAAACTGTATATGTACAATAAAAATTGCTGATTGTGTTACAATAAAAAAAGTGTGATAACTAAGTCTTCCAAAGTGCGGCAAAAATTTTCACCTCAAAATAACTGAAGTGCAAGAGATCTTGGATACTGACATCATATATTCTGTATTAATATTGGTATATTGTGCACATCGAGCCTTCCATGAAGTCGTAGCAAGCCAGAGTAATGCGGAAGCACATATATTACTAGCGCACCGAGGAGGGGGAAGTAAATGTCATGCCCCGAAGGCCACGTCGACGAGTGGGGGCGGAAGTTGCAGACTCAAGTGTCTATGTAGCTAAGCACAAATGTGGAAAAAATGTTTTATTACTACAACGGTTCACGTGCACACCCTTGACTGAGGCACCTCTTCATTTAAAGTAGTCTACTGCCTTCCCGCCATACACAGAACATCCCACCCCTTCTGTATATTAATCAAGAATCTTTGTCCGCATTGCCGTGAGCTGTCACGACTTGAATCGCTCCATCAAAGTAGTTACCGAGTGTTTGCTTCAGTAATGGCAACCATGCTTAATGTTGAGCATTCGGAAAATTTGACGCCTGATGTTGCCGTTTTGTGGCATAGCAGTGGCTTATTAGACTAGTAAGTTTTCACAAAATGTGGAGTTGCAAATTCAAAAAGCAAACCTAAGGAAACAAGGACTAACAAAGTTACTGTATGGCAGTGAGTTGGCGTTTACTATTCAATTACCAAAATTGATTTGAAATAGGCTAAAAGTGTCACTTATTGTCAAAAATGACATTAGGTGTGAACGTATTTAGTAATTTATACTGGAATATTATTATTACTGTCTATCACACACATCAGTTTAAACCATTAATTAGGCGCTAAGGAGAGGTATGACGATATAATAACGCATATTATTTGAAGCTATCACATGGTAGTTTATGACGAAATCGGCCTCTCATACTGGTTTTTGTCAGATATATAACATGAAGTAGGAACGGAAAATGCATTTAAAATCATACTGCCTATGCGAATGTCAACTTGTATCCCTTGTTTTCCTATGCTTCTATTCGAACATTGCCCGATTGTTTGAAATTTTGTTTCAGCCTAGCACTTTTTCGGATTTTCCTAACGGTTCTCTTTCGGATCTCCATAGTTCTGTGTGTTACAGTTGAGGGGGCGGTTCCAATGAGTAGGCCTGATTTTTGCTGTAAATATTAAAATAAGGTGACGAATCACAGTCCGGAGCTGAGACTAATGATGACTTTGACCTAATGGATGGGATTGCTGATGGGATGGCTCAGCTGGTAAATGCACATTCTCCGATGGAAATCGGAGAACCTATTTCAGAGGATGATATTAACTTTGACCGGTCGCTTCCGGGCCGACATACAGTAAGATGGAGGCATATTGCAAATTTTTAGTATCTTGGCGAAGATTCAGTAGCAATCGATACAAGTAATCATCAAGAACCTGGAACTATTGTTTCACTTCATATGTTGTACAAACCAGGCATTGTCTTAATTCCTGGTTATACACTGCCCCTGTTGATCACCGATTATACAGAGGAGGAACTCGTAAATACTTACCGTGATCCAGTAGCTATCTTACCCGGTTGGTGAGTAATATAGCTCTTAAATGTGGATTTATGTAGCTCAAATTAGACCGCATCTAATACTATACGTTCCCATAGCTTTGCTCGACCTATCTCGTCGGATTTTGTTGGTCACATCGCCACTATTGCCTATCTCGTGACCATCAGATTCAGTGGATCGAGGTGCAGTCCCGTTCTTCTCGGTCGACAGCGTCTGCGTATCATGGAAATTCAGCTCTTTTCCTCGGAGTATGTCCTTTTTCATTTCTCCCGTTTCATAATATTCACTTTTACCTCAGTTGCACATACTAGGGGAATGCAAATTACGTTACATACCTTCGATATGTATAGTCAGTTAACCCAATTAAGTGTTGTATTGTCTTCATCTCGGGGACAATGATCAAATGTTCTCTTTCCATTCTGTTTCCTAATTCTGTTCTCAGACTAAATTTTTACTGGTTCTCATATTTTAAGCATCTTTAGCAGTGCGGTACTCGTGTTGACATTTCAGAACTGAGCCTCGCTACCTAGACTAGTCTCTTTTTTAAAGGAATACTGGAATTTCTAGTTCAATTTATCCATCCTAAGTGTATCCAAGTTTCTTCAGTGCTCAGATTGGGCCTTGCTAACTTTTTGCTCTTTAATTGCTTCACATTTAACCTCTCCATGGGTTTTCGCCTTGGCAGTAAACTATATTCCGTTCGGTATGAATTTGAGCAGATCGGACTGACACCCCCGACGTTGGATGCGTATTGTACTCCTTAGTCAATAAAGTAACGTATTCACTGACATCATACCTCCAAAATTGTATTTGCATTGAATTTTTAAAAATATTATACCTAAACGCAATGGGGTTTTGTCCTACCACTTGGGATAGGGTTGGAAACGTGTGGCTCTGATTAACTTGTGCTCTTGTGGATAAATACCGTTTAGCTTTTTCATCATATACTCCCCCTTGGTGCTAGGTTTTTATTGATAAGGCGCGAATATATCAATGCAACCAACCCTTGACAGATTCAATCTGCGCCCCCCTCCCTATCTGTTGATTTTGCGCTTTGTCGTTTGTCACTTACGTGCAATTCATTTGGAACCGTTTTTACATCGACATGCATTGACCTTTCCTTTTCCTATAGTAATAATGTTTTCTGCAAGGGATTGGTTCTTCCAGAGACTTCTGTGGATGGAGCATCTTTGGGTCCCATAAGTAGACTAGCCATACCTCCCTCCTGGTGTCGTTTTGCCCCCGAACCTGACTTTATCCCCTCGCCATCGCTATCAAATGACCAGTCCCAAAGGTAACCCTCTTTTGTATTCATGTGTACATCTCACTGCTTGAATCATTTCAGTAGCATTGATGTCGTGTATACCTGACTTAAGCTCAGAGCCGCGTGTCATTCCTTACCCCCTACCTGGCGATGCTTTTGGCATCTTCGATGCCTCGCGCAGCACCTGGTGCCTTCCTGCCTCCATCCCAGATGCTGGTGGTGATGATAACGATTCTCCCGGATTTCAAAGCCTCTCCCGTCTACCCTGTCGGCGGGATATTCTGGCAGCAGCAGCCGATTGTACGACACCCCATCCCGCGTGGGTCTACCGACAATACGATCTGGTGCGCTGGTCTCTACTCCCTTTCGAGACTGGAAAATGGTGTTTTTGCAAATAACATTTATCTCTCCCTCTCCAAGCCCTTCCTTATCGCCGAGATTCGCGCCGAACTCTCACGGTGGACTAACACCTGGCAAATGGACAAGTGGAATCCCTCACTTGCGGTGCCATTTTCCTATTGGCTGCTGCAAAACCTTCCCCTTACCTGTGTTCAAAAGGGAGAACTCTTGAAAATTGATCATGTGGTTCAGCGCCTGCGGGCCTGTCTTCACTTCATTCGATCGGTAAAGCTCTAATGTTTCCATTCCCTTTTTCGTAAATAAGTTTTTGATTTTATTGACTGTTTTAAATTACTGAAAGGTACAATTAGTATTATTCAGTAGTGCATTTGTTTTTGTGCTCTATAATACTGTCGTATCCTATTTAAATGTGTTCCTTTCACACAGTGCTCCGAGCTTTCCTGCTCCCAGTGCAAAGCCGCCATATCCTCCCAGAAAAATGTGATTTGTCTGTCGCATGAGGGTTCAACGTTAGCCTATGTTAATCCGCATGGTTTTATCTTCGATATGCTCACTCTCAGTACGGTCCATCCGAACTCCGTCGATCTGTTCGGCTCCCCAACTGCTGAATACTCCTGGTTTCCTGGGTGAGACCGTACTTTTCATGTTTGTTTCGACTGATATGTTCTACCTTGGGACGGCTATTGTGTCGAATGCTAAGTTACTCCGAGCATGTCACGGCAATCACCAACACTGCTTCGATGTGAAGAATCGGAGTTTAATTGCTCATTTGAATTTAGTGAGTCTCATTAAATACTTCCATACAGTAGTGTCTCAGTTGTCTATGAAGGCGCCTTATTATCACCCTTGGAATTTACCTCACTATTAGACCTATAGAAGGGTTGGGACACCACCAGCATAGATGGCGTGAGCAGAACATCATACCACCATCGTGGAGACCGAATTGTATCATTCTCTCACAAGTATGACCGTCGTCGCTTCCTGAGGCAACAATTCGTTTGTTTTTCGTTCGAGATATGCATGGACAATTGCACAGTGCAGCGCCTGCAACAGCCACATGGGTTGGCGCTTCACCGCCACCTCAGACGACCTTCGACCGCGCCTCTTCTGGGGTATCAAGCGTCAGGCTCTCGTGCACACCGCTGAAGAAGACATGGAAGTTATGCTCTAACTCGAATTTCCTCTCCCTCTCAGCCTACATCCATTAATGATCCACCAAATTTTACAACACTTCAGCGTCTCTCTCATTGATGTTGGTGCGCATTAGTATGTGTACACGATCACGTACTTTATGCTTACTTTCACTTACCAATATACTTGCCCAGAGTCAGAGATCCATCAAAGGTGTCATCGTTCGTGGTTCATTTTTGACGCGCTCTGTTACCTCGTAACGCTTTCATCGCATCGTATCATCAACGAACCCTCCTGTAGTTATTCTCCCCGTAAAGGAGATAATCGCAGTTTCCTTAACAATATTATGCCTGATGCTTTAAGGAAATATTTGATGTGAAATCTTTTCATACGATCAGAACATGAGCGTTGTTGATGAATTTTATACCACCCTGAATAAGGGGATGTGATGGCGCCTTCTCACAAATAACAACGCACTCAGTATGAGTGACTAATCTATCACAAAGTGATGTCTGGCACACAATCTCTTCGTATGAATGTTTGACGCTGAGCTCAACTTTGCTGGTCAAGACGTTTCAATTTTTGCGTTGAAAATGCACCTGAGAGCTGCCTTCATTAAATGCTTTAGACTCATTCAACCCCTGATAGAACTAGCCGATAAGTAGCCATGGCAAACCACTCAAGAATATTTCATATGACAGATTTAGACAACCTCGATTAAGTGAAGAGGCAAATGGGAAATGGGCGTTCACGCCTGCTGATTCCACTTTTTCTATTTAATTCGAGAACCATGATTGCGTTGCTAGTTTACTTACCGGGATCATGCAGGCGTCAGTGAAATTAATTATCTGTTCATAACTAATTTCCTACGAAACACAAAAGCCGTTCAGAATTTTGTGGAGGGCGCCTTCTCTACCCGCCAAGACACTGAAGCTAATGCAACCCTTTTGACACTCAAGGAAGGCGTCGATAACGTTTGCGACGCCCTCTTCGGGGTGATAACGGGAGAAATGAACTTTATGAGCTGCTGGTTAAGCACCGACTATATTTCCATAACAGCGTGATTAAGCTGGGCCGAACAATTATCCTGAAGCATATGCTAGATGCCAGCGAAGCTTGGCCCATCTGGCAACCACCCAGACGCTTACTACCTCCTCTGTTAGAGGTAAATCGTTGGTCGAAGGGATGATCAGAGATGTGGTCATAAAGGCATAAGTCGCCATTGGTCTGTCCTAAAGATCGACGGATGTCTATGGCTCGGTGTCGAGCGTAGGAGGCTGAATACAGTGATGAAGAAAGATGCCTTCCTTTTATCCCACATCAACGATTTGCTGGATCCCCTTACCGGGCAAAGTGGTTCTCCATGCTAGACGTAAAATCATGATGCAAGTGGAAGTGGCAGAGGGAAGACAGCTTTCATATTGCCAAACGGGCTTTGTGAATTTCAGGCAATGCCTTTTGGGCTCTGTAATGCAGTCGCTACCTTTTAACACCTGATGCAAATCGCATTAATTGGCCTATTCCCCAAACGTTACATGCTTCATCCAGATGATAGAGATATTCGAGATCATAACATCAATCTGAAACCAATGTTGGACCGTCTGTAGGATGCAGAGTTGCTCCTGAACCCGAAGAAATGCCGATTTTCGCGGCGCTTGGTCAACTTCTTAGGACACGCTGCCTCGTTAGACGAGACGGCATTTACCGAAGACCGTACAAAACAAGTAATGACCTGGCCAACGCCAGCCAATCAGGCGAAATTCCGTAGTCTTCCAGGTTTAGCAGGTCACCACAGGCGTTTTGTTGAGGATTTTGCTAAAAATGCAAGTCAGCTGCATAAATTGGCGTAAAAAAAGCTGACGAAAAAGGGACTGTAAGTGGGTGAAAGGGCACGATGAAGCATTTGAAGAACTGAAGTGAATGCTTTGCTCCACACCGATTCTTGTATTTTCCAACTTTGAATCGAGTACTTCATCCACTGTAAAGTTGATTACCTCACGAGTCGTGGATTTTGGGTTTTTCTAGACAGAACAAACACGTTTTTTGTTATCTGATGGCAGCGCGATTGCACAGGACATAGTTTTGAGGTGTCGTGTCCGGCCGGCCCACATGAAGACCGGGTCGAGCAGGTCAACCGTAACTGACGCACCCACGCAGCCACTGGAGCAGCGGTCACGTGATGTTGGTGTAACAAGCGCGACTTCTGAACTTGTGGTCTTAATGCCTAATTAGTGAAACAATATTTCTTATTGTACCTACCACATGAATGTAGCAGTATGTAAGGACTGACCGGTAAATAAAAGTCGAACTAAGTTATACATGTTGAACTATTCATCGTCAACCGTCATGACTAATTCTCCTGGCGACAGCTCTTTTGATTTATTTTGCAAGATGGGACTACGCCAATTGGGTTTAGTGGGCTGCAAGTTGGAGTTGACGTTGGCGTTTGGAGGCTGCACTGGGAAAGCACCTTTATCCACCCACTGTCGTAATGCAGAATATATCTAGAATTAAGGAGGCCGGTGAATTATCTCCTACCATAGCAGCCATAAAGAAGGCGGGTGGAGACAAAGCGAGGGCCGCCCTCAATCAATCGATCCCTCTGCTGTCCTGTCAAGGCACTGTAGTGAACATAACATGTCATGTCAGCAGAAACCTGAGCGACGCATTGCTATGCAAACCCATCTGTCTGTCTATCGCACACCGCCAGCTGTGCATTTTTGGGACACACTGCAGTCCCTCCGGCTACGCTCATTTCCACTTTCCACGCTTGCACACACGCACGCATTTGTCCACTGCGTGTCCGGAACTCCCTGTAAATCTTAGGAGCCCACAAGCCCCATCACCCACAATAAACTTTTCAGCAAAACCGATAATATTGGGATAGTGGTATCAAAAGCATCCTCTTTGAAGAAAAATTACGCTCGTTGATCAAATATACATGATTAACGTAATTGGACAAACGCACATGGCAACCGCGGATTCGCTAACCAAAAGCTCAAATGTTGGATTTCCCACGCCATAAGTCGGTGGCCATATATCGCTCCTCAAGCGCAGTCGGGAAGTGTAAACGCGCTGGATTCAAATGTCCGCCCAACGACAACCTGAAATTAAGTCTACAACAAACTAGCACCGGCGAATGAATGGATGTGATTTCACAATTGCTAGCATCTTAAACAACACAAACACTTAGAGGTTACACTGCCTCCTGGTAACAATCACATCACTGCATAAAGAATGTTAACATCAAGCCCCCCCCCTCCCCCCTATTCCTCGTAGCCTTCAAGAACCACTTCACAAGTGAAAATAAACGCTGCAACCGTTGGCAGATCTGGTAGCACAACCACAGTGAGCATAGGGAGTCGTACAAATCTCCAAATGAGCATAGGTAGTATTCACAGAAGTGATATGCAGATGGATTGGTAAAGGCATTCCAAAAAGGGCACTTTAATGGACAAGGTTAAATCACGATTCTTGGGCTAAAAGAAGTGTGGTGGTCGAAGGAAGGAAGGTAAAGAATGTACACACACGCACTTGAAGACAGAGACAGGAGAGAATAGAATGTGGAGGGAAGGGAGGGGAAAGGACCTGTAGTACACAGCCATCTAGTGCTCCAGGTGGAGCTCCTTTTCGTGTTTCTTGGCGCGTTTCCACTGGACCGTCTCCCAGACCCAGTGTTGCGCGGATACAGTGTCGTTGCAGGGCGCGAGGTAGACACGCATCTTCGCGACCTCCGCCTCTACACAGTTGTTCGAGGGCACGTGTCTCAGCATCACCGGGTTGGTGTCTATACCACTTACCCACTGCAGTCTAAAATGCTGATTGCCCTTATGTCCATGGCAGGCGAACCGCTTTATCGGCGCACCCCGCACCGTGTTCGGCACATCCCAGCAGTCGTCCCTTCAAATGCATTCATAAGAAGAGTCGTATCAGTAAAGCTGCTGCGTCACCTAAAGGCGTCTAGCTCAATTAGACTGCCGAACATGCTGCAACTCTGCTCTCACCTATGTGCAGCACTTCACCGTGATCGCGGTTTCAGAGATGACAACTAATACGGTGAAATGAACGCCAACTGCGATGAATTGATGCTTGCCTTAATTGCAAATTCAATTATCTCAGCTCCATCCAATCTCTCATGGTTCGGCCTTCACGCTAGCGGTAATGGTGTCCTGTTCATACTATCTAGGCTACTAGACGCCTAGACTGTCCTTGTGCCTGCCGCAACACATAGGTGATGCCCGGATATCCTTGCCTGGGTGTAGACGTTACGCACACGGGAAATGTTTGATTTAGATTGAAGGGGGAAAAATAAATTAAAAACAGCTGACATCAAGGTAAGTCATGGGCTGTGATGGTAGGTTCGGCTCTGAGACAGTGGCGGAACTTCTAGACTCAGAGCCCGTAAAACGGCTTCAAGAACGCTGCCTAGTCTAAACGACAGCAATAGAGAATGTCATCCATCACAGCTTGACGCTACCACAATCCTCCTTTCCATCGTACCATTAGATTCGACAGTCGATATCTCTTATCAGAGAGAACCAAAAACAGAGACGTGGATGAAGTCAGGAGCTGGATATGGCTGTAAAAAAGACTAGTGATAATAACGCTCCGGTTTTCATGCAAAATAAAAGCTCCTTGCTATAAATTTAAAATAATTTTGGTAAACGACAGTATATTAACCTTTCAATGGACTTGATGTCATCGGACCAGACCCTTGCATGGAATAATCTATTCAAGGAGTAACAGCAAGCCTTAAATGGTCAAGCCCCGTCAAGAAACATTCAAATAGCTGCCCGGTTCACAATCAGTGTCAAATTGCCATCGCACTAGTTGAGGAGCCGGGAATGGTGATCTAATGTTAGTGCGTAAAACTTTGCCTTTTAATGACAATGGTAAAATGCCGTCGATTTTTCACCACATCGCCAGAACGAAGAACAGAGTGGAGGATTCATATGATTGCATTCTCCCGCTTTTCAAATGACAATTGAGTTGGCCAAATCCCACAACACGTGACACCACCTTCAAACACACGTGAACGCCCTTTCACATTTATGTTTTACTCACGGTGAGGTCTCCATTCCAAGTGTTTTATAGGAGAGGAGACAGTATATTCTCCACATCACCGCCTTAGTTAGTGAGATGAATAGTAGGGATGGGCAAATCGAATTACTACAGCTTGCGAACCCGAGAAAAGTGATGGCGAGAAAGAATCTCCTAATAAATTCCGTTGGATGAAATTTATGTAGAGAAATGTTGCTTTACTATGGCACACAGCAGTTTCGCTTCAGGTGAAATGAAAGACTATTTTCTCTACTGCTATCCAACAAACAAGACGATATCTTGGGTCTGGGCTCCGCGGAGGGATGCAAGACACATACGCATAACTTTACAAATGCAAAACACGGCAGCTCATGTTAATTTATTATGCATTCATTATAACCTGCGTCATTCTGCCTATTACGAGGAGGACGCTTTTGCTCCAAGTCAGACGATGGTTTACTAGTTGACCAATGGGAGATATGGCGTACACCTCCAGCCCACCACAACCACGTGCGTGCTGCTTTCATGCAGGAGGGAGGGGAAGCTAGCATCTGACCTACCAGTCTCGCCTTCATATCAGCTACTAAACGGATCAAGCTAACCAAGACTAAGGGTCTAAGGTAGGGTGCACACGCTAAGCGCGAATGAACGAATTCGACGTCCAACGATTTTGAAGCACTTAATGGGTAAGGAAAGGTACACAAGTTGTTCAGACAACCACGAGCATAAATAATGAAGATTTGTGGGGAGCGATTTCCTTGGCCTAAATAAATAATGATGGACACTCAATAGTAAGCAAATTGTTTTTTTCCAGATTTAGACATATTTACCGTATTTCTCAAAACTTGATAGAGCGCCAATTCATCACCTCGTGGCGGGAGAACGAAATGGGTGCTTCTACTACTGCACATAGATGGGGTATATAGAGGATAGAAGTGGTTTCAATTTCCTTCTACTACAACTGCTATTAAAGTGGCATTTAAGCCTTCTGGAGGTAAAGTAAAATAGTGAAGTTAGCAGAAGTTCTTCGTCAAAGTTTACCTACAGCATCTCCATGAAAGAAAAGCAAGGAATGAGGAACGGCAAATTAGCTCGTATCACCCCCAGCATCTGTCTAAAAGAAGTAACGCGAAATTGCTAATAGTGCCTGTGGTTGCTTTTAAGAGCACTGCACCGCAGCCATGGTTTCAACAAAAAGTTGATTAAAGGGGTAAAGCGGAGAGTGCGCACATTTCTACCAAAATCCACCGGGTGAAAGGTGGCAGACTGAAACCGAAGTGTCCAAAACAAACTAGTCTACTGACTTGCTTTTGGACTAGAAGCATGTACAGTGTGATCCAGAAACTACAAGAGGCATAACAAGATGTATAACTCCTGCTAAGATTTGGAGTTTGGGACTCAATGCAGTTGGGAACACTGAAGTTGCACAATTTGATGAAATGAATTTTAATGCTACGGATGAGTCAAAGAAAGACTGAGTGCGTAAAATTCGATCTCAATCGCGCTTGAAGTGATTTGATGCGATTGCTAGACAGAAGGGGCCCCCTATCCCTTTGCACACAACTATTTCCTCAGGGTCATTTCAATATAAAGGAAACAAATTAAGGCGGTTTTAATGATCTACACCGAATACATAATTGATGACGCTGAAGACGTGGTCATCATTTGCATGATTTGCATTTTGAATTGCCTCATCGAAAGAATCCAAGTAGACAAGTACCAATTCTTTCACAAAATTCATTGTACGCAAATCCCCGAAGTCTTCACCTCTTTTTAATAAGTTCCAATTTTGCGTGACGGGACTAATAAATAGGCAAAGTAGAGGTGCTTATTCCTCGGGTGACGGAATCGCGGCACCATAGAGTATTTCTACTGTTCTTCCCATAACTCCTTTGAGTAAAAACAGGCAGTCAACTACACATACAGATAAATATTCCAGTACTATGACACAAAGGCACGGGTGAATGCTAAACAGCGCTTTAGATGGAAAACTTTGTGTGCTTCCTTCCACGCATTACGCCGTGCATTCGCAAGTATTCAAACTTCGCCATTGTCGAAGCAGTGCGTTCCTGTGCTGGGATGAACGTGCACATGTCAAAAAGTGAAGAAGGTGGCACCTACTTCCACGTAAGGAAAAGGTTTGCCCCAATCCTACCCACTAACTATTTAAAGTACTAACTTTCTCTTAATTATGCTTATGTGATATTTTACGTCATAACTTATTCATCAATCGACGGTTGAGCTGCAAACAATTATGCGCCTAAAGAACAAATAATGCGGACTCTCTCTGAACTGCTGACAAAGGCAGATCGAAGGTCGCAAATAAAGTACCTAGACAACTGACGAATTGAGCAATTTTCTTGTCCTGGGCAAAGAGTTGACCATGTGATGAATACAAATAGTTATTGTGAAAGCTGAGGCCAACATGGGAATTGTAGTTTGCGCTCAACGTTTGTTTTCATTGTGTATGATGTCGCATGGATCATCTCAGTCTCTCACTTTTCAGCTACCCGACCAGAAGCGCTGACTCGGCTCATGCCATATGCTATGCTACTGGTCCCCAGACCTTTTGCACATTTGTAGTAGAGCTACTTCACTTTACACTTTGTAGTGGATGCTACACAATCAAAAACCATGATGGCAAGATAGGATGTTCCATATAGAATAACATGTAACCTCAAAATACACCCGTAAAAATCGTCAAAATCCTCTGCCCAGTAGGCTCAGATGAAAGCGAGAAAATTTAGCAGATTTGTGTACAAAAGAGAACGTGATTAGGGCCTCTTCAAAAATACTTATCCTCCCACATCGTAGCATAAAATTTCGTTGGATATAAGAATTTTCGGACCCAAATCTATACGTATGCCAGAAAATAGAAGTCTCGAATGTGGTCCATACATTGGATACAAAAAAGACACGTAAGCTACCTCAGAATTGAAAGAAATCTGTCAGAAAAAAAAACGATTTGTTGGAGTGATCTGTGAGGTTAACCTGCATATCGACTAAGAAGTTCTGTCTATTAGGCTAATAATAGTCAGATGTAAGTGCCGATGTGGCATTTAAAAATTCAGTGAGGTCAGCTTTTTATGGCGAAGTGCAACTACATTCGCAACTAAAAAATTTGTTTCGTGGTAGAAATTACAAAAGAGAGCTATTTGAATCTTAACAGCTCGATGGTGGGTCAATTGAAAGAGGAAGAGAAAAGCAGGACAAAATGCTAAACAAAAATCCCACTACTACCACAGGGAAACCCCCAGAGAGAACAGGTTTATTAATTGTGTTGATGGTGAAATATCCTCTGCGATTCATTTCTAGTTCGAATGCCGAATAAGAAGTAAAATGGAGCCCATTTACTAATATTAGCCTTAAATCATGCACTAATAAATACTTTGGATCAGTCAAGGATTGAAAGTTGTGTTACGGGATTCTATTAAGAAGTTTTGTTATTTAGAAGTCGTGTACCATTTGGGAAAGTGTGTACCATCGCAGTGAATGCAACCCATTGGCGGTAAATAAGAAATACGAGAATTCCACGTGACACTCGCAATCCATTTACCCTAAAAGCTACGCAGAAATTCAACTACCAGATCCGATAGAGACCAGATGTAAACAAAATCAAGTAACCGAAAATATCCAACGTTGTGGTATTAGATGAAATTGGCAGAATTCAACAGCTCGTCCGAAGAAAAATCGGTTTGAAAAAGCACCCCATTTTCAGTTGTAGGCGAAAATATGAAGGCCATTCACCACCACTTAAATACACTCCAATCACAGTGTACTAAGCTTGTCCGATTTATGACAACCCTAGCAACAAAATGATACTGATAGCCTAAAACTAGTGAGAAAACCAGTAAATGGCATAGTTTCGAAGAAAATCGACAATTCTCTAAGTCAGATGCGATTTCATGAAGACAAAGTTCAAGTCGTGAGAATATCGTGAAAACTACAGGAAAGGCCTTTAGTACTAGGACCGTAACCTTAACAAGTAGGACCAAAACTTCTAGTTAAGGGGGATAAGCTAGCATCGTATTCAAATAAAGGAGCAAGAGAAAATAAACTTACGTTCCCTTAATCATCACATCTTCATGCCAGGTATGCTCAAAAGCGGCAAAAGTTCCAGTGCATTTAACCAGCGTCATTACATCAGGTGACGAGGGAGCGATGCAGTAGCTCTTGTCCGTAGCCATGTAGATCTTCCCCGTGGCACCGGGTATTGGAATCACTGGTGGGTAGTACTTGGTCAAATCAAAGGCAACGTTCTTCATGAACCAGTCGAACGATTTGCAGTGCAGCTTCTTCTTCAGCCTAAGCTGCTCGGAGAGATTACCAGGATCGACGTTTCTCAGATGGGGCCGTCGCTGGTAGACGTACTCACTGTACTGATCCATCCACACGTCCATGAGGCGTCTAAATGACGTAAAAGAACAAACTTGGTTTCGTTGCATCTTTTCAACTATGTGAGGATCCTCTCAGCCTCTCGCGATTCGGCCTCCACGCCTCCAGCATGGAACCACTCTATTTGTCGTCCAACTCTTTCGTACGCCTATAATGAAACTGCTATGCCCTTTAACTTCTTCAGACGACTCTGGGTGTTAGAGTAACAGTAATGGTAAGAACAAAGATTTCAGTTTCGGTGACTGGACAAAACGCCTTAACATCACCGGAAGAAGCGGTCTGCTTCGAGTGACTGGGTTTGCAAATATTTGCAACGGATAAGCTGCTGAAACAAACATTCCAATACTGAATCGCATATTAGGCCCACTAATTAAACACGAATAGATTCTAAACGATTTATTAAACATCTTTAGAAGTACTTACGATATTTGCAGTAAGAACTGAATTACGAATGTTTCCCAGAGATGAGATGGGCAAGGGGTTAAAATTGTCTTACCTGTAATTCCTACTCAAAAAGTCGCCAGCATTAGCACTGGGGAAGTTTGCTTTGCCTCGATAAATATGTCCGATTCGAGAACATGGTGCATCCACCATTCTTCCACCACACATCCAAATCTTGAAGGATATCTCGTACTGTTCGCAGCCCCAAATTGCCAGTCCCGGATCATAGCCACCCAGCTCCCAAAACCACTTCGCGCTGATGGCAAAAAGACCACCCGCCATTATGGGACTGTCGAAGGGTTCTGCGGGATTATTTTTGTCCTCCGGCAGTCGGGGAACTCGCTTGTAATTTAGGTTCCAATCAAACGCTCCACGGCAACCCTCGTCTTGAGCGCGGTACTCAAAGGTGTCGTGATCGATGACATCAATAAATGGGCATACGACCGTTCGATAGTCATTGACGATAGGGTCAAGCAGAGGTGGGAGCCAGTTGGTCCCAGCTTCTACGTGCGAATCGAGGAAGAGTAGAACATCGCCAGTGGCTGCTCTGGCACCTGTGAGACGGGCAGCAATGAGGCCAACTCTCTTTTCGTGGTGGATCACTTTCAGATAGCCCGGAGGCCACTCTGTTTTGGCGTACGTGTCAAGGCGATCCTTGAGAAAGTCCTTAACACTGCCATCGTCAACAAGGATGATCTCTTTTATAACACCAGGGGGAGAGCGTTTAGTCACGGTAACAACAGTTCGCAACAGTGTGGTCCAGTGCTCCTGAAAAACCGGTATAACAACGGATACAGATGGAAGGTATCTGCTATAGCGTTTGGAACTGCATTGTTCATGGCGGAGATCGGGTATGGCCCGGTCAAGGGCGATCTTATCACTAACAACACGACAAAAGCCATTTTCTGTAAATACACGTTGTGATAATTCCTTTTCTTCTCCAGAGAGGTAAACAGGTGCACCCTGTTCGCCAGGACCAGAGCGATGCCTTTCCTCACCCATGAGATTGTAATTGTGATAGTCTACCAAGGGCTCATCACCATGTTCGACTGGGAGGTCGTCAGAATGTTTAAGATATAAATACAGAAAGCTTATAATAGCTAATACTAGCAAGACCCGGAATAGAAACCACAACCTCAGTCGCATAGCCGGCGCACAGCAAGACAGAAATCGGATGGCCTGTTTGGAAAGCCCGCGTGGTCACAAATAATGTAATTTTAGTCCACTAGTATATAAGCTCGAATAAAGAGACACTAAAAAGAGCCCTTAGCTAAATTATTCGTTGTTTGCAGTTAAGTAAATTACTGTTTTGTAAAATATTAAAACAGGCGCGTTATTCTTTTCAAAAAATATTTTTATAATTCCTACCTACGCGGCTGAAGTGCCTTTTGCTCCAAAGTGAATTTATGTAAAATTTCTTAAAACTCTGCTTAGTTTTTAACTTTCACTGCCCGATGCATTTTTGTTCCATATCTCCACTGATGAAGGTTTTCATCCGAGTTTGTTGAAATATAAACATTTGAAAAAACATAGCACCTTAGGAAAACTAGCTGTGATGAACAGTAGGTATTTTAGAAACTGATTTCGTTGACACTGGTTGGCAATCCGACTGATGAAACCCATTTCTTCCCTCCATTCCATGAGGCAACGCAAGAGTAATGTAAATCTAAACCACCCCGACTTTTAAAGCAAGTCAAATTAACCATTACTGCCTGTAGTAAGAAATGGTTTTATTTTAACAAGGCGTCCATGTAACATAACCTGTCTCTCTCCTCCACCTCAGGCTTCATCCCCTTAAAGCAGGAAAGATTGTGTAGAAGAGGACATCTGAAAATATGGTGGAGGTCTCCACGCCATCAATGTTTGAAAGAAACATGAGTTCGCTTCCCCTTCGGGGGTCAATGATATCCACTCTTCCGTGTTTTTGACGCAAACAGACTGTCGCCTCAAATGTTTATTTAAACAAACACATATTACAGCCGTACCTACTCTTCTTGCCTCCATATTTAGGCAGTAGTGTGGTTTTGCTTATGACTGCGATAATTCTCCCCTTTTACCTGTTTTCAAATCATTTAAGCATGGACTTTCAGCTGTTATATGATGATACTTGCCTGTAAATGACATAGCATTGTTGCTTTAGGTAAGAAGCAAATATTTTTTGGCATATTTGGAGGGCAGTAGAAGGCTTTATGTACCTTTTTGTGGTTTTATCACTAAAAATACATCATGGCACCCAAATATTCTCTGAAGAAGTAACAGGGCAATGGGGGCTAAAAAATTGTGTAACATCCTGAGTCTTCGGTGAAGTTGAACTAGGCCAAAGTAGGAAAGAACACATGTTAGCCCTGAGAGACTAACAGGATGTCTTAAAGTCTTTGTTGCAATGAGGGAGTGCAGTGTACAGTCACCAATTCATCAGAGTCAAGCACGGTAAAAAAAATACCCAGTCGCTACTTAACCGTCTTTATATCGCCTCGTTTGCATCACTTTAACATTCTGGGATGTCATTTGGCCTTGCTGTATAGTCTTATTTGCTTTTAGCGCTTTCCTTTCTCTTCATGCTAAATACCAAATTCTACTTAGTATTTATTTAAAATCCAATGTTTCAAGAACAGCTGAATACCTTTTGACTTTATTGGGTGCGCAAAAACCTGCTTATTTTTTAGGTTAATGCCTTAACATCAAATCAACTCGTCCGTGATCACCTTGTCAATCACTTCCAAAAGTGTCTTTAACACCCTTCCAATTGCACCTTTAAGTGAAAAAGGGTAAAGCCGATTTGCGCTTGAATCTTAGGCCTCAAGTTTTCAAGTATTTCTTTTTCGGGGGAAAGGACGTTTGTGTGTTTACCAACAAAATGATTTACATAAATTATGTTATGACTGCATTGGTCATGTGCAAGTCCTCCCGATGCATTGCATCGTTCCTCACAGCCTACCAAATATACGTGTGCTAGGTAAGTAAAGGCATAATGTTCATATTTTCGCTTTTACAGTCCCACCGCTAACGCCTTTGCAGTTTGAATGGATTAAAAGCGGTGCATGACTTATGAAATAGGGAGTGAGGGAGAGGTAGCAGTGGACAGACATTGACATCACTTTTCTATTCGTCGAATCTTTGTGGGGACAGTTGACATCGACGTGGGTGTGAAGAAGGGGAATCCACTTTCCAACGGGGGAGACATCTTCAATGAATGCTGGTTACTTGGACTGGGGTCCTCACGCAGTTTATTAAAGGAAAAGTTCACTAAAATATGAAAGCAGTAATTAAATACTAACCAAGTGGAAGTGCTTCTTAGCTACATTTTTATAATAAGTGATTAGTTGGATTAAACGAGATGGTCATCGACAAAACCAAGAGCAGATTTATGGACCCAATTTTTACAATGATTGTTTTAGGTAAATATGCTTTCCTATGAGATTGGAATTTTCATGCAAAATATTCATGCACCCCGTCAGATCTTCGAAGCGATAGGCGTCAGACATCTCGTGTACACACTGAATTGTTGGAACAAGTGGCGTAGACTTTGTTTACTGCAGAATCTCATCAATGTAGCTCTCTCAATTTAATCCTCAGAACTCCTCTTTAAATCCGTGATCGGGTGCGCTTTAATGAACACGGTACTCACTTCGCCTTGCCAATCGCCGCTGTTTGATTAGTTGGAATTTGTAGTACCTTTGGTTGCTGGAAATGAGATCGAAGAGACCGCTGTTGGTTAAGATCATCTAAATTGCAAAAAAGGCTATCATTTAGATAGCTCGAATAGGAAACCATGCGATTTCTTTGCTTAGAGGCCCACTTACACAACGCTCGTAAATGCTCTGCTCGGATCGACAGTTATGCCACCTACAAAGTGTAGAAATTACATTGCTACTAGAAGGGTTAAGGCCGAGCTAAGTGCTTGTTAGCGGTGCAGGCATACTGACCGGTACTGTGAAAGTTTTCAACGAAAGGGGGCTCACCTCCGAGTGTCCTCATCAAGAGCCTCCAACTCGAGCGAAATGTGTGCTGCGAGGTCATTAGAGCGGAGGTCTTTATGGCAAATCGGGCAGCAGACTGAAGAACAAGGTATAAGTTTACGTCTAAAATTACTTTTACAGTTCATGCTCTAGAATGCAATGTGTATATTCATTCAATGGAAGTAGTAGAAATATAGGGATTATAATTTTTTGTGTACTTGACACGCTGCATCAGATTGGTGGGTATAATTGGTCTTTTCTGGGAGCTCGCTTGTATATGTACACAGGCGAGCCAGATGATCGGCAATGTAAAAACATTTCAGCTGTTATCCGTAATCCCTGATAGGACTTAAGAAGGCCCATATCAACGCACAATAGGCTACGCTTTCTTTAATTGAACAAAGCAGAAAGCCGCCATCTCCCCTCAATCCATGGGTTCTCATCTGCCCTCTGAAAAAGGGTATTGCATATCATCTCGTCCGCTCATCAATGAAAACGTTAGATAATGCAATCCCATAGTGCTGGTGATCCATAAGTCAAAGAACATGATATCAAGGTCAAAGGTTATTAATGACATGGTTTTCCGTTGTTTCCTGCGTGACACGACTTCTCTCAGTTTTTTATGGGATTCACTTGTCACAATTCTGTCAGTAGATAAATTTTGCTTGACAGATGTTACAAAGTGTCCACTTTAACTTAATAAAGAAGTAAACTGGTGATCCGAGTGACTCCAAGTCTCAGTCCGAGGAATACTTCTCAAGCAAATCAAACCAAGGGAGAATTACCAGTTTTCTTAGTGGCCAACACATCTTGGGATGTAATTGTAACTTTAAACTTGAGGGCATTGTCAAACTTGCAACAAAATTGCCTAAATCCTACTAAGTAATTTTTCAAATAATTTAAAGCATGGTTTCCCCTTATTTCAAGCTGTTTCTGGGGCATGCTCCTTAAGGCCCAGCGCAAAGTGGAACTGCAACGGGTGAAACTACACTCATGACGGCAAAATAGCTGGATGCCGTCGTCAGTGACGTTTAAAAGCATGCTCAGCTGAAACGCAGTTAAGTTGAACTACAAACAAAAGATCCTATTTGGATATAATTAATTCTTTTTTGTTCGGTGATTCAGAAAAAGTGAGCAGCTAAATTGCAGTGATATGCAGCGCCTTCTAAACTGTGGACATAAATCTGAACGATTGGCCTTTCATGAGCTTTTTACACATCAAGCTTTTATTTTCAAGTCCACTTTAAAATAAGGTTAATCACTAACTACAATTCCCAAATGAGGCTTGAAAATATATTTCAATTAATGTCGAGGAAATAACCGACGGAATTGCCCGTACCCTACCAAAGATGGCACCTCATTTAACTATTTTAGGAGATTTTAATAAAAATAGGTTTTTATGAAGAAATAACCTCACGTTTGAATTACTACCTTACGATGTTTAGTCACCGAAATCGTTTTGCAGGTAAGTAATTACTCCACAACTTCACTAAACTGGAGGTGTTCCTTGAGCCATCCAGTGTGTCAAAAAACTGAAAAAGATCTCTTGAAAAGAGAGCAATATTGCCTTGACAACTTGTCTCAGCGATCAAGATTTGATATCGCTTCACGCAATGTTCTCCTCTTTAGCCTATGTGACTGTCGATCAAAAGAAGTAATGTAAAAATTATTTTAAAACTTTTTTAAAGCTATCTTCCAAGTCATTAAACATGGCTAAAAGTTGTTTTTATAGTGCTTAAAAGAGGCTGTTTTGCTCTGAAAATATTTCAGTCAATTTTTAATTTTCTGTGAAGGCTTAAGATGCATCACATTCTGCAACACAAGTGGAAGTGATTAATCCCAGACGTGGCTTAAGTAGCTGCGGACCTGTCATAACTGTTAATTAACTAACCACAAGCCCTTGTCATCTGAACTGCTCATCCTGATGCATTCCACCTTGGCGCTGGTAAAAGTGTCTGACGTTTTTTGTGCTCATGGCCGATAGACTGAAGGCATACTGCTTGGAATTTTCGAATATGACAAGCTTGTGCCGATGTCTTGGCGAGAACTTAGGTTTACTCGACTCTCTTTTGACATCCAATGAAAGGTTTGTCCATGCACTGTATTTTTAGACTACCTTGAGGCCTGAGAACTCTGGAGATAAACAGTTAACGGCACCAGGCATCGTTCATCAGGTTCACTCTCCGCGCGATGTGGTGTAGTGCGGTGTGGTGCGACAGATCAAAGCGGCAGCGTCTGCGGGCCATGGCATCGGCAACAACGGTGACGATTGTAACAGCCACTACTACTGCTAGTAAAAGCAAACTGCCCTTCAGTGGCGGTGCTTTGAAGTTTAGGCAGCGTCGTTCACACTACTCTGGTCACACGCATGCCTACGCACGCAGGCAGGCACACGCAGGTGCCACGAGCTCACTCACTCACTCACGCTCCGTCCACCGGTAGAGTTCATTAGACACGGCTTTTTGTGTACGCGTGTGATTGTGAATATGTGGATCGTCTTCTGATACGACATGTCTGTGGCACCGTGATCTGTGCTTCAGCTGGGAGAAGTCTCTACTGGAAATTGGAATCCCATCAATGAATTCCCAGACCCTAAGCTCATCATAAGGATCGCAAACTTTTAAATAAAAAATCAACAGTAATTTGAAAACCTGCCAATTTTTACAAGATAAATGGTGAGGAATTTTTTCCAGCCATGTGATCAAAATCAAAATAGCTGTTCAGTGGGACTTGCACCTGCCTTTTGGTGGTCGAGTCCAATCAACGAATTCAAGGAAAACCGATCGAGTGAAACGATTTGCGTCACTTCTACAAGTTGATTAAGTGGTGACGGTCTAGCACAAATCCATTTCCACTTTCCATAAGCGTATGAATGGAAACATCCATCCTACAAGTAATGGAAAGCCCCTAGTGGGCAATTTCTGCAGATATGAAACCTACCATAGTCGCTTATTAAGCACAGCTTGAAAATTTCTTTTTTGGTCGGGTCCAGCTTGTTCTCATTGTTTAATATTCCATCCATAAAAATGTGCTCATTTAAAAGCAAACCGTTCATCAAAAGTTAAGGCTAATATGGGAATTAAACTTGCTGTAAGATCAGGAACAAAGGAAGGAGGCATTAGCAAGAAGGATGAATTTTGAGGTGAAAGGAGAGCACCAACAACCGCCATCCACTTCAGAGCACTACAACGGCTGCAATTTCCACCACCACCACCACCAGTGGCAGAACTTAATAATCACAGTCACACCTTGAGGCTGTTAGTCCATTTACAGCCTCCACTTTTCACTCACAACTTCCATCACCGCCACTGCAACTGCTCAGATGCAGTTCTCAAGCCTGCTCACCCACTGGCGCACACACACATTTTCTCACTCTCATTGTGTCGTTTCGGTCGCAACTGCAAGAGTGTGAGAAAAAGCGCGTTCAAAGTAATTATCCGTAGACGCATCAACACGGGTTGTGTGTGTGTGTGTATGTATGTGTTTATCGCTCCTCTCTCACATCACCTCCTAAGGCACCGTTACGGGGAGCGGCAAAGCAAATGCAAAGCAGCCTGGGCTTGACAGACTAGGCGGTGAGGTCTAATTAAACCGCAGCCTCTTACATATGCCCCAAGGCATGGTCTAGTCGTCCTTAGATGTCAACGCGCCTAACAAAAGGTGATTTCTGAGAAGGAATTTTAACTGACATTCAAAACTGGCACTAGCTACTGCTAATCTACATGAATTAATACGCGCGGAGCAAAAATTATTTAGCCCCTTGATCAGTGTGCGCGCCAGCCAGTGTGTTCTTCTCTCGTCCGCCTTCAGGATGATTTATGGTCGTCCGATCCTAACCTAAGCAATTCAATTCTGACAAATTGAAACATCCAGGATACGAAATCAGTGTTTTAATTCTTTTGTCTATTATAAATTCTCAATTTGTTGAGTTAACGAACGAAGGTGGTTTCAATATGGAAATAACTCGTGAGAACATTGTGTGAAAAGACTTCTCATACACTTACATCAAACAGTGGCACTTCAGAGGTTCGTGCTTAAGGTTCAAAATTGTAAATGATGTGAACTTCTTATAAATAAGCCTCACTTCCACTTGGATTTCGTCTTCACCATCGGAGATACTGTGTTCTCAAAAAAGTCTTCCAAAGTGAGAATGCGGAAGCGCCTCTTAGCCAGGCCATCACGTACATTACGGAGTGGTGATTAAATGCAACTGCGTGATGTAGGCATGGGAAATGGTTTTTTGGAAGTTTCGTGGAAGAGTGATTTAATGCAAATCCGCTTTGATGATGGGCAATCAGGTAAAGTGAAACATCTGCACAATCTAGAAACTACTGGTGTCTGGTGGACCCAAGGTTCAGCTTTGAAGTGTGGATCGTTACAATTACATTTTAATTAACGAATTAGGCAAGTTTTGTGTAGGGAAAATGCCGTTTAAAATAATTAACCGCATTGTCCCCACTCGGTCTTTTGAAACTACAATTTAACGTAACAAGTGCACGCAATGATGGTATAAGGCCCATATTCTAGGGAAATTACTGGGTTCGGTTTCAAAGAACCACCGTGACTGGAATCTTGGGGGTAGGGAATAGAAAAAGTGAACCTCATCCACCTCATGGGTGGTTCTACCGTGTGCTCGCGTACGAGCATTAAAGGTGGGAGAAGCGACAGGGGAATGGAGAGACTCAGCTGTCAGAACTGTCACCATGGTCGTCGTGGTGTGCCGGGCCCTCAAATTTCCGCCATATGGCGCGATCACACGGTGTGTGTGGATCGGGTAATTAGTAAAACCACCACCATAATCAATAATGTCGGTAGATGTTTGCTCTCCTGTCCTGACGCCATACCCTCTCTCTACCGTTCGTTCACTGTGCAACTCTCAAATACCACCCAGGCAGAGCCGAATGTCTCAAGTGGGCGGGCCTTTCCTCAGGTCACCCACCATCACACCGCCAGGTGGTCCTTTGTCCGGGCTTAGGGCTGGATGGGGGAGAAAGTGAGGGAGGGAAGGAAAGAGGGAGATGGTGAGGACGGGAGGAGAGGATGAGATTATCGGCGGCGGACAATCTGTTCACTCCAGTGAAAGTGCTGGAGAATGCTTTTTGTTTGTGCCCACGACCATGTATGCGCTTGCGGTAGGTAAGATGGTAAGGTTTGAGTATGCACATATACGGAGGATGGTGGCAGGGTATTTAGGATTTCCCCTTATGTTTATCTCTCGCATACAATAACTGACTAGTTTATTGTTTGTTTCGCCTTTTTTCCCTATTTAAGTAGTGTGTTACCTCTGCATCATGGCTTTGAGGTGTTATTGACACTCCTTTCCTTAAACTACGTGGTTGTCGGCTGAAGTTGTGCTTTACTCATTCAAAATGTCCATACAAGTATTTAACTTAAAATCTGTTCATGCATCTTTATTAAGTCTGGTTTCTTTAGATGGAGTAGCTATCAATAAAATTGGGATATTTCAAATCACAGAAATTGTTTGCTTGAGCGCAATATCCCTTATGCCTAACAATTGTCGAAGTATTTGATATCCCGTTTCAAATGTTATGTTCACTATCTAGGTTCTAATGTTTCTCACCTGTGTAGTTAATCTTCGCTAGAAATACACCATTATCTGAAGTGGAAGCCTATCGCTCGCCCTAATGTCTGCCAACGCAAAGTCGCTTCCAAGCTTTAGGACTGTTTGAATGCTGCTGCAACACTTTGGTTTTCAATGTACTAAGGAAATACTTCCAACAAGATTTACACGGAATTGGTATCTTTTGAGTTGATAGTGCACTTGGAGCCAACATAATAACCTGAGTCGCGATTATCGGAGTGAGGAGGAGATTTCTTTCATGAATAATAAGTTAACTTTATTTGGTGACTAGTTAATGATTTTTGCCCCGGTACCAAATTCCTTAACATAGTCTTCATTCATCATGCATAAAAGGCCCACAATACTCTAGTAATACGTAAGACTTGAGCCCCTTCATGAGTAGTCATTCCTCTGCCTGTCTGGTAAAATTACTCGCATCACTGTCACACGTCTTATAGATGCTTCCATGGAAATCGTTTTCCTACTGTAGGCATTCGACTTGGAACGGTAGGTGTCAGTCAAATTGTTTGGTTAAGGGATCATGAAATAATATCGGGTTAAGGGAGGGTCTGTGGAACCGAACATTGAATGCCTAAAGATATAATAGTTGGGTAGCCTAGTCAATGTGCGAGAAATTTTAGGTCCTCGCATCATAACAACGGAATCGTGATGGTACTTAATGCTTTGTTTGCATACAGAGCAGGTGGTCAAGTCAATAAATGTATACAATGCAAAAAGGATCCGCCACAGATGCTTAACGATTTTTTAAATAATTTGGGAAAGGTGATTGTAAAGAGATTTAACAGGTTTTCTGATTTTATCTTTAATTTCGGCACTCAAAGAAGATGTATATTGAGTACTGAAAAATCGTGATGGAAACTGCCCTTAACCAGTTCACCACCGTGACTCGTCTCAGGGGCAAATCAGCCATTACTAACTACTAAAAACTGCGTTCTACTTGAAGTTAGGTTGCTCAGAGGTCAAAAAATGTATTAATCCTTACACGAATAAACGACCCACCCCTACTGGTTTACTTATTAAATTCAACCAGTCTGCTTGGGTTACATGATTAGGTTCAAACTACAATCACCAGAAGCTCTCAGTGGACATATGATGGGTAGGTTATTCTGGTGCCGAACTCGTTAAAGAAAGTTCAAAGATAGGAAAATTCATAAATAGAACTACTTTACAATTGGAGGTTAAAAATAAGTTAAAGTGATTGAGAGAAATAGCGTTGACCTCTTTTGAAGTTAGATTTTCATTGAAACCTTTCCAAAACAATAGCTTTTTCAAAATGCTTTTTCAGCCACAATCTGATGCAATATTTACTTTACCACTTTTATCGGGTTTTTTGAAAATAAACAGCAGAATAAAAGAAAAAAACAACAATCAACTCATTTCTTTCCTTTTTGTCACTTTTATGGCATTTTTGGACAGCAGTTCACCACCACAACTTCCATTTTAGATTTCATAGGGAATGAGAAGTTTAATTCAACTCCAGAGTCTTTGGTTTCAGGAGGCCAAGTATTTAACTAAACAAGACACACATCAAAGACGTACATTCGGCAATGCAGTCAAGAGACTCCAAGATCTCACCTCTATCCTTTCAAAATGTCACTCATCGGAGTATTGTGTGAAACCTAAAATCAGGCCACTGCGATTTTACACCTGGTTGAGGCATAACTCGCATTCTTAAACCACGTTAATGGCAACGAAAAGCCTGTCACTTATTAGTTTGAGGTGACTCGTACAAAGGCTTCTCATGGGATTGTATAGAAAACAGCACCCGCACTCAACTGCTGTCTCACACGCACAACCACTCTTACAGCCTGCCGTCTCACAGGCCCTATTCTGACAGCAGTTTTGCAAAGGTCTCATTACTGCAAAATTTCTCTTTCATGTATTCGATAACAGTTTGCAAAAACGGAAATCTTAAAACAATTATGTTTTTGACTATCACCCAAATCGTCCCACAAAATTAGCAATTTAAACAAGTACTACTGCGTGGATGCAGAAATTGGTATTGAATTTGCATCAAAACATTTGGCAAGAGGGTCTGCCTCAGAAAAAAAATGATCATTACAGCTACTCAGAATTTTTTGTCTTCTGACAGTTGTGCTGATTGATAACCAAGCAAAATGTAATTATCCATGGAAAAAAAGTTGTGGGCTTATTTGATTGTAAGACGCAAATATCTTGTACACAACATGGTTGATTTCACGTAACCAGTTATCATGAAACGACAAAACATTCGTCAAATATTTGTGACACGTACCTAGTTAAGCAAATCAGAGCATCATGTGAAATTGTATAAAACAATTATTTTTATTCAAATAATTGAGGATTTTAGAATATGCAATGCGTTTTATTAATATTGGATACTTATAAAGAAGGGAAAAATCACCCTTTGGAGTCTTGATAAGCAAAAAATAGCATATCTTATTTTTAGAAGTCATTGGCGAGACTTATTTAAAGTACGTTGAATAGTCCTAGAACAGCACCATTTTGTTTAATCTCTGGGTCAAGATATCTGTTTTAATAGGATACTCACGGGATGCACTGTTGTTTCCGTTGTGGGCATTGCCCTCGCCTTCTCTCTCTTTCACATCACCGATGTGGTTAGCAATGCTGAATAGATTTCTATCACAGCGTTGCTCAATGGCAGGAGCAGTGGTAGCGGTGAAGGTGGTAGCAGTGTCGACGAATGTGGCGGTGGTCGGACCAAATGAGGACAGCGCGGCCGCTCCCACCTGTGCCAGTAGAAATCGCGCCACAGCATTTGTCGTGGACATCATTCCTAAGTTGTAGGGATCGGCTAGGTGAAAAGGGAAACGAGTGAGCTCCTGGGGCTTCGAGGCAAGACCGTCGGAGGAGAGACCCAAATCGGGGGGCGCACTACTCCATGTCGGAAGGGGCTTAGCAAAACCCAGAGGCGAGGTAGAGGACTGACCCTTGGACAGAGGCGAACTGTCGATCGTGGTGGGGACTCGCCATATATTCGGTTTGCTGCCACTTGTGTTCATTTCGAACTAATAAATGACATCGCGGCGTTGAATGTGTAGCTATTAGGTGAATGGCCAATCATCACAAGGTGTGAAGACGCAGACACTGATGATTGGTGCGCCTGCCTGGCTGGAGTCTTAAATGCTATTGGGCACCGAGGAATGCGTGCGCACAGTAAGATGCCGAACATGTATGGTATATGCGAATAGGCGAATGTTTAATTTGTTTTATAATTAGTTAATAATTAAGTGAAAGTTTGAAATGTAGCGTTAAGTCATTGCTTATATAGCTCGAATGGTCCTTCTCTAATTCACACTTTTTCCCAATAGTGAGTAATTATGAATAATTTTGGATCTTCGTATTCCCTAAATAAGTTCTTCGGTTTTATCCACAGTAATGAATGAAACCTTGCTAGATATAAGTACTATTACAGCTAGTTTAGCCACTAAGGGTAACAGGGGTTTCTTAGTCCAATAATTTGCTGATTTCACTCAAAAACTTAGTCAATTTATCCTCAAAGCCCAAAAATATTGCAGTTATTTGTTTGGGTATTCACGATTTTAATCTCTTGGGTGATTTGGTCTTTTTAAGGGAACCACTAAATTTCATTAACACTTTAACTTGTAACTTCTCATAACTCCTAGCAGTACAACAATTAAGGTAGCGTTTTGGATAGAATGGCTCAAAATAAAGACAAATTGAGGATGGCATGATTTTCCCCAAGGCACTTAAAATCCAATTCCCTAGTCTACCTTAGTTGCCACCACGGTGGCAAAAGCCGTCCTTATGGTGAACTCTTACGCAACGATTGACTGTTGATCATCTTCTACGCAAATCGCGAAAAGGTGCAGAAATTTATAGAGTTAATAGATCTACACGACGTTCGTATACATTAAACAGCATCAGAATGGAGAAATATAGATGGAACACAGTTTTGTCCATATTCATACGATAGTGATAAGCTTGTATCTGCCGATTTATGTTCATTCATGACAGTACTTGTTTCTGCTTTACATAACCTAAATTTATTGCCATTTAAAAGACTATCAAGTGTATTGTCTTTGATAGGTCACGTCTCGTCTGCTTAACTGGGTATGCTAATTGTATTTCAGTAGTCTCATTTCAGATAACGAATATCTATATAATATAACTACTTCGTAAAAATAATTATGTGAATATTTTGCCTCATTTTTGTGCTTATTATCAAAAAGGCAACAGCATTGTACTCACCTTATCCTCTTAACAAAGGCCCAATCAACTACACATCAATTCGCCAATGCCATTTTAACGCCTGCTAGTCACATTATCTTCACTTTACTTTTTCGCTTCCTTTAACTTTCAATAAATAAAGCGAATATGAGTAAATTTGCAAAGCAAATATTTATAAACATAGTCACTTATTTTATGATTACTGTTCCTTTTTTATTATTTCTTATTCATTTAAAACCTGAACATTGCGTTGAAGTACTTAACAGTATTAGAAGAGGATCCTAAATCACACCCTATTATCCTTTCTTTGTCGCTGAACCCCGTCCAAGCAATCAGTAGACCAAGTTCTCCTATTCCTTTTAGAGGTCTAAATGGAAAGGGAAGCACTTAGGCATTCCAACTTGACACTGGCGCATTACTCCGGACACATGCTTGGCCTGGAGCTGCAGCATGTGTTTGGATGCCGCGTGACCTACTGGGCAGGGGAGGGGAGAAAAGGGGTTGGACAGAGTTGCCCTCCAATCCCACCTACACGCTAATAAAATTCACCATTAAACTCTGTTGACATGACAGCTGCTGTTTCTGCTGTAAGCGTTAGTTGCAACCTCTAGCTTTGTGTGCCACGCCACCTCCTAAAACGAAGCAAATTTAGAGGTGGCCGAATGTGATCAAGGTGACAGTGGCACTTAGCAGTGCTAAGTGTCATGCGGCTCTAGTAAATGAGACATGGGCTGCCTTCTCCCCCTCCCTCGGTCGAGAAGGAACATATGTTGCCGCACATCACTGAGCTGTCTGTTTGTGCCTTCTTCTCTCGCTTGTTCTCCGATGTCAACAGCCAAATTCCAGGCTCTGTGTGTGTATTTGTGCAAGTTAAGGCGTCGTCACACACTTTAATTGGTCTTAATGACAATTAAACACATACCTCTCTCACTCGCCTTGCATCTCAGTCTTTTGACAACTCCATCATCATTGTTGGTGTAGGAGTGGTAGTGGCAGGGTGCGACAGTGAGAAAAGTTGTGTAAAAAAACAGTTTCTGTGACGAGGCGATTGCAGTTGCTCTGAGTCAACCAATTAATCCAAATTTTATTCAAGAAGGGTGTTTAATTTGCATTCATTCATTATTACAGCTAAAGTATAACCTCATAGCGACATCGTGAGAGATTTCAGTACCTAACACTTACCTGAAAGCGACTGCCATTGTGTGGCTTATTATGGTGCATCCTTATCCCCACACCAAAGGTTGGATTATTCATTCATTGTTTAAGAGGCTGTCTCGATGATGTCTCAACTATTCGGGAAATTCATTTGGGCTCAAGGTGACAGTGGACGACACACTCCTTTGTATGCATAGGGCAATGTTTCGAATGTGCTAAAGAAGGATTTGTTAGTGAATGACTAAAGCGTTTGGGATTTTTAAAGTGGAAGAGAGTTGTAGCTTGTCCAGACTTCCCTGAATACGAAAGAGGACACAATATTGAAGCAAAATGTGCACTGTCGACCTGTAGTAAGACTCGGGGCTACTGGCATGGCCTGGAAGCCAGGCCACCCGGTGGAGGTACCATAGCGGTGCCCCAAGTGATCCGTTACCAATACCAAGAGTTGGGCAAACAATTAGCGTACTACATAATGATAACTAAGAAGGCTCAAACAGATGCGGAAAATTCTTTCTAAGCACTGTTTTAAAATGTTTCAGTGACTCTAAATATTCATGAGACTACCCTTCAATGGTGTATTCAACCATGGCGGGCGCTTCAGCCTCCACGCTTTCGATAGCCACTTCCGCCCATGCACGCAAGTAAGCACTTTCCTAGACTGGTACGCCCCCTTACTCCAAAAGCCGCACAGAACACGGGAGATCAGATATGGCTGAGGTAACTTCCAATCACTCTATTGAACAACTAACATGTTTTGATAGTGTGAATAGCATAGGCAGCACGGTTCAAGAAATTGTCCTGCCCGTCACTTTACACAATGCAAGATCCGTAAAGGGATCCATCATCGCGTTGGACTGCAACCTGTGGAGCAAATTTTTGCAAAGCAATCCCAACTAGATTAATCAGAGACAGATTTTATCACTGACGATATAAGCAGACTTCGAGTACAATGTGGGTGTACGCTCCTACTGCACCAGAGTGCTAGAAGACACGGATGATCAGCATTCCTGCGTCTTCGTGACATTGTGAATGTTTTCCACCTTGCAGCGTACATCATTCCACTTCAAGTGTCACCGTGTGGTATTGACCAATCAGGATAAGACTCAACGAGGGCTTAAAATGGGAAAAATTCTCGAATGATCGGAATAGCTGCGTAAAAAGCAACTAGTGAAATCCTCTAGAACACCAAGGCTTGAATTTTTTTGGGACTGTAAACATCCCCATTATAGTCGTCGACCACACAAACAGTACACACACCGAGGTTGGCAATGAATTACCGCACCAAAGCTAGCTCCCTTAAAAAGCACCTGATAAACTTACGTTCTCAATGTCCAAACAATTCCGAACGGTAGATCCCCATGTATGGTGTGTAAGTACGGAGGTAACTTTGTGATCAATCTACAGAAGGGCTGGCACAGCGCTAGGAAAAAGTACTGACGAAATGCTGCGTATTTAAAAATAACAATCAAGGCCTGAGGGTTGAAAGTAGTTACATACGTAAATAGCATTCTTCTCCAAAACTATATGGCATGATAGCCAACAGTTTAGGAAAATGGATAGGTGCAATGGATATTAACAAACAGATACGACAGACAGTAATGAAAGAAGGTCGGGAAGTGAGCATCTCAAATTACAACTGCTGAACACTGCTAAACACTTCAACAGAACATCCATGCAACGAATACTTGGACTAACGATTCCAATGTTCATCAAACCTGCCCGCTTCAACTTTTGTTAAATCGAAACGACAACTGAGGTCATGCTTATCTTACTTTTGACGATGAAATTCCTGCACTCTGGTCGATTCAACGATCGTAGGAAGCAAAACACGTGGAACTAGGAGGCAACCAATTAAAACTTAAATTCAGAGAGCATCCCCACCCGTTCATCCGCTTCCCTCCCCTGCAGAACTGCGAACACGTTGTACAAAGCATTTATTCTCGTAGACACGTACCGAAATAAGTGTTGGGTTTTTTTCGGTATAAAAAATTCCATCAATGGAGCGATAAGATCTCCATGTGGCAGCAGTCGATCGGTCAGTGGATCAATTGGTCAACGGATCGGTAAATCAAGGATCACCAACCCCTTCACCATTACCTTTGTCGCTACTGTTCACCTCATCAACCTCACCACTCGTCTTCTTGCGCTTCGCAGAGGGAGGCGGTACAGCCAAAAAGAAGGTTTCCAAAGTAGCTCTCTTCTTAACCATAGTCGACCTGGCCACTTTCGAGCGGCTGGCGGAGAGGGGAGAGGGTAAGGATGACGACGACGGCTGAGGTGGCAGCGTCGGTGACTGTAACGCGGCAGCAGAGGGCACTAGAGACTTACGCCTCATAATCGTGTTCACGGCGACGTCCGTGAGATAGGGCCAAGAAGGGAAGACAAAGTTTGGATCTGTGATGGCGTGGACCGACTCATCGGCTTTTGGCAGACCCGGGAGAGCCAGCACGGCATCCTTGTGCGTTTTCAACACCTCCGGGCGAACTCGCCATCTGAATTGGTGAGCCGACAGATAGGCAGATTCGTCAGTCTGACTCACTAACCTACCCACCACCACTTCGGCTAATGTTATTCAGATTGTCTCACATTACCTGAAGCAGGGGAATTTGTCCCTTCCACTCAAAAAGGAGTCACACCTGCATTGATTACATATTCACCTACTAATTGAAGACTTTACTAAACATGCCCTCGTACAAGCACTCCGCCAACAACGACTGTGTGTTGTTCATTAAAAAAATTAATTTTAGGGTTATAACAAGTTGTTTTGAAGAATTTCCCTCAAAGTGACAGAGAAGCATTCAACTTTACTTTAGCAAAACAAAACCAAAATCATTCACATTGAAAGCTAAGTACACACGCTCTAATATGGGCAGAGTATGATCCTCAATATGCTGCATTACAAAGGGATTAAGTATAAGCCAAGAGAAGTATCCGGCAACGACATAATTACAAAATCTGGATGAGAAAATGGCCTGCTCTACTCAAATTAAATAGGAGTTAGAGTAACGACATTACTTGTATGTTTGCTTGTGTATGCATTCCACGAGAAGAATAGAAAATGGTCAAAAGTTGGTGAAAAAGCTCAACTCACAGCCCTTCTTCAAAGACAGCAATTTCGCTGATTTTGTTCATGGTCAGCGTCTTGGAAAGTGGGAGGCTATCGCTGTTACCCAGCTGCTGCTGTGTCTTCGTGTCTGCGGCGCGTTGGCCACTGGGCAGGTTGGGAGTGCCGGTCGCCTCGGCCTCGGAACTTTGACTGTACTCCTTATAGCTAAGACAACAGCCCGGCGCCTCGCCCTCACCCGTCCATGTGTGCTTCAACCAGAAGACACGGAACTCAAACTGAAGCTTCACCCTGCTCAGCGCGTTCTTGTGCACCAAGCGGATAAGGTAAGGGATAGCTGAAAGGTGGAAGTACTAGATGCTTGACAAAAGCGACTCTCGAATAACATGTCCATCAGGCATTTGGGATACCCTATAATCTACAGCAATGAACAGTAACAAAAAATGAGGTAAAAGTGACGATTGGAACAATAAAAAGCGAAACTTGAATTTCAGGATCAAGGTTACAAGAACTTCAAAATAATCTGGCTCTCTCAATGACCACATCTTTTGGGACCACCAAGTTAAGCTTGGAGTGGAACTCTCCAAAGTTAACTTAGATACAAGTTAGTGGCTTTGAAAGTAAACTAACCCTCTCTGGGAAACCGCTTTTTGGGTCGCTCCGTTAAGGATGGTTTGTTTGCACCTGAGGGAATGTCAGGAGTGGGATCGGTTTGAGGAACAATCGGCAGTGCTGTACCCGGCCATAGGTAAACCTGGAGAAACCAGATTGTATACTCAACATTTAAAAAGATCAAGAACGCCATGGAAAGCTGTTGATTAATTATTCCCGCAACTATTTGCAGTTTGAACCATAGAAAAGTCTGCAATAAACTTAAAATCTGAATCTATTCAATAGACTTTAAAATAAGGTAAAGCACAACACGTCGATATTTATGAAACAGGGTAACGATCGCTAAGGCTTTTATAACCTTGTAAGGAACAATAGCTATTAGTATTGCAGGAGGGTGCTGTAATAAAACTAAAACATCATACACGAGTGTATCTCGATGGCAGTCAGACTCCCAGTACCTCACTCAAATATGTTTATGCACACATAACCATTCAGGCTGGCACTGTATAGAGGGAAAAAGAACATACCCTATAAGTACATAGGCTAGTTCCCATAAAATGAATTTCCTCTTTGGATGACAACGCCCAGGTCGTACCCCCTGACTTTCCGTCATCAGAGGTACTTAGGGGGATATGATTCTCCTTATCGTCATCGCTTGCGTAGCCTGTGGCCTTGGCTGGGACCTCGGCAGGAAGCAAGGCCTCCAGAGGGTTCCGTGTCCACACAGGGCCCAGCAGAAGGGGTTTAAGTTTGTGGAGACCCCGGCTGTGCGCCGCCTCGTACTCAGCCAGGGAGAGGCGCTGGCGCAGGCGTTTCATCTCCGCGGTCTCACCACCGTTGCCGCTATCGTCGATGTCACTGACCCCGCCTTCCAAGTCGTCCTCATCGTGAACGCCCTCATCGTCTGAGAGGTAGCCGTGGGGCACAAGGAACTTGGCGTCCTCGTCCTCCTCATCCTCCACCTCCTCTTCCTCTTCTCCCTGCAAGGCAAAAAGAGATAAATTTGCGTAGATCTGAGTGTGTATGTGGTTTAGGGTGAAAACAGTCAGGAATTCGTAAAGCTTCGATGACTGGTTAGATTATTGGTGGTTCTAGCACCAAGGAAGACGTAACAATCACTCTGACCATTTCAAATCACCTTGATCAGCGATACCCAAATGAAAAAATTATGATAGATTTCAATGTGGGTTTATACAGATTGTATTTATGCCACATAACCACAGAGTAGGTCAACAAGTAACTGCTTGGTTTAAGCGAAAAAAATTACAGGGATCAGGAAAAATAAAATAGGCGAAGAGTATTCATGTTGAGCAGAACTACTGATTTGCACTGTATTGTTTCTAGTGCAGCAATAACGGAAGTTCATTCTAAGACTTAAGACACCCCTAACTTCGAGGGAGATACTTATGGGACGTTACTAAAGGCCTGACAGCCTTTGCCTATACGTCATTTACTAGACAAAAGTGAATGAACGTTTATATCGGCGTCAAATATTTAGATAAAACAAGAGAATGACTGGGGTCGTGATTAAACTCAAATAATAGATAAGCTCCCACTCCACTAGGCGACCCACATCAGAGGTCAAACTATTCCTCAAAATTAAAGAATGCAATGCGGACGAACCAAAGAAACTTCGAAACTACAGACTTGTGATAATCTCTGAGATTACATCGACGCTCTACGGTGTAATAAGGTTTCTTGACTGAAGAACCTTGGGGATGTTTTTGTGAATTGGTGGGAAGGAAAGTAACGAGCATTACCATCAAAGCAAACAAAGGGGATGAGCCAGGGTGGACACCATTAAATTGCCTGGCTTTACAGGGACATTAGTAAATATATCACTTTGAGATAGATCCAATTATGGAATGACATCGCTTGACTAATTTGACTAATTCCTTTTGATAGATTCAATCGAAAAAAGCAACAAACGAGTAAAGGCACCAAGTAGGAGAAATAGGCACAAAAATATCTTCACAACTAGCTACTAGTAAGTTGTTAACAGTCAAAAAATGCCTGACATCAGACTGAGAGATGTTTTCTCCCGGCTCCTCTTCTTCCCACTCATCGTCGGAATCGACCTCGTAGTCGAGCTGGTAGCAGTCTTTGGTGAAGGGTCGTCGAGGACCGATGGCGTAGCTGCGTCGACGCCAGGTACCGTAGAAAGCAGGGCGATAGTTCTCAAAGAACTGCAGTAGCTTCGCCTTGATCCACACCGTGCCTCCGTTGCCGGAGTCGCCGTGATTAAAGCGCAAGGAGACCATATTCTGCAATGACACACCTCCTCCGTCTGGCATTTCGCTGTAATGAGTAAAAAACCACACATCACGCCTTTACCTGTGATGCATAGCACTGGATGCGACCACTTTGTACCCAGGTAATTTGTGATCAGTAAACAAGATTTTGAAAGATTAAAACGAATTAAAAACACAACTTTAGAAAGTCGAACGAATGGTTTCATGAATATCTGCAATGGAACAATCAGTCTTACCAAAAGTAGGCGCAATAAAGTCGCCACAAAATCGCAATGGCAGTTACTCAGACTCGCTAAAGAGCTAATTCGCGGATAAGGTCTTTGAACAGGCTATTGCCCCGATTACTTTCGTCAGTAGAACAGAAAATACTTGTAAAATATACTCTACTCATTTTGTAAATCTGAAAGAAGAGTTAAAGTGCTTATTATCACTGTGGCATGTAAATCACGCCAGGTACATATTGTTTCAAAATGTCCATGATAGAACGCTGACTCACATGGGCCATGTAGGGGGGAAGGAGAGTGGTTTAATCCGGCCAGTGCGCAGCTCATGCAGGTAATTAGGCTGTCCAAATTTGATCAAGCCAAGACGTGAGCCATCAACTGTGGAATGACCCGATCGCCAGGAGAGTCGGAGGTCCTCCACATTCTGCCATTTGGTGTGTCTCAGTGCCTCCGACCTCACTCGGCAGATGGGTGACTGGCGTTGGTCCCTCTTCAGTTCAAACTGCATGAAAGGTGAAGTAGAAGCGCCATAGTCACTACTCCTGCCACCACCACCGGCGCCACTAATGGTGAGATTTTCAGGCTTCCCCTGCTGCACAAAGAAGCCCATCAGAAGGGCACGTTGCTTTTCCATCCTTCGCCGCTTCTCCTCCTCCTCCCGCACACGCTCCGCCTCTCGCTTGCGTCGTTCCTCCTCCTTCGCCTTCCTCCCTTCCTCCTTGCGAGCTCGCACTTCCTCCTTGCGTGCCCGCTCATCCTCTCGCTCGCGCTCTCTTACCCGCCTCTCCTCCTCTCGCTTTGAGCGCTCCTCTTCGCGCTTTGCTCGCTCCTCCTCTCGCTGCAATCGGCGAGCCTCCTTCTCACGCTCCGCTTGCTCCCGCCTCTCTTGGCGCTCCTGACGCCTCTGCTCTTTCTCCCCACGCAGACGCTCCCGCTCTACCTGCTTCTCGGCCTACAGCATGTGAGAGAGGAGTTGTAACATGAAGGAAGGTGTGAAGGTTTTATGGTAATTTCAGACAGCATCTGTTGCCTATATTTGCACCACTCACGAGGCTGATATTTCCAAATCTGACGTTTATATATGAATGTACCAACCTCATACTAAATTCAATCAAAACACTAGATGGGTTGTCATTAAAGTTATGAAGAGCATAATGCCTAGTAAGATGGAATTGAGCCGACCAATTATCCATAAAAGGTCATCAGAATTTTTAGCAAAAAGCCCGTATGATCTGCTTCTCAGTAGTACACTAATCGTAAGACCATTATAGATGCAAGCTCAATGGGTCAGCTCCCTTGTCCTCAGTCTCCGTTGTATTCAAAAGAGCGTGGAGTACTGGTTCATTAAGTTGGAGTGAGGCCGAGATGTCTTCTACTCAACATTCCTCATATTCATTCCAAACAAAACTACATCATTAAAAACCAAAAAGACAGAGTAATATTTATAATAAGATGTTACTACTTTGACACAGTATAGCTAAAATGAAAACAAAATATGGTAATTACCTTCTCTCGATCTTTCAAATCTCTTTTTAGGGGCGTATTGGATTTAGGCTGGAATAAGAAAAATATAACTTGGGGGTGAGCAGAAATACAACACATTATGAGTGACTATGAAATTATCATTACTTCCGTCATTATCGACGGATTTAGACTGAGAAAAATAATTTACTGAACTAAAATTACTCTTACCAAGCATCCACGTAAACTAGGACAAGTTTGGAAGTTCAAAAAATAATCTCCAAGGCAAATCAAGTATTTCATTTGTTCCATGGAAACTCACACCTATTCTTCAACTGCATGAAACAATAAGCGGAAACGGGAGGAAACAGAGG